GAGAGGTCTTCACCTACGCTGCTTTGCAATGCAACTTGATTGCCTTCTTCTGAAGGACCAAAAGGCTTAGCGCCATGATGTTTGACTAATTTTCTAGCATATATGCTACAAATTTTGTGGGAAAATGTGACTGTGACCTTGGCTCACAGCTTTATCTGAAACACCAAGGGACCTAGAGTTATGGTATACATGTATAAGGCTGATAGCTTGCTGCAGGCATGAAGTACCACAGATTTTGAGAAAATAAACGGCCTTGACCATTATTTAATGTCACAGGGTCAAAGATGTCAACACTCAAACTGAACCTTCTAAAACACCAAGAGGCCTAGAATTACTAGCAATGAGGTTTATAGAATTAAAAAAATCCCTTAAACACTCGGATAGCTTTTCCTGAAGAACTAGAAGCTAGCATGGTGGCATGAAGTACTACAAAGTTTCAAACAAGAAAATACTGTGGCTTTATTTTAAGTAATCAAAAAGCTTTTTTTGAGACTCCAAGAAGCCTATATAGCCATGATACACATCGCTAGTACATGTATATCCATCGCTTATTGACATCGAGTACATGTACTACCAAGTTGGGAAAATAAAACTCCTTGATATGTAATCAAGGTTGTAAGAGTCGAATTTGTTAATGCATTTGAACAATTTCATTTGAAGAAGTTAAAACCAAAAGACCTAAAGTAATGATAGTGTGGCAGGGTTCAATTGTACATAGGATTAAGGTCGCCTTCTAGCTTCGAGCTAGAGGGAATCTCCCTTTAGCTCAGTGGTAGAGCGTCCGACTAGGAACCTGGAGATCGAGGGTTCGATCCCCAGTGGAAGGACACTATTCTCTTTCCTGTTACAATAGTTTGTCTGAAGCCTAATGTTGGCATGAAGTGCTGCAGTGCCTCTGCTTTTTTTGTTAAGTGGATCAACAAATTTTATTGCAATAAACAGAAGTGTAGATTGACAAGTAATTCAGCTAAACTGTTACATGTACCAAGTGAGCACAAATGCGTCATTAAGTGATCTTTCAAGGAAGACAAACTTGTCACCAGAACTTGTGCTTTTCTTTTGGATTTTTTATCATTCATGAATGATTATTGCACTCGATACAAGCCAGTGTAACATTAATCTCAAGAGATATAGATCTGATTCGTAAATACATTTCATTAATGTACATATTCAGTGTATATATGATTAATCATGATCTTTAGAAAAATAGTGGTATGATTTTATAGATAATGGTTATAAAACTCATTGACATTTTAAAATCAAATATATTTTCAAAACAGAATTGCAATGTGGAACATCTTTAAAATGAACACAGTATATTATTAACCAAGCATACACATTAATATAAAAATTAATATATTAACAAACTCATATATCAACCCTATATTTTGTAGTGTTTTTACTTGAACTGTTACAACTTACTTAGGAATGACACTGATATAATTTATTTTTGTCCCTCGCATAAAGTAATGTAACAGACAAGGTCATATTCCTTAATTATAAAACAAAGACTGTTTTCTTTGATGATGACGCTGTGTTTCCATGGAAATCACAGGTATGAAAGCAAAGTTAAACATGCAGGTTTTTAACTTCAGTGTTGTTTGAAGTGTAAAACAGTGTCAAAATTTCTCATTTTGTTTCTGACACAAATTTGCCAGATTTAAATGTCAGTAGTTCATACCAGTTTTCAAACAGAAAAGCAATGAGTAAAAATTTGTATCATTGTGTATTTTTTCAGGCCATGAATGTTTTTAGCAAAAATGAATCCTCCATGAATATAATACATCTTCCCTGGCCAAGGGTTGCATTCCGGTCTACCTACATATTCTTCGCAGAAAGCCTAAGTGAATGTAACCCCTGAAATATATCAAGGATGTGAATATAATTACACTTCAATTTTAATAACAAGTTCATTATCTAAGCAATATCAGATATTTTTTAAGTGTCATAATCAAAGATTATTTTGATTGTTATCTAATTTTCATACAATCATTTGATGTTATTTTACAGCGAATACAATTACATCATTAATTGCCAAATGCAAAGTCAAATCCCTGTGACTTAAATTGATTAATTGTTTTATAGAAAGCACAGGACAAAGCCAGTTTATCTAAATGTCTATTTAAAACCATTGAAAGTTGCTGTGATCTGAGCCTCTTAAAACATTTATAGTATTAGGCGGTTTATCACAGCAGCCTTCAGTGTTTGTAATATCTTAAAGCATACACGTTATGCTATTGGAAGAACTGATTTTGTGAATATCATCAAATTGGTTTACATGTATTACGTTTAAACGTAAAAAACCCCAATGAAATTGGCACATTTCATAAAATTGAGATTTGATGGTATTCTTTTTTCACACAGTGATAGTTAGCATGTAACAATTGTTATCATATTTATTTATCTAACTCTTGTTATTTAATTTTTAAATTTCAATTAGACACTCAATAAACCCCATTTTGGAATTTGAAAATTAAAGAATGAATTAGGTAAATGTGACACACAACCGTCACTTGTGGAATCTCTATGTTAGTATTGTTAATTTATGTGTACAATGTAATTGTACTAACTGTTCTTCCAGGCAACCACAAGCATGAGGATGATGTGATGAACCATTAAATACAATGATATAGAAATTAGGCATTAATCTTACCAGACTGCTTCATGTGATCTGTTTTGTTAACAATAAAATATTAACCAAGGATATCAATGTTGGACTGATTTATTATTTCTTTGCGACAGAACAGCAGAACAAGGTGATAAGAGATCATTGACTACAAGTACAATGGGTTAAAGTGCACCTCTAGCATGGAGTCTGTCCTTTGTCAACTTAAGGAGGCTTATCACAGTCAACTGAAACGGCTGCAATTATCTTAAAGTTGAAATTCTACAGATTTAGATTGTTCCAGATGAGTGATTCCTGTAGACAGCTGATTTCTTTAGAGGAGTGATCTAATTAAACAGGTGATCTGTAACGAGAGATCTCTTCAGATTGGTATTATATTGACCAGAAAGGTGATTTCTAATAGGCAGGTACAATGTTATGTTTATAGACCGGTAATCACTCTAGACAGGTGATATCTCTAGACATGTGATTGCTCTAGACAGTTGATATCTCTAGACAAGTGATATATATATAGACAGGTGATCTCTATAGAAGGTGTTTTATCAAGACAGGAAATATCTATAGACAGGTGGTCTCTCTAGACAGGTAATATATATATAGACATGTGATTGCTCAAGACAGGTAATATCTAGAGAAATGTGATCACTCTAGACAGGTAATATCTAGATAGGTGATCTCTCTAGACAGGTAATCACCCTAGACAGGTGAGTTCTCTATACAGTAATATATATATAGGTGATCACTCTAGACAAATGAGATCTCTAGACAGGTAATATCTATAGATAGGTGATCTCTCTAGACAGGTATTATCTATAGACAGGTGAGTTCTCTAGACAGGTAATATCTATAGATAGGTGATCACCCTAGACAGGTGAGTTCTCTATACAGTAATATATATATAGGTGATCACTCTAGACAAATGAGATCTCTAGACAGGTAATAACTATAGATAGGTGATCTCTCTAGACAGGTAATATCTATAGACAGGTGAGTTCTCTAGACAGGTATTATCTATAGACAGGTGATCTCTCCAGACAAGTGATATCTATAAACAGCTCATCTCTTCAGATAGGTGTATCTCTCGACTTGATTTCTTAAAACAGGATGATATCTTAAGACATGTTATTTCTCTTGACAGCTAGATGATCCCTTTTACAGGTTGTGCCCCTTGGCAGGTAGTATTTAAGCTCTTCTGTGTTTTTTGATGCAAAGAGTAATAATATATATCCTTAGAATAGGTGTCAACCGCAACAAGCTTGGGATCAGTTAAATTTTCTTTATAAGGATAGTCTACCGGTTTCACCCGAACAGTGGACTTCTTCAGGACGATTAAATGACAGAATTTGTCCCCTGAAGTACTAAAATTTGGGGCACATTTTTATTGTTGATTGTGACGTGAACCGCTAGACGTATCCTAATAAAGAAAATTCAACTGATCCCTGATTGTTGGGATTGACACCTATTCTTAGTTTCCCCTATTCTTCAATCGCCCTGTATACTGGTTGGTAATGACTTTCTTGGTCAAAGGATTACTTGTTACCCGATCATATAATGCAATAAATAACCATGGCCAATGTTTAGAGTCATAGGGGTTAATTGTGTTAAGAGGCTTTGAAAGTGGTCCAGTGATCAATATTGAACCAACTCGGAAGGCCATTATTACAGCCATCTACAGGGCACACACCATCACTATAGTTCCACAGAGAAATTGTTTTTAAGTCTCAACCACATACCTTTTTTTGGGGTCATACATATAAGCTTAAACTGCTCTGTTTTGTGTACCTACGTCAGATAAAAACTTCAAAAGAACAAATAAACTATTTAAGAACATACTTAAAACTAAATAATTCAGTTGTATGAATGCACATGTTCTTCTTATCACTACCCTTCAAATCCAAAAAAAGGATACTCTTTGTACAAAGTTTAATCCCATTGGTCCAACGATTCTTCTCATCAAATTTTGTCAAATTCTGCCCAATAAATGGTCAATCGCATTAGAAGAACCATAATTTTAAAGCTTATATATGCACCTCAATTTCCATTATTGGGACATTCTCACAGGGGGTTGGGGCACACCATCCAAATTTAAACCCCTTGTCCGGGGTTGTCACATACCAAATTCATTACAAATGTCTTCAGTAATCCTGAATTAAGTCTTTTGACTTGATCCGAGTGCCATACAATGTATGTTGTTAATGAAAGTGACGTGTTTTAATCATTCTTTGCATCCATGGTAAATAGATTAACAGGAAGAGAAAGAGTTGGAAGAAACTAGTCTTTGGCAACGTGATCTTATAATCGATTGTGGACGATACAAAAAGGTGCTTCATGTATTAATGGTGTACACAATTCAATAAATGAGACAACACATAGATACTTAAATTTCCTTTATTATGTACAACATATAGTTAGAGAACAAATTTTATTTGTCCAACAGAAAATCACGGAACTAGAATTCAGACTGGAATTCTACAAATGGCATTTATAATAAATAACCAAATCAGATATTGTGAAAAGGACAATAACTTCTTTCTTAAAATTTATGTATATTTAAAAGTGTGTTAGTCCCAAAAATCCTAGTTTTATTCAGTTTAGGTGTGATCTATATGTATTTCAGATCCCAAAATCATTCAAAGTCTGCAAAGCTTAGAAATAATCAGATTTGCACAAAAAAATCCACTAATTATTTCCTCATAAACAGCAAAGGAAAAGCATGGCCAGTACATGTACAACAATGCATTGTTTGCATATCAAAATTCCTTGTTACATTTTATCATGGCCAGGTGGATACATCATGATGAATGCAAGTGACCTTTCCAATCTTAAAATAGCCTCTATTGCCACAGATTGCAAAAAAGTCATGTGAAATTTGAAAAGTAACATCCATTTTTTATGGATTTCTCCCTAATTTGATGCAGTGTCTTCTGTCTTTCTAGAAAATGCCGTTCCTTTCATCACATTTGCCTTGTTTTTACACTGAATACAAGCATGTTTATTATTATGTCAGTAAGTCTTATCACAGGGACCAGAACATGGCAATAGCCTTGGTGATTCCAACATCATTGTAGTTAAAATGCATCATGCCTGCAAAGCCCAGGATCGAAATAATGTACCATAAGTACTGGACAGGTGGAAAGAACTTCTCAACGTAATCTGTTAGCACTCCATGAACACCCCTGGAAGGAAATGGAAACATATTTTGAATGTGATTCATCAGGTTGGAAAAAGTATGAATAATAAATGCATTTCCACTCATTGCAAAGGAAAAAAATGTGTTGGAAAGCTAACAAATTAAGTTGTGCTCAAAACAAACATTGAGCGTTTAAAATGGAAACATCTGAGATTTGGTTTGTTTGTGTTTTAAGTTCTTTTAACAGCTATGGTCATAAAAACATCTGAGAAAAAAGAATCAATTAAACCATTTTACATATGTCAACAACTGAAAAGAATAAACTAATAATCAAAAAGAGGCCTGATCAATTCTTACCTTGAGACTATACTTCACGTATTCAAAAAGTAAGTAATATTATAAATAAAAAGTGCTGATAAATGCATAAATTAAGTCTAATATAGAAGATAAAACTCTCTGAAAAACTGAGATTACAAGCAAATGTTTAGCTTAAATGAACTTTCTGGCCAAATATCTACTTCTGAAAAGGAAGTAACAGCTGAATCTGTGTCAGAGACCAGGAAAGTTGAAATAACACAAAAATTTATTGAATATATTTGCATAAATTTAAATTCAGGAAAAAAAATCAGAGAACAAAAATTGTTTACAAATAATTACGGTATGAAGAATTTCCAAATCTAAAATAAACAAGGCACCCATTCAGACAAACTGAAACAAACTACCACAGAACAAAACATTCAAAGCTGTATGCAGTAAAAGATCAAAGCTAGATTTACTTCTAACCTAAGTTTATAACTGCATGTATAAATTAATGGAAACCTACCAATGGCCATGAGCTAACACTGTGGTAGTTATGATGAAGTCGGAGACTGGGCCTCCAAGATAGATACAGGCAGGCAGAATTGGTAACATCGAGATGGCTACCACTCTTTCTATCTTCCAGTGAGTGGAGGCCAACATGGAGTGTCCATGCTGTTTCTCCTCTGTAAAAAAAAAGAAAAGAAAGGAAAATTAGCAGTCTAAAATACATTTTCCCACCCATTTTGGGCAATTTCACCTTAAGCTTGCCTGTTTTAGACTGGAACAATCATATCAATATCATGACCAAACCTCAAACTTAACTTAATGGATGGATACGCATGCAGTGCACAGTACCACTAAATCAAGAGGTATCAGTGTTTCATTTACATCAATCATCCAATGTCTTCTCAAACATTCATAACCTTTTATTATGGGTGATAGTAAATTTTGTATACATGTACTAAGCCATAATGGTGTGAAGTATTACTATTTGGAAAGACTGCTGTCTGATTTAAAAATAAATACTGCAATATATACGGGCAAATCTGTATTTAAAGACCAATAAAAAAAGAGGTCTCTTAACACAGGTGGTACGTCTCTTATAATTTAATACAGGTTAAGTTGACAATGAAATCAATCTAACGAGGAACTTTGAAAGTGGAATCTTTATACAGGTGCTTGCAGGTTTAGGTTTAACTGTAATCCCATCTTAAGGTGGCTCCACACTTTCGCAATTAACCATCAAAATTCGTTGAAACTTTCATATAATGGTTATGCAACTATGTAGAGTTGATTTTATGAAAATCTAAACATTCCAATATTTTTGGGACTTTTTTGGAAAAAATACCAAAAAATTGAATTTTCGTCAATTTTAATATTTTCCGTTTTTTTTGTGAATGGCATTGTTCGGGAAAATAACAACAATCAAAAAATGAAAAGAAGCATTACTAATTAATTCTTCAAATATATTATTTATCGCAAAATATGTAACACATGTTACACAAAGTGTTTTTTATTGAATTTGTACGGATAAAAGTGATTATCTACAAGCTAAATGCAAACAGGACACAAAGATCTATACATAGAGAGTGGGAAATTGAACAAAATATACACAATGGCTTTATAATTAATTTATTTTACATTTTACAATCACTTTGATCCGGGTGAGAATTATCTTCCTTGAAAAAAATCGGAACTCTTTGCAGAGGGATGAAATTTACACAATGACAGTTGTCTCTGTTTACATATAACAAAAATGATGGAAATAAATCAAAAATATGATATCAAAATTATCAATTTATTGTTCTTTAATAGAACCAAATTACCCTCAGTCATGTACACTTTGGACATCATTCCACAGTCTGCTAACTAACGGTATATTTATAAATACCTGTCAGGTACATATGTGACCAGATATAAATACCTGTCAGGTACATATGTGACCAGATATAAATACCTGTCAGGTACATATGTGACCAGATATAAATACCTCTCAGGTACATATGTGACCAGATATAAATACCTGTCAGGTACATATGTGACCAGATATAAATACCTGTCAGGTACATATGTGACCAGAGGCTATCGCACTCACACACGCATTTCATAGGGATCTTGATATTTTACAAAACATTATTTTCACAGAGTAAGCAGACAACATTTGTAAACACGATTTAATCGACAGAGCGCAACTATCTCAACAGCGAAAATTATAACGACCTCGAGCTTATGACCTCGTGTAAGCACGTGATATGCACATGTGAGGTCGGTACGTCCGCATTCCATGTGTTTCCTATATGACCTTCTTGAGGTCATCTGGTCTCATTTCACTGTCTTCCCGTGAGTCTGTTTGTGTCTATGAATTGGAAAGCTTTATTCCTGAAGTACGTGTGATTTTACATTTCCCGGTAAAATCTTGATATCGGGTGTTGACATATCATCGGCACGCACATGTCCTATTGTTTACCAGGGGCCTGTTCGTTTATGCGGAACAACCGGTTTGACCGTTTATAAATTGAAACAATTTTGGGTATAAATCCTGGCAAACCTGCAAATGTGTATGCAGGCCTTGCAAGGCATTCTCAAGGCTCGCCTGAAAGCAGCATCAGATTACTAGGTCTGACCTTATTTGATAAACGAACAACAGGGGTCCGATCGGTTTGAACGTTAATAAACGAAAACAGCCCAGGTGTAACTATATTTTGCACTACGATATTGAATGCCCGATACCGGAAATGACGACACGGTGTACATGCACATTTCGATCAAGATAATCGAGTCCGAGGTGTACTTTTTCCGGAAGTACATCACGAAAAAGGACGCTGATGACGATGTGTGGAGCCACCTTAAATATTAAATTATGAAAATTCTATTGTTATGTCCCTTTCCAAGATAAAATCAATATTCTATGATGAATTCTTTTAATTATAAGTAATCAAATGATAATTTGCTCACATGGATACACTATGACGGTAAATGCATTTTTGCAAGTAGTATACAGTCTAGTTGCCCATGTCAGAATAAATCATTTAAACAATTCATTGAAGTTCCACTGTAGAAAAGATTCTCCCACATGCAAATGGCTTAAAAAATTGGCACTACTATCTTAATGGACATAATATTTAATATATTCAACATTGATGACAAGTCCTGTAATATATTTACCTGGTGTAAATGGCCCTCTTCTTGCACGGAAATATTCTAGACTTGAAGCTGATGATGAGGTTGAGAAGATTTTAGCAGATATGTCTTTTCGAATATGGCAAGATAAGGCCTTCTGTACTGAATTTGGCCTGAAGAATAATTGTCTTGCTCCTGAAATTTAAGATAATGCATCATATTAATTAACTATCTGAAACAGTATTTAAATATGAAATTGAAATATTCATGACCTAGCCCGTGATAAATCAGCAGATCTTATCAAGATTGAAGTTAATTATACATAGGGGCTTGTCTGTGTAAGGACCAAATATAAATCCATAAAGTAATTTTCATAATGTCTGGTCGTTTGTCCGACTACAAGCGGCACCAAATAGTTTGGGCTGTATACATTAAAAACTACATCTTTTTGAGTCTTTTTTCTTTCGATTTCCTTCTTTACTCTTTCTAAATGTAAATAATTTATATGTCAAACATTTTGTTGTGATAATAAAATGAAGCAGATACACATACTGAAATAATTTTGGACTATAGATTGTAGTAATATCAGAGTAAATAAATAAAATATAGTGTGACTGCAGTGTGTCATAAAAAAGATGGACACAGAAACAGATAACGTAGTAGTGTCGTTCAACGATGAGATTGAACACAATTGATGTTGTCATTGTTGAGAAAAAGAAGTGATTGGAAACTGACTTTTCATGATATTGAGATGATCAGATCATCAATGAAATTAAATCTATTAAAGCATTGTTGATAAGCAATGTATAGAACATTGATGTTTCATTTATTCTGCAAATCTCACTTCAGGGCTCAGACACATCCAAACACACATGCATATTTATAATATAAACTACTAGTTGCTTATGAACCGAAACGACAGCTGAACGTCTGCATTGGGATTCATTTTGGAAAACATGACCTTGAACTTTCTTGCTAGACATGAAATAAATGACCGGCATTTTGATTCTACGAGTATAACAATGGACGAGAAAAGTTTGGCATTATAAGCATTTCATATATATCACAACCAGTTAGTGTGACGACTTTTTTAAAAGCGCAAAATTGTCTTATCACAACATAATTTACCTCCGCAACCACGAAGAAGTGAGCTTGACGCCATATTGAGAGCGGTTCTAAGGGAGGTAACGCTGAGTCAGTGTTTCAAAGGTGACACACCAGTAATATTTGCAGGTCAAGAGTGAAAAAGATAAAAAGATATTTTCTACAATTTCATCGTATTTGATATAAGAAACACGACTGACGCAGTTTGAAAGCCCCTTTGTCCCTATCAATATCATGATAAAATCTTAGGTGTATAATTTCATGAAAAGTATTAAATTATTGAGTTTTTGTCTACTTTCCCAATGTTCAACTAGAATCGAATTCAAACTGTTAAACTGAAGCAGCATTTCAATTTTATAACGTGTTTAAGCAAATCTATACTATAGGCCTACCCTACATCTGCAAATCAGTTAAGTGAAGTAATGTTTCATCACGTCTAAGCGACGACGTTTGATCGTATATATCGTTCGTGACATTAAATACATGTTAGGTGTTCCGTTTAAATATGCAAATGTTCTTCTGATTAATCCTGTTGTACTGTTCGCTTTGTTGGCAATTGACAGTATACGAGCACGAAAGTTTAAATGCTTATAGTCACATACAGGTCGTCATTTCAGATGATATATTTTCGAACTGAATATTCTCCCAGTCTTGAAATGTACTTGACTGATGTACACCATAAGAAGAAGAAGAAGAAAAAGAAGAAGAAGAAATGATATAATTCCTCTTTTCTTTGGGTTAAACCACGGACTTAGATAATCTAATTCTGTTGTTTAACTGATAGTATTTCGCACTTACTTGGATGGAACTTTAGTAACCATATATTTGACCACGGACTTCCACCTAATCTAATTTCTAGATTTGACCAATTTTGAAGCTCATCCAGATCTTTTTGCATAATTTGAATATTATTCCTTCTCTTTGTCTGCCTATCTAATATTCACGGTGTCGTCTTCATATAGTATCGACAGGGATACAATAATTTCTGTCGGTTCATTAAAAGGAACAGCGAACAGGGCTGGACCAAATACACTTGCCTGGGGAAAGCCACTCCAAACCGAATATTTTCCAGATAATGCACCATATATCCAAATATGGCCAAAGACTATCACTTTTGGCGACTGCTGCTGAGAATCAACACTTGGTTGCCATTAAGCTGATATTTTGTAATAGCCTCTGATGTGGCACCTTATCGAGGGCATTCATGAAACCCAGATATATTCCATATCAAATTGGTCCTGTTATCTGTTATTTGTGTCATCTAGCATCGCATATAAATCCATCGACATTAATTCCGTAAGCATACATTGTATATCTAGTGTTCTGCATGAAACTCAGTATTCGTGGTTTGTCCGTTAAAATTTCAACAGATCCGTGACCTGTATTTGTCTAATAAAACTACTCATTGTCGTGGGAACTTTTTATAGCTAATACGATAAAACTGAAGTATAACATTGCTGTACAATGTGTAAATTTAAAGCGAATACCGAATGAATTTAACTTTGCTAACGTAAACAGTTTTGACGACCAGATACGTTGCAAACAGATACGTTGTAAATGGTTTTATAATTGTAGCTTCTAACAAAGATACTCTAGATTCCAATTTTTGTTTCGTGGGATTTTGATGGGAACAATGTCATCAGACCTTTTACAAACTGTAATTGCATCAGCTGGCTTAAATTTCGAGGGGAATATCTTCAAGTCTTAGGAAATCCAAAGACATGAATGCATGTATATAATAATGGTTAATTTGTGTACGTTATTGTAGATGTTCAAATTTTAACTACTATAAATGGATTTTAAAGGATTAATTAAAGAAAAGCTACGAAAGAAAAGGGTGGGATATGTGAGGATAAGGGATCACATCACTTGGGAAACACGTAACGTAAATGTTGACTTTGGTCACGTTTCTGTTTTAGTGCATTATTTTCCCAGATAAAAGAAGGGAATCCAAAGAAAAAAGACTCCAAAATATGTATTTTTTAATATACAGTCCTAACTATTTGTAGCCACTTGTAGTCGTCTCCTGGTTGAGCACGTCTTCATTCGGCACCGATTTCAAACTTTGAAACAGAGAATGGAATATCTCTTTATTAATTAAGAAGAAAACACGTGTGTTGTGTAAACAATACCTCGGACCCTGTCGAACACATAGTCGCCATTCGTTGGATTTTGATCTGGTGACATCTGATGCCTTCCCTGCAAGTCAGAAGAATGAGAACAATGGCAATTGAAACTTTTAGAATTGTAAATAAGTTGTCACCTGTATGTTTACAAGATTTATTAAAGGTAAAACAATCTAAATATTTTTTCAGATATAATAATATATTGGACATTCCAAATATAAGAACTACAACCTATGGTAAGAAAAGTTTTTAATTTGCTGCTGCTACATTGTGGAACAGTCTTCCGGACCATGTCAGGACGGAAAACAGTTTCTCTCATTTCAAGATTCTTATACAGTCCTGGAATGGTTCAGAATGCCGCTGTTCTGCATGTAGATAAGCTTTCAGTTAATTTCAATGTGCCTTTGTGTTATTATTGTCCATTTATATTGCATATAAATTGCTCTGCCATTTTTAGTGCTTGCTTATTTTTTATGTGTGCTTTCTCTATTTTTAGTTTGCCTTCGTGATTTTGATTTTATGTTGTTGTATAATTATGCTTGTATGTATTCGGTTAAAAGCTCATTAGAGCTTATGTTTTGTAGTTTGTAACTATACCGAATTTAGATAAAACTGTCATATATAATATACTTACAATATTTATGAGATTTTATATATTCAGTTTTCCCGGCAGATATTGCATCGTCAGATACACACGGCTGATTTCGAAGGTAAACCAAGTCTCGACTGCATCAAATAATCGGACCAGAGGAAACTACGGTGAAAAGTTTCGGTAGTTTCAGTGTAATACTGACACATATAAGAACTCATTCTGTCCACGTACCATCACTGACCAGAACAACCTCCCAGAGGATCTGGTAAAAACGTTTGAAATTTTATTATCAACGAATTAACTGCAAAGCGCACTCCTCCAGCCCTGGAAATATACTAGATTTGGAGGTTTCTCCCAGTATTATACAGATAAAGATATAGCCTCATATGAACATTGTTAATTAACTAACGCTGTAATATAATATATAACCATGTAAATAAATAAATATATTTGGATTCTGATTACTGCTAGTTATCGCCTATTTGAGTAGAGAAACTGGCAAATACATACGCATAGGTCTATTGAAAGAAAACATTTTTTCCCAACTGAATTAGAATAGAAGAAGAATAAAATTATGTCCTGATTGTCCGAAATATATTTAAACGGCACTTTTTTCATGCTATGATGCACCCTCTCAATCTTATATTATGTTAAGAGTTGGATTTAAAAAAAACCTATAGAATTGATATAAATTTATGCAAATTGTATGTATGATGCGTTATGACAACATAGATTTGTACTGTCAAAAATATCGATCATGTCCATAATCACAGCTGCACAAGTATGAATACACATATTAGACCTAGCTAACAAGAGCCTAACGCAGCTAGCATTTATTCCTGCGATATATTGAATTTGTGGTGAAATACATTGAAGTTGAAAAGGGTCATCTACTTTCGGTAAAAATACCACCCCGCTGATGATATAATAATTAAATATGCACGGAAGTCGATTGCTATCAAAGTCCGTGTTATAACTTATGTATAATTACTCTGAACACTATAGCGTCGTCTAGTGCCTGTGCTGAACGTGACAAAATATCAGGTCACTAGTGCTAGTAACATGTTCAAGGAAAGACAACTCTAACAGATCTGTGCATAGACTTACGTTCCGGACAAAGTCAGGACACCTTTTTGTGTCACGTGCCCGAGGATTACCTAATCAAAGGTAACTAAGGTGAGCTTTTTTTTTGCAAACTAAACTCTTTTGTTGTTACAGTTTAGCCACAGATCTTGGACATGCAGGCCTGTATTATTTGTGACGGTAGACCTAGATGACTCTGTGTGTTCGTCAAGCTGCCCGGTAGGAAGTCACTGGTGTACACTCGCATCCGTTACCGAACACAGGGGCACGCAGCTACTAATACTACTGATCTTGTCGCTGGGTCAGAGGCCTAGCGTAACAATCGACTGAAAGTCTAGTTAAATTAACAAGATCAATATTAATAGTAGCTGCGTGCCCACGTGCCCTGAGGAGCACACGTGCACAGGGACCTGGACAATTGTTACAGCTATATTTGGACCTACATGTTCAGAGTAATTTTACATGTTTTAGTCGTTTAGATTGACTTTCGGTAAAAAAATACCACCCCCAAGAGCGGAGTCATTTTTACCGAAAGTCGACCTAAACCCTGAAAACATGTAAAATTACTCTGAACACCTTTGTTTAGGTCCAAATATAGCTGTAAGAAATTCTCAGATGCAATGAAGGAATGACAATGTAACCTTAGCTTAATTTCACATCACAGGTGCTCGGGTTCTGGAAAATATGTGATATACATAGGCCTATAGGTTAATCACATCACTGTGCTAATAAATAATTGGGTTCTAGAATATATATAATATAAACGTTATCTACATGTCTCTGTTAACACATCCCCTTATACTAATAAATATAAGGGTGGGGGTGATAGCTAGTCTAGTGGGGTGCAATTAAACAGATAATTAATTATATTCATATTCAAGAACCCAATTATTTATTATCACAGTGATGTGATAAACCTAAATATATCACATTTATTCTGGAACCTGTGCACATGACAGGGATGTGTAGTGGAGGGATTTACAACTCCGAGCCCAGTGGCGAACACTTATCGTCGCTTTATTGTTTGTTCACTGAACCTTGAAGTCATCGAGGGAACTACTCTGGCCGGTCTGCGCTTCCGCGCTAGTGTCAGGTTAAACTCGCACTTGCTTCCGGTGTTATGTCAACACATCGCTGATCGAAGTGTTTTCATTGCGGTTATCCACGTTTACTGGACTGTGTATTAGTAGGTCTTCATTTTATTACAGGAGAAATGTTATCGTTGCCACCATGTCTAGCTGTACAGTAGTTGTGTCGGGAGATATTATCGTCTGTATCTTGAGTTTGTGTTATATTTTGGTTTGTACTCTGATGGAGTCGGTTCATAGCATTCACGATCGGATACTTCAGCGCTTTTGAAATTGTCTCATCATGAATCACACATCATGTCAACGTCTGATTTTCTGTCTTGGGATGATGACATAGATTTAGAACATTTGTTTGGAGAGATTACAGAATATAGGGAGTCGGACATTTCAGACGACGATTTTGACAGGGATCTGTTTGTTTGTTTGTTTGATTTTGTTTAACGTCCTATTAACAGCTAAGGTCATTTAAGGACGGCCTCCCTGTGTGCAAGATGCATGCGTGTAGTGTATGGGTGTGTATTTTGGGAGGCTGCGATATGTTCATTTTTGTCTTCTTGTAATAGCGTGGAACTGATGCTGACTTTATAGTGCTACCTCACTGAAACATACTGCCGAAGACACCCAGCAGGACGCCCCACCAGGTCACATTATACTGACAACGGGCGAACCAGTTGTCCCACTCCTTATTTGCAGAGCGTTAAGCAGGAGTAGAAACTGCCATTTTTAAAGACTTTGGTATGTCTCCGCCAGGGGACAGAACCCAACGCCTTCCTCACAGGGGCGAAAGCTCAACAAATGGCCAAAAGTGAGGCATTGTCAAGGGAGACATTAGGAAGAAGAAAGTTATTTAGAAAGGAGAGAAGAGATAAGTTCCCAAATTTAGTCGCCTCTTACGATCATGCAATTGGGGGCAGCAGGTACAATTCTTACGCCCTACCTGCAGGGTCAGCACAGGGATGTGTAGTGGACTAGTACTCATTATATTAAATTGTACACCCCTGTAATCGCGCAGATTCGGCAGTCAAATAAAAAATTGCTTGTTTGTATTACGTGCCATTTTCATTAGACCCTTTTCCACAAGTGCCTCGGATTGGGTACCGTCCCAGTTGGGTACCGCCACAGTACTGTAGTGGTCAGTTTCCAGACCAATAAAAACAAAAACACTGACATACCACAAATAACACCTGAAAAAATTACTCCTCTTTTTAATTTATTGATATCCCACGTTTGAAAAATGGTGGAATATAGGCCTTTTGTAAGAAAATTTGATCTAAGCATCGAGATGCCAACATGGTTTTACTGAAAATGACAAATGCAAAGTGATACAAACATATTACAGTAGCTCTTTTTGAAAAAAAAATAACACATTAATAATAACTCACCGTCATAAGACTACTCCCCTACAAAATAAAATGTATTAAGCTTTACATTGCCGTTAATTTTGAAAAGCTTGATTAAATACTTAAATTTGATACACAAAATGGGTGGTAATGAGATTTTTTCCACCCAAACTTTTCAAATGTTTACAAAAAAGTTCGTAACATAGCGTGCAGTTCCTGACCAATAAAAACAAAAATACTGACGGAGGATAAATAAAAATACATCGGGTCCTGTGACACCATCTACTACTTCCACCAGATGTAATATAAACAACCTACAGCAACAAGATAAAAAAAAAATGTAGTAATACTCAGTATTATTGGTTTGTTTACACACCAATTTCACGATTCAACCACGCTCTGATGAAGCCATAACTTGTCCGTATCATAGAACACCGATCAAGGGAGATAAGCCAACCTCACTCGGAACATATTTACTAAGGCAAAGAGGAAGTTGCGTATCCCTCCATTACACATCCCTGGCACATGACCATAATTATGAACATGCATCTCCTGTAAAGTAACAATATTTATCACATCTTGACATCAATGGAATTAGACTAGGTAAACAGTCAGTGGAAATGAATTTGGTTCAACATTTTAAATATACAATATATTCTTTTTTTTGACAGTCAAAATAATAAATAAGTCTACACAGTATTTAAATCAGTAAAGAAACAATCTTCATATTAAAAAATAAAAAATAAATTGCCTTTCCATTTCATATTAGAGTACAATACTAAAAGATTTCCTTAGAAAGCAGTCTGTCAGTTTTCATAGTTTACACACAATTATAATATGCTATCCCTATTTTTATATAACTTTAAATTTACTTAAGCACTGAACTGTATGCTTTCAGTTGGCTTTCATAGGTAATATGAATGCCAACTGGACAAAAATGCAAATCCAACATGTACATGCTAGCATGTTTCATTGAATTTTCCTTTGTCCAGTTGGCATTCATGTTACCTATAAATTCCAACTGAAAGCAGTTCAGTTAGGAAACCGTATTTTGGGATTTGCGCCGGTATATCTAATTACCTTACCCACCTAATCAGTGACGTGCAAGTATTTTTGTCTCATCACATGCATGTTAAATATGTATCAATACCCTGACAGGTGCGTTTATACACATGTTTGCTCAAGCGGCCTTGATTGATTGAAACCTCAGGTTCAATAGACACCTGACGATTGGCTGTCAAGTGTTTTATACATGTGCCCACTTTTGTTAACCTTGTCCGCATCAAGATATTTGCCATGAGTATCGGCCAGTAATTTCAAACATCATCATTATGACATCACAATTAATAAAAATTATTGTAGTAATTTCATATATGATGATCACTCTACAGTTTTGGTCTCATAAATCAATTCATAGCTGACTGTGTTTACATATTGACAATGCAAAGCAAATGTATTTATTTAAAAAAAATGAAACATATTTCTAACATATATATGGTGGTATCGGTGTTGTTTTTACCTACCGGTAAACTTTTCAACAACCTGTTTCTTTATAATTGCGAAAATGAAGCAATATTTTTATTGAAATTGGGAATGTATTTCTCATTTTTTTTGTCATTTTGGGAAAATAAGTCACTATTTAGGTTTTCGTCTATAAAGCTTAGCAAAAGGAATCACTGGGTAAGAAATACAGTTGCATTCAACATTCCATGTAGTGTACTTTGGTAAATATGTTTGAATTAGAATTCTAATTAGGCCCCTTGTTTCTGTAATATCAAGAACATGAATATATGAGATGCTGTAACAAGTTAATTGTGACTGTAAATTAATGGAAGTACTGGATAGTCGTGATTTAATTGTGACTGTGAATTAATGGAAGTACTGAATAATCGTGATTTAATCGTGACTGTGAATTAATGGAAGTACTGGATAATCGTGATTTAATCATGACAGTGAATTAATGGAAGTACTGGATAATCGTGATTTAATCGTGACTGAATTAATGGAAGTACTGGATAATCGTGATTTAATCGTGACTGTGAATTAATGGAATAACTGGATAATCGTGATTTAATCGTGACAGTGAATTAATGGAAGTACTGGATAATCGTGATTTAATCGTGACTGAATTAATGGAAGTACTGGATAATCATGATTTAATCGTGACTGTGAATTAATGGAACTACTGGATAAACGTGATTTAATCGTGACTGTGAATTAATGGAATTACTGGATAATAGTGATTTAATCGTGACTGAATTAATGGAAGTACTGGATAATCGTGATTTAATCGTGACTGTGAATTAATGGAAGTACTGGATAATCGTGAGACTTCAATAATGTTTATCATGTCCAGTTTATTTTCAAAACAGATGAGATACATTTTACCATTCATCTTCATGTTGTAGATTCTGATGTCGACTGAAATGAGATTGGCCGGGATGCGGATCACTTTGAAAAGTCATTCTAAATGTAAAAGTGAGTATTTAAGGTAGCTGTACTGTATAGATCCCCTACCAGATTTAAAAATAAGCTGTAACCTTGATGATCTTCTTCTTCGTCGTCGACTTCTTCCTCTCCTCCTTCTTCTTTGAATCTCCAAGGATGGAGTGATTACTGTCTCTGGATACTGTGCGCGCATGTGCTGTAAAGATAAATTTAGTGTTGGTACTGTGACTTCAATCAAGATGTTTATCTAAAAGGTAGAAAGGTGTGTGTGTGGGGTGGGGGTGGGGGGATGTAGTGTCCCATGGCATGACTGTGAGATTATATTTGTAAAGCAGTGCAGTGCATCACAGTCACACAATTTTTGCACAAAGACATGTTAAACTTCGTCTCCTGGGCGACTTAGGGGCAACAGGTGTTATGTTAGTCGGGCAGATGGAGAGGAGATATATTGGAGGCTGTACTGTTTGTGGATAGTCTTGCCATGAGAACGAGGGAGGGGGGTGGGTGGTTGGGGGAAAGTGAAGTCAAGGTGTGGAGTTCAGACCAGCCTTGAATGATTCAAGGCTGTCTGCCTCTACCAGTGAGGAAGGAAGGTTGTTCCAGTCCGTTATCATCCTTTGCATGTATGATGACTTGAAAAAGTCCTTGGAAGCCTGTATAGGACGATAACGGTGGCCCCCTCGTGTCCTGGAGTCGGCCTTGGTGAGGTACCAGTCGGCTGGAATAGCTATAAGATCTTGAGTGATCTTATAGAAGTTGACCAGTCTGGCCTTCCTCCTATGGTTCTGCAGGGAGTCCCACTGAAGGTTGTTGACCATGTCCGACATACATCCTGGTGTTCTGGAATGGAAGTGATTGTGGACATATCTGGCCGCTCTTCTAGATCTGTGGACAGCCTCAAGCTGGTTGATGTGCTCTGCAGGGTATGGATCCCAGGCAGAGCATGAGTACTCCAGTTGAGGTCTGACAAGGGCAGAGTAAGTGAGAGTTTTGACCCGCCTGGTGCATCCAGACATGTTGCGGCATAAGAATCCTAGAGTTCTATGCACCTTAGCTGTAATGCTGTTTATATGTGGGCCCCAGGACAGGTTGTGTGACAGGATTACTCCCAGATATTTGCTCTCTGTAACAACTTTGAGTGATTGCTGGTGGAGTGAATAATTGAAGCAAATAGGATGTGGTTTCTTTGATATTCTGATGACAAAGCATTTATCTGCATTAAAATTCATTTGCCAATCAGATTCCCATTTCTGTAGCTCACAGTCTCTGACTGTGTTGATGACTCGATAGAGGAAACAATCGTTGGAAAGTACAAATTCAGGAAGGTCATTAATGAAGAGGAGAAAAAGTAGAGGTCCGAGGACTGTACCTTGTGGAACCGCCCAGTCCACGGGTAGAGGAGGAGAGCAGATGTTGTTGAGAAGTACTCTTTGTTGTCTGTTATGTAAGAATGATTATGTCCAAAGAAGAGAGTTGTTAGGGATTCCATAGTAGTCAAGATTGTGAAGTAAGCGTTGAAGGGGGACCTTATGAAACGCTTTAGAAAAGTCTAAAAGCACAATATCAATCTGCTTGCCATTGCCTATGTTACTGGTGATGTCATCTAGTGTGGTAATTAGTTGAGATTCACGATTTTGTTTGCGTCTAAAGCCATGTTGAGAGACTTGAGGATGTTGTGAATGTCCAGATGTGTCATTATGCTGCTATGGATAATATGTTCCATTAGCTTGCTACAGATGGAGGTGAGGGACACAGGCCTATAGTTAGAGGCTTTGTCTCGGTCACCTTTTTCGAAGATGGTAACAATATTGTCCGATTCCCAATCAGTTGAAACGGTTCCAGTGTCCAGAGACAGTTGAAATCAGAACATGATAAAGGGAGCTTATTGGTGTGACAGTGAGTGTAGCACCTCGGTAGAAATGGTGTCAGGACCCGTAGCCTTATGGATATTTAAGCCCTGTAGAAGTTTTTCAACTCCCCGCTTTGTGACGTGTATGTGGTCCATATCTGGGACTAGATTCCTTGGATGTTAAATTTTCCCGTGTGTATGCTGACTTAAATTGGTGGTTCAATATGTCAGTCAGGGTCCGTGGATCGCTGTAAAGAAGGCCATCATTATTGGGTAGTGGGGAAACACCTGAACTGTCTGTTTTTTTTTTATTTAATGTAACTCCAGAATCTTTTTGGATTACTAGTAAGGTCTGGGCTAATAATTTCTTGGAGATATTTGTTTTACCTATTTGTTAGCCTGGATTGACTGTATAATTGATGCAATGATGTGATATTCGTCATCTGCCCATTTGTCCTGCATCATCTTTCACTTTAACATTAAGATTCACACTAGATATCATCACATAATGCTCACTCAATTCTATAGGCGCTCATTTATTGTCACGAGGTACGACAATGTGCAGTTTTAACTGCGTGTTTAAATGTCGACAACTTAGTAATAACGTCATCTTCTGAGACAGTAAAAACATTTCATGATTAACATAAAATGTTGTTTATACCTGTCATGGTTTTTACAAATATTTCATTTGACAATGCACTTTTGGGTAAAATATCAACTGTCATATGGGTTAAAGTGTCAATCCTCGAATAACATATAAAAAGTTAATAGGTATCTGGTTGCTTATACTTGTCAAAGAAGTATATTAGACTTCTAAGAAGACACACTTCGCCATAATGCTGGTTTTCTGGCTGTTTTGGCATATTTGTAAGTGGAATACCCCGTATATATGTGTGGTGCTAAATGGGAAAACAATTCAATTTTCTATTTAATACATGTTTTTGAGTAATGTGTTGCAAATATTGCTCCATCAGAAAAGTGCTGGAATTTGTTACGTGCTATATTGGACGCCAGGTTCTAATGCCTTTAAGCTTGACAACAATGCAGAGCACCATTTTGAATGGGTTTCTATATGCAATTCTGCTGTTTGCTGCTGTTATTTGGAAAGATTTTCAAACAAAAGTTATATCAATTTTGTAGTTATGCAAATACCATGATGTTTGTTGCAATGTAGAACAAAACAACCCCTTATTCTGCCGTTGCTTCACCTAAACTTGAAAATGAAAATCTACGCAGTGAATAGAAAGTACTGTTCTGATCGGACAATACTAATAGTGATGTCTTCATTCACATGTGAAGAAATTACATTTCATATATCAAACGGAGAATTCATGACATTTCGCATTTAAAATGTAATATAAAATTGAATTTTGTAGGTGTTCTCTATGATATTTTGTAGGTAGTATGTAGCCTCAATTTCCCAAAAGGTTTTTATGCATGGGGAAGCATCGGAAGTGGACAGAGTACAGATCAAATCCCTGCAGCGCTTTGCACTGCTTAGGGGCTTGAAAAATATAGGGCCACATGGCAAAAGAATGATGATCCAAAAAATTAAGCAAACATCTGCCTAATTTGTTTGTACTTTCAGATGCCTAGTGAGCACAAATCCAACAGGCCTTGTGTGGCCTCGTGGCTGCATGTATACATCACTTTCCCTATTTGTATACCTACATGAAGACAATTTGTGATTAATTGTATGGATAGTATAGTTGTTTTGGATGAAAGGCTATCAAGTTTGTTCAAATATATGTTCTTCACCCACTTCCAAGGTCACAGGGGTCAAATGTGTGGAAACATATAAGTGACTTTTACTGATTAACCAAGAGGCCTAGTGTGATAATATTTGCCAGTAGCATGCTGGGATTAAGGGCTATCAAGGTTGTTGAAATGAATAACCTTTTGATCATATTCAAGGTTGCAGGGGTCAAATGTGTGAGACATTTAAATATTTTTGTTTTGAATAATAACCAAAAGACCAAAGTGATGAAATTTTGCCTGTAGCTTGCTAGATTAGAGGTTTATCAAGTTTGTTCAATGGATTGACCTTGGCCATTTTTAAAAGGTGAGAGGGGTTAAAAGTGTCAAAACTTTTAAACAGCATCTGAATAAACCGAGGCATGGGAGATGTTTGGCCAGTTGAATGCTAAGATGAAGGGCTATCATGTTTATTCCAATAAATTACCTCAACACTGTATCAAGGTCAATAGGGTTAAATATGTTGTAATAATTAAACAACTTTTTCTATACATGTATAACCAAGAGACCTATAGGATCATGATATTTGGTCTGTAGCTTAATGGTGTTAGTGCTATGAGGTATTTTATCCGAATGAGTGACCTAGACCAACTTTGAAGGTCAGATTATCAAAATAAGTTAAAATCTTCCAATAAAGATTCTGAAGTCGTAGAGTAAGGGTAATAAAATCTCCCAACAAAGACCTGCTATGTATGGATAATTAACAGGTAAGCAGCACAAGTCCAGTTTTGGCCTCTTTTCATGAAATGTACTTGGAAATAAATTTTCAACCTAATTAGTTAGGTGGTCTGTCATGTGGCACAGTGGTCATAGCTTTCTTGCCTTTCACCAAGATGGCTGGGTTTCGATCCTCCAATCAAATAATGAGAAGTAGTTATAATTGGGTCAACTGCCCATCCAAGTAGATTTTTTCAGAATATTCTTGTTTTCTCCCACTTTTAGACTCCATGTGAGTTTCCATATGGCCCAACAAGAGTGACTAATAAAAGCTGGAAACACTTGTTACATAAGTGTTGGATGTACATATATTGAGGCCTTAGGATATTGAACTAACATGAAAAAATATAAAAGTTATGCCCCTTGGTCTCACCCTTTGGCTTTTGAGGTAGGGTTTACTTACTTCAGGATGTTAACCCCCCCTGTGATTTTTCTCATTTGCAACATAATGTAAATATTCTTGCATACTAGAACTAGACCGAGATATCTGCATTTCCGGTGGTGCTGGAGAATTCTATCCGACCCATGGGTCTGGATCGCTTTGCTTTGGGGTCAGTCCGGGTCATTGGCATCATATGCAAATGAGAAATGTGTGGACAGTTTACAACTTTACTAGGAGAGCAGCTACTTTAATGGGTTTTAGGTAATAAGCAAGAAATAAAATCCATCCCAGATGTGAGGAAGGGATAAGGTTATTCAAATCCTCAGGATAAAATATTGAGCAAAAGACCCTCGGCGAAGCCTTGGGGGTCCTGCTCAATATTGTATCCCCTGGGTTTGAATGACCTTATCTATACTTCACATCATCCCTATCTATACTCACATCAGGGATGGATTCTATTATTAAACATTTTTATTCATTTATTTCATACTCAGTTGACGTTGAAGACCCTCGAGGCTATAATATTGGAATGTTTATTTGCTATAGCAATGTTTATTCTCTATTTTCAGTATGCCTGGGTATCATAGTGGTTGTGCTTTTTGTGATCATTGCAAGGTGGAGTTCTTGCATAAGGCTGTATTGGAACGACTGGAATGGAATTGAAAGACCACATTTTGCATGCATGCCTTTTCAGGGCAGATTGGCCAACCAGATGTTTCAGTACGCATTCATGTATGCGTTTTCCAGGGACAAGGAACTGGTTATCATGATGTCAGAGGCAAAGGAAAGTAACATACTCTCTTCAACATTTGAAATTGAATTCGGTCTAAATAATGATTATGGATTTGGATTAGGAAAAGGAGATTGCCTCTGCTTCCAAAAATATGAAGATGATTGGGATTGTGCTTATGATAAACAGTTTGAAGAAATTGAGAAAAGACAAGACAGTTATTTGTATGGCTATTTTCAATCCTGGAAATACTGGAAACATTATGAAAATGAAATACGAAGCAACTTTCACTTTCAAGAACATGTCAAAATATCTGCTCAAGCAGTTTTACAAAACATCATACAGAAAAGTGGCAGTAGTCCGGCCCGTGGTGATATTCTTGTAGGCGTACATATTCGTCGAGGTGATTATGTGAACAAGGCAGTTTTTACTGAATACGGATATACAACTGCCACTGAACAGTATTTACATAAAGCTACTCAATTTTTTCGAAAACGTTATAAAAACCCAACTTTCATAGTTTGCTCAAATGATTTTACCTGGGCACGAACAGCGCTTGGGAAATTCAGTGATGTGTACTTTGCAGAGGGAAACGCCCCTGATACAGACATGGCATTGCTCTCATCCACAAACCATACAATTATGACTGTTGGCACTTTTGGTTGGTGGTCCGCCTTTCTGACCAATGGAACAACAGTATACTACAAACATCCATATATTGAAGGATCACCCTTTAGCAAGCAGTTCCATGACAGCACCACAGAACACTTCTACCCGGGTTGGATTGGACTGGAGTAACTTGTATAATTGTGTACATTTGTATATACAGGATCTTACGTGAGTTTCCATTTCATATGAGATTTATGAAACAACTCTGAAGAATTTTTCAATTTAGCGAGCCTCTGGCAAGCTAAAATGAAAATTTTGTGACGAGTTTCATAAATTTCATATGAAATGATAAGGAGTGTAATATCCTTTTTATCACATGATCATGATTGATGGCATTTATTCGTGTAAAACGACAATTTTCATGCAACCTAGAAATGTAAAATGCCGCCTTTTTGACTCCAGTGCGTTAGTCTGTGACGTCATGTACTTGTCCTGAGAGTGACGTCACAATTGAAACAATTGAAATTTACAACCAATCACAGGGCTGATAGGTCATATTACATGGGTTAATATGCAAAAACAATATGACATGGGTATATTCTCTGGATAAGAGTTAAGATTATGTGATATTTTTTTTTAGATATTAATAAAATAAGTGAAATCCAAATGCAATCAAACTTCCATAAATCAAACTCCGATGATTCAAGCTTCTCTGTGTGTCGAAGTCCAGAATTTTCCCCAATTAACACTATACTAATTTTCATCTCATGAATCAAACTTTTATAATTCAAATTTCTCGCTGTTTCGAAGTATTATCAAGGCCCATTCGTTATGAAAACATTGACAATTACAACTGATAAATCAAAGTGAAATAATTACCTGTACTAGAACATTGAAGTGTCTGGTGGTTGTTTACATAGCATAGGCTAAGGAAATTTAATTGACAGAGAAATATTGAATTTGATAAGATTTCCAATATTCAGATTTAAAATTAAATGTATTAGCCTGTGTTTCGTCACATATTTTAAGATTCACATTCTGTCCTGTTCTGTCTTTTTCCAGATAGTCCCACAAAGTTTGGAACATCGAAGTTTGACTGTATGTCATAAAAACTTCTGGTGTATTTCATAGTATTACATGTAATTAGATTTGTTTTTAACCAGATCGGTTGCAGCATAATGAGCTGCAGCTAATCCTACTAAAATATACATTGCTAGGCACTCAATTTACATTACAGCTACAAGAGCCCAGAAATACAACTTAAATAAATTCTCAATTCTGATATCTTCAAAAGTTAATAAGAATATTTATGTTCAGAAGTCATCTCTGTTTGAAACAGTGGATTGATTGTTGGAAACCCAACACAAGACTATTTATGAGGTAATGTGGAAATTTAAGAATATCATATTTGAGAAGCCATGTGATATTGGAGTCAGATCTTCTAAGTAAGGACTGATCAGAGAGATTACACGTATTAAGATTAACATTAAAGTTCACTGTCTTTACTAGGTTTAAAAACGCCCTCGATATATTGCCAATATGATTGTCTGATGTGTTTTTGAATTTGATGCTTAATTAGGTCTTTAAATTTTGATTTGAGGTCTGGATGTCCTGATTTCTTCACTTTTTTGTACATGCAATCTCTCTTATGTATTAAGATTGACATGAGAAATATAATGTTCCCATATAAGATATACCAAAAAACATACTTTTATTTTCGTAACAACAACCATCACTTCAGTAGTATGCCATGTCCAATACCAGTAATAGCACCCATCTTTTATATCTCAAAATAAAGGGATTACTTTACAGGGAAATTTCGCTGCTATTAATTTTCGCCTTTTTTGCCCTCCGTAATGAGGGCAAATTTATCATTACAACGAAACTTTGTGAACAACATAATATGAACAGTAAATTACTGTAATCCTTCCTTTAATAGTGACTAGCTATATATAGACAGAGGGGATACATGTTGACATAGCTGTGTCACTGTTATCTGAGTATATCTAATTATAGAAGCTGTTGCTATTGTTATTAATACTATTGACCTTTATAGCTTCCTTATACTTATCTAAAATATCCTGTTTTAGATAAAAAATAAATTGTGCCTGGATGATGGCTCTTCCGCCTCATTCGTATGTATGACTGTGTTTTTATACGCCCGTCGAAGACGGGGACGTATTATGTTATCACGTGAGCGGGCGGCTCACTTGACTTGAGTCCTAGTGTCATGCTATTTGGCCTATTGCGTGCCGAGGTGAAGTACTAACAGTGCTATCAGATTTTACATGGGTCAACTACTAATTATAGTCAACTACTAATTATATTAGTGGTCATTATATTTGGTCTGTTTGACATTTTAAACAAAATCTGTTTTAGTTCACATCAATTTGATTCCTGAATGTTAAAATATAAAAATTAGGTCTGGAGTCAAGAAATTTAGGGTGGGGCAGGCGTCTCACCATAATGGTGAAGTGAAGGGTTTCAGCAAATTTTGTCTGTTCAGTGAACGCTTATTTCAGGAATAATATTAGACTGGGACCGCTTCAGAGGAGGTTTATTTCAGAAAAAAACACCAGACATAAAGACCCTCCCACCCCGAAAAGATTTCTTTTGGAGTCAATTGGCGAAAAAGAGCACTAAGAAGCTCTTTCATGTTGATCAGCATATTTGGGCAATATGTAAGCTCTGTTCGACAGTTAGTAGCCAGGCAAACTCGATATCCAAAGATTCCTTTCTTGATACACACATCTTTACTGCAGATTAGTAATATGTTTGGAGAGCAGGACCCCCAGATTTTTGGGATGGCAGCCATCTTGTCTAAATAGAATTTGAAGTTCTAGAATGCATCTGCACACCAAATTTTGAAATGTAGTAATTACTAGCCAGTTATCGTTTGAAGGACATAATTATAGGTAACCCAGCAAAGGCAAAGTGACTCTTAACATTATGGGATGGGGGGATAGATAAACAGATTTTAGCAGAAACCAATTATTTTGTGTCTGTAAGAAGTAGGGAATTAGTTTTTGAGTTATCAAGTCTTTTATAAATATTCAGATGCTAGTCATTCATTGAATTTAAAATTAACAAGAAAGTCTGATTGTAAATTCTTTAGCTGTTTGTTGCAGATGTCTGGGTTTATTTAGAACGTTTCCTACTGCATGTTTTTGCAATTGTTGTAAAAGATATATTTTGTTAATTTGTTAATCCTTTACCTGACACTACAACAGAATTTTTTTCAACAGTGGAGCAGGTGTTGTGAATGTAGAAAACACGCTGTTAACATTTATTTCGCATACTGTCTGGGGCCCCATTCCAATGACGTCAGACTTTGTTTACACCGTCTGTGGTACCAGACTTTGTTTACACCGCCTGTGGTACCGGACTTTATTTACACCGTCTGTGGTACCGGACTTTGTTTCCACCGTCTGTGGTACCGGACTTTGTTTACACTGTCTGTGGGACCGGACTTTGTTTACACCGTCTGTGGTACCAGACTTTGTTTACCCCGTCTGTGGTACCGGACTTTGTTTACACTGTCTGTGGTACCGGACTTTGTTTACACTGTCTGTGGTACCGGGCTTTGTTTACACCGTCTGTGGTACCGGACTTAATTTACACTGTCTGTGGTACCAGACTTTGTTTACACCGTCTGGTACCGGACTTTGTTAACACCGTCTGTGGTAGCGGACTTTGTTTACACTGTCTGTGGTACCAGACTTTGTTTACACCGTCGGTGGTACCGGACTTTGTTAACACCGTCTGTGGTCCCAGACTTTGTTTACACCGTCTGTGGTACCAGACTTTGTTTACACTGTCTGTGGTACCGGACTTTGTTTACACTGTCTGTGGTACCAGACTTTGTTTACACCGCCTGTGGTACCGGACTTAATTTACACCGTCTGTGGTACCAGACTTTGTTTACACCGTCTGTGGTACGGGACTTAATTTACACCGTCTGTGGTACCAGACTTTGTTAACACCGTCTGTGGTACCAGACTTTGTTCACCCCGTCTGTGGTACCAGACTTTGTTTACACCGTCTGGTACCGGACTTAGACTTTGTCGTAGACTTTGTTAGACTTTGTTTACACCGTCTGGTACCGGACTTTGTTAACACCGTCTGTGGTACCGGACTTAATTTACACTGTCTGTGGTACCAGACTTTGTTAACACCGTCTGCGGTATCGGACTTAATTTACACCGTCTGTGGTACCGGACTTAATTTACACTGTCTGTGGTACCAGACTTTGTTAACACCGTCTGTGGTACCGGACTTTGTTTACACCGTCTAGTACCGGATTTTGTTTACACCGTCTGTGGTACCGGACTTTGTTGACACTGTCTGTGGGACCGGACTTTGTTTACACCGTCTGTGGTACCGGATTTTGTTAACACCGTCTGTGGTACCGGACTTTGTTAACACCGTCTGTGGTACCGGTCTTTGTTTACACCGTCTAGTACCGGATTTTGTTTGCACCGTCTGTGGTACCGGACTTTGTTGACACTGTCTGTGGTACCGGACTTTGTTTACACCGCCTGTGGTACCGGACTTTATTTACACCGTCTGTGGTACGAGACTTTGTTTACACCGTCTGTGGTACTGGACTTTGTTTACAACGCCTGTGGTACCGGACTTTGTTTACACCGTCTGTGGTACCGGACTTTGTTTACACCGCCTGTGGTACCGGACTTAATTTACACCGTCTGTGGTACGAGACTTTGTTTACACCGTCTGTGGTACTGGACTTTGTTTACAACGTCTGTGGTACCGGACTTTGTTTACACCGTGTGTGGTACCGGACTTTGTTAACACCGTCTGCGGTATCGGACTTAATTTACACCGTCTGTGGTACGAGACTTTGTTTACAACGTCTGTGGTACCGGACTTTGTTTACACCGTCTGTGGTACCGGACTTTGTTTACACCGTCTGTGGTACGGGACTTTGTTTACACCGTCTGCGGTACCAGACTTTGTACTATTGACATGCCTGTTTATGTGATTTCGATTGCGTTTGATCATGAATACTTATAATGCCTTGCTTTTAACGAGACAATTCAAGTGATGTCCACCATTCATGGTGCAATTCACCCTGGCGACCAATTTTGGATCAGATGCATAAAGCTTTGTATTAGACAGAGAGACCATGCGTCGTTGTCAACAGTTTGGAATTCCATTTAGGCAATGCTAAAGCAAGTCGTCCTTTTTGTTTAACCATGTAAATTCAGGTTAATAAAGATATTATAAACAATATTTAATTCAGAATTAATCTACATAGTGCATGTGTTAAGGTAAACTATTACAACATTTTTGAATCTCGAACTTTAATGTGTAGGTAACACCATAATTTACCAAATAAAATGTAATTTGACTTGTTTTCCTGTCCACTTTAGTGCTTATACGGCCTCATGACATAGATTGTGAAATTGTTTCAAAATTATTCTTTAGTGCGTGCAAACATTTGCTACCTTATTCTTCATTTTCATATCACCAGCATGCCATGCACAACTGATGTCATACTTTCTCGAAGCTGCTGTCAAATTGTTCCTTTCTGCCTTTTTAACATAGATGTTTGTCAAAACAAGTAGATATGCACGTACATGCATGTACCCGTACACCAAAGCTTATTTTTCCAAGGCAAGTCACACACGACTCACTTTTTTTTGCGTAAACTTCATTCGCTATGTACTTGGGTAATGGGAGGCATATGTTAGAGCGCCTCGTATGCATACGATGCTAGGAAAAATAGTACACACGCTCATGGTTATTTGTAACGGTGTGTCGCTGACATGGTAGAAGTTAAGGTGAAGTTCTTCGTTTGTAAACTTTAATATTTATTTAAAGTAAGAGAAGGTCAATGAATGGTGTATTAGGTTGAACATTGTATTGGCACAATCTGTCAAGTTTTTACAACTGGCTATGCTCCAAAAGTTCGCCTTGATTTGAGCCGCAGATAGAACACGTGCTTTACCAATTATTCCAATGAGCGAAGAAACATCCAAATCAGTCAGTTTACTCAGTGCGCTGTCGCTGAGGATTACACTTGCGGCCAACAGAAGGACCGAGACAATAGTTCCGGTGGCCATTGACATAATTATTATCAGAGCAACGCATATCAGGATTAAGATAAACAATGAGATGACTATCATACTAGACACCAATATGAATGTTATTATTGGCAACATTGTAAAAAGGGTACACCGGAAAGTTGATTCAGTACACAGCTTCGCCAACACAAATGTTATCTTCGTGTACGGTGAAATCGCCTGTGTCGTTGTTGATTCCGTCACAGCTTCCTTTGAGTACTGAGTGAGAGATGCGAGAATGATTACTGAAAACTTGAGCATGAGCAACACAGGGACAAGAGTGATTGTTTATTTTTCTAAAGGTTTATTCAATATGACATATCAATACATTTGAACAAAGTTCATTGAACAAAGTGTTATTACAAATGCTTACTTTAACAAAATGAAGGAGAATGTAATTCGCAGATTTTGATATGATGTACGTGAACTCTTATCTATGTTGTTTTATATAATCCTATTAGGCAGAGAGACTAACGTTTTACTTATAACAAGAACGTGTCAGAAAATTGTTTTCTGCTCCTTGTTTTCAAAATGATAAACTATTTGTCCTATTGGTGCGAAGTTTTCAATTACATATTGATTAGTGTTATGATTTGTTTTCTATTCCCTGTTTTTTTTCAGTGGTAAATAATTTGTAATATTGGTGTGAAGTTTTTAATTACATATTGATTGGTGTTATGAAGATTGTGTGCCATTCCTTAGTTTTGAAATAATAAACATTCCGTAATATTGTTTAAACTTTTCAATTATATTTGATTGCTTTTAAGATAGATTACCCATTATTTCCCTTCAAGATATGGTATAACGTCTTTAGTCTACTAATCAGGAAGAGGCAGGCATAGTTTAAGGAACCGTAATAAGCAACCTATCGTTTGTAACTACTCGTTGTATTTAATAATCAAAACTATTTAGAAACAAAGAGATCTTAACATTTCAACTTAAAGGATTTTCCCTCCAATATTTTCATTTTGCAACGAACTTTATTTTCCAGAATTGGTTAGACTCGGTTATACGATCTATGTATTATCTTCTTCGTTTAAGACTGCGCTTTCCAAAACTAGTGATAAACACAAATAACCGAAAATCTACACTTTTGAAGATTTTTTATTTTTTTTTATTTCATGTATGGTTTTGATGTATGAAGTGCATTTTTTAAATGTTGACTTTTTCAGTGTAACCTAAGTATATTCTTAATGGTATTGTCGTACTCATAGCTAGAGCATTAATCATTTTCTCCCCTCATTTGTATCTTTATTTATACTAAAGGAAATAAAAAAAAGAAATTGACGGAGAAAATGCTGTTTTGTTATAATAGTCGAACGAAGAGTTTTATTACTGTACGATGAAAAGACAAGGCTATGGATGGCGGCTCGCGGAGAAAAAGTGAAAAGAGGCATTGCTTTTTGGGAAAAAATAATTCACATAGAGTGTATTAATCGACTCGTTACGGTTGCCAGTCGTATTTTTCATATCATGTTCCTCTTATTTTCAAAAGTTCTATCTGATCTGATTCGAGTAAGATAAAAACCGTCACTAGTTGATGAACTTCTCTTTATTTGGTAAGTTTTTATAATTTCTCTATCCTAAGCACAAACCATGTTCGCCCAAAACATAACTATAATGACTTAAATATTGATAGATGAATGAGGTAAAAACTCCCCACACATCATACACGTAGGTTTGGACTAGGTCCTATTAAAAATGGATTCTCGTTGATGCTCGATCATCCTGATATAATGCGTTAAAATTCAAGCTTTGCATAAATACCATAAGGGATTTTTTTCTCTCTAAATTTAAGTATAAATATAATGAAAATGTTTTTAGAATTGATTAGGATCAATAATAATAAGTTGGACCACCATTTATGCTTAGTGATATATTTAAAAAGCAACACTTACCTGTTAGCAAACAGTTATCTGAATCTTGTCCACTTTCACCGATATGATTGCATTATTTCGTAATGTAACATCGGATCAATACCCCTATTTGTGTCGTAATTTCACGGGGAGACAATATTTACTTCCAATGTTCATGTACCGTTAAAAATTGGGGTTAACTATCGGTCAATAATATAGACTATGAAGTAACTGACTTACCTTAATTTGATTTTGATTTCTTTTGCAACCACAGTCCCTCCTTTCCTTTTCTCCGGGAGTTTTATAAATGGAGGCCTGACGACAACAATTATGAATCCATTCCTTTCCTTCGATGATCTTTGACTACTGCAGTGTAGTAGATTTCTTGCAATTCATTTCGTCAGCATAACAATGTATTTTTATCAAATCTTTATTAATCGTTGTCAACAATCACAGAATTGAAGTTTATACGTTTGTCATCGTTGTTAGGAAACCGTTATTGTCTTGCTGTTATAAATATCAATATCAATGTGAAGAAAGTCTGTGATGCCTTCATTTCAAATTCTTAGTGGAAATATTAATCTCTCTTCTTGAATATCCTTGTATGAATACTAAATAAAAAAGTAGACGTGAATAGCACTTAATATCATCCACTTTTCAGAATATCTATTGTAAACTATCAAGTATTACTTAAGATGCATTTCACAAAGCCCTCACCTTAAGATGTAATGCTTAAATAAAACTTCGTAATATGCTCTTGATTTACATTGTTACAATTAACACACACGTTGAACTTCAAACCACGGTATTTTGAGTGTATTGGATGTTCTCTGTTCAATGAAGGCAAGTGTTATGATAAATAAAGTGTCTATAACTAAAATGCTGTTATAGCCTCAACTCTGGACAAACATTTGCATTGTTTTCTCGTTTTTCTTGTAATGATGTCTTTTGAACGAATTGTTCTAATAAGGTGAAATCTGATCTGTATAACCTCCAAACCATTTACTTGGACAAGGATGGTCGGGTGGTGCAGTGGATAGCGTACTTGCCTTTCACCAAGGCGGCCGGGGTTCGATTCCCCGATCGGACGTGACAAGGTATGGGGCCACCTGCCCGACCACCTGGGTTTTCTCCGGGTTCTCCAGTTTCCTCCCACACAAAGACCCCTCTCGCGCTAATATCCGGGCCAACAAGAGTGATTACTATAAGTTAACATAACTTGTTTCTTAATTGTTGTAAAATAAATAAAGTTTATATTTTTAACTGGACAAATACTCCCTCCATTTCAATAGCAAATTCGAGTTGAAATAGCAATGAGGAAAAGGACGAACGGCGGGTATTGATAAATATATTTTTATTTGAATGTCGTAATGATACGAACGTAATAGGAAATGATCACAATGTTTAAAACATGTATAAATAAAACACGATGAGAAGTTAGCTATTCTGCTTACACATGAAACTTGTAAGCCGTATTGAATCCTCACCGGATATCTATCACCGGACAGTAGAATCCACGGAAATCAAGGTAACACACTGTCCATTGACTCAATAATTTGCTAAAGCGTAAGGATAAAATGTTAATGCGATGGTTTCCTACAAGAAAAATGTGTTTCCTTTAAGTTGTATTTGAGTTTGTGTTAAATAGTGTCTAAAACATTTCGCAATGTGTAAACATTAAGAAAAATGGTTTTTGGTTTAAACAGTGCTCCGTTTGTTTCCGTTGGTCTCGAAAGTATTCATAAAACCGTTCTCATACTAAAACTCCCGATTCTGTTCCGGAACCCGATTCTTAATTTTAAGTGGTTAAGTTATTTAACTTGAAATATATGTTGTGGGTAATTAGCTTAAACTTATAGTTATGTGTATATTTGTTGACTTGAACCCATCGTGAGATATTGATATGTTACAAGAAAGTTGGTTTAAGCACAGAATTGAGTTTTAGCATAAGAACGGTTTTATAAATAAATGTATTGGAATTATTCCATTTATCAAGTTGTAAGAAAATTCTTTTGATGATGCCGAAATATGTGGAAGTTGGGTAAGCGTTTTCATTTTCTAAGCAAGTGCATCTTTCTGTGGTTTTCAGAGGATTTAATTACTAAGAAACATTTAACAATCCTACTTTTACACATTTGAAAAGTACACAGTGCTCCAATGTGGCGATGATATCAAGGCAAACACCAATGTATTTCAAGACAATAACTTGATCTTGAACTCGGTACTCGGCGAAGAATCACAACAGTGAAATTGTTTATTCCGAATCTAAGTAGCCACTAGGGCATCGTTACTTATGAACTACGTCTTATTTATGCTACGATTTCCAAGGCTTTGAAAATATGTTAGCGGGTCGGAAAGTTTTCATCTAAATGAATTGTTACCGTCAGTGGGTGGAAAAAGACATAAACGTAGCGTTGCATTTAAATACCATACGGAAATGCAATTATTTTAAACAGAAGACATGACCGTTGCATACTCAGGTTACTGAACAGTTCAGTTGGTTGGTTGGTTTAGTTGTCAGATCGTTGTAACCAGAAACATTGACTAAATGTTCACCATCAACAGTTGTAAGCGAAACCAATAAGAAAGCTAGCCCTTGGAATATCGTTACATGCAACCTACAATAGGCATGCCAATATAGACATAATGTTATCATGTTTCCCTGTTCTACATGATTGCTGCACCGCCTTCTTCGATATGGGTTGGCTCGTTGAATGGGTAGTTTTGACTTTTTCTGGCACTGAAATAGAACAAATAACCTCAATAAGCTACAGAAATTATGTATTAACATTAGCTTATTTTTGTCGATCGTAATTTGAAGTGAACAAAACACATGATTTCACAATTCATTAACGCTTGCTTTGATGAACCAAAAGAAATCGAAATGTACCCTTCATGTTACTAAAACTACTTCAAGCTTTCATTTAAGAACATAACAAATACCAGATAATGATACCAGTAATGATGGCACCCTTACACAAAATAATAATTGAATATATAGTTCTTAATCTGTTTTAAAATAGAACTGCAAGATACAGATTTATTATGACTATTTGATGTCTAGAAACATAAAATGTGAAGTGCATATATGTACTATTTAGAGCCCGATCACGATCAATGGTCGAGGGTTCGGGTATAGTTTGTTTGGAAACTAAACTATATTTCTTGCAGATTTATCTTTTAATTATTACCCTTCAAATCCATATGCTTTCTGGTTTTTGTTCAGTGCTGAGATTTGCTCCATTTCTCTGGCAGTAAGCGAAAAGTCAAATAACTACAAAACAGAAATGTTCTGGCTGTATTTATTCATTAATAAACAATAGAAACAATTAAATGGTATACACTTTTGAGATCATAATATCTTTAAGAAGGTAGTTACAATAATGGTATGTATGTATAAGTACGATATTGTCGCCAAATCATTTGAATAGGACTAAAGGTATGACACATCTGTGATTTTTTTCCATTCAAAATCCTTTTATATTTCTCACTAACACAAAATGTACTGTACTGTAATGTAAAGTACTGTAGCGAAGACTTGACTCTGTTGTTACTTTGTATGTATGCTGCATAACGGTGTTACTTTTTTGCTTTTCCAAGTTAAAATAATGTTATATCTCAAAAACATCTGTATAAAAAAGGTAGGATTAGTTAATTAATCAAATAATATCAATTTGTATACTTTCATGCCGACTGACTGACTTATGTCATTACACAGTCTAAAGGGAGACAATTTTGACCTCAATCACGGCGAGGTTAATATCAAAGTTAAGCAAATCATCAAAGAGAAATATTTTTTAATCCACTAAAATACACTCATTTCTATTCCCACTTTCTCAAAATTTTCCTAAATCGTACACTCGTCAGTGCATTGGTATTAATACTTACGACATGATCCCGAAACCGAATGTAGAGTCCCATTTATGATCTTATCTATCACGATATTTTTTTGTATCTCCTGTTTTTAGAGAGAATAGTAACGTTGATGCAAATTTTAACTATTTTCAGTTTACGCCGGCCACAAAAAACACTAGACACGGAATGTAGAAGTACCATTATTACCCTTAATATAATTTCTTTGTTGTAATTAGGATGTAACATGTTTTATTACTATTTGAGTATTTTCATTTTGTTTACTTGAATATGTTGTTGAGTAGGAGGAATTGGATAAATATTGTGAAAATCAGTCAACACATTCATACACTGGAAGCTAAATTAAATGTGGCAGCTGATATTTTCCGGAGGCAAAAACACACAAAAATATTAATAAAAAGGATGATATTTTTACGCACATACCAAACGATTGTCTTGTTATGAATTCCAGGCCAATATGTCGTGGCATATATTACTAGCATACGACACTTATGATCTTACGTTTAAATTTTCTTTTAATCTTTTCGGATTCGAGCTCTTTGGTATGACAGCGTACCCTCTCTGGACTCCCCACCGTAGGGCGATCTGCACATAAACAGTTATAACGTTACATACCCAATTCCGTCTTTGCCAATTGCAGAGTAATCTTCTCTTGTGAGCAGGTATTGATTGTTACGTCATTGGTTGTGTGAGAAAATTACATCGTTTCCTCAAAAATTCTTGACGTTACTCTCACAAACCAATGACGTAACAATCAATACCTGCTCACAAGAGAAGATAACTATGCAATACACAAAGACGGAATAGATAACGATAAATGTAATAACTTTCGATTGATAAACTTGACAATTCATATTTAGATTTGTTTGGTGCCTTTGACATGAAACAATAATTTGTTGTTATATATGCTGACAGTATCGTTAAGGTCTTGGAACAAAGATAATAACAGTGACAACAACGTTACAGCTAACAATGCATAGCAAGTATGACACGGGTTGAATGATATCACTATATCATATATTGGTGATTACATAGCAGGGTCCAGTTGTTCAAATATGACTAGCTTAACGAATCATAACTGCAAACTGTTTTAAAATAGTTTTTTTTTGTGAAATTTCCAAACATACGACCTTATTTTGAATCCTTACAAATTTTGTTAGTTTTGATTTTACATGATTCTTAACAAATTGAAGATGAGAATATTTTTCGTTTGTTCACCTACAACTCTGTAAACAAAACTATTTTCCTTTGAATTCGTTTTTTTATATTTAAACGTGTGAATTTACCTGACCCGGTGTTCGTCTATGGAATTTGCCAATTTTTGCTATAACCGGTTCCTGGAGAAGTGAAGGTTCATCTTTTTGTACCCTGTAAAATGGTATAAACTTGAATGGAACATGGTCTTGAATCTCCTTTTTTAGGGACACATTATCGTTATAGCAAGCAGAGAACTAGATAGTAAATAACTGTTAAAGTGTGAGGAATAACTTAACACCTATTAAAAAAAAACCTTCTCTTTCCTGTTAATGGTCATTGTATAAAGTATGCAGTTTACATGTTTATCAAATGACTAAACAACCATATATTACTTAACTGCCTAAGATAACGGAAAAAAACCGCGTACTTGAACGATTAGGATTAAGATCTTCCATGCACTATAGTCATCGCATGTAATATACAGTTATCATATTGATCGACATAACATAAGGGAAAGAGATTATATTATAGAATGCTTTTATAATTGCAACTGTATTGTCCATATAGTTTCGCTGTATAGCTAGGGTCAATGAATACTCATTAATACGAAAGGTGTCTCTCAACATTAGCAATATTCGACATTAGATCAATGCTTTCTCACCATGGTCTTGCCGGTGCTCCGAGAGGTGCATATGCTACTACTGGTGTGTCTCGTCTTTGGCAAAATTGGACTAGTTTCTCGTTGACATAGTAAGGTGAAACCTCTACCTTAAAGACATAAAGGAAATCTCGGGCCATTATCATATTTTGTTTATGTGTAAAAAATAAAATTATCACACTGGGTTACAAATTATGGTAGCAAACATCTGCAGATGTGAACTTTATTGCTAATAGTACACAGCAATAGCTTTGTAATGCAAAATATACTACATATCATAAAAAATAAAAAAAATCCACTGACCTGGTTACACACTGGCCGGTACCGTAGCCCCGGAGATTCAAGTAACCTCTGAAGTTGAGCACAGTTGAAGTTGGACACACCTATATACCTGACGGAACCTTCGTCTACCAGTGACTCTAATACCTAAGAACCATCAAAACACATGTGAGAAATGCAATAAGCCGTTTATCATATAATGCAAAACGGGAAAATTTCGTTCTAGATTTATTCCTTGGAGAGAAAATGTTGGTTCAATATCGAACGTAAGATACAAACATGTGATTTTGCATAAAATTTGGTGATAGAAACTGTACGCTGCACCATACGACCGTTTCGTCCATCTAGTGATGCTAGGGGCCAAAAAGACAGAGAAATCTTGATATAGGTCTTTTGAAACAGAGGGGGAGAGGCATAAAACCTATTCATCAAATGAAGGTTAAAAAATTAGAGGATCACTGGTTAATACCAAATTACTGATGAGTAAAATGTGTCATGTATTAATGAATCGACGTTTCATGAACCTCACATAAATATACAATATTCTTTAAATTTTCATATTTCATAAAATCCTGATAAGAGCTACAGTGTTAATACTTCTAGGTAGTAATACACCAACCTTCCATGTGTCTACGTAATCTACATCCGTTAAGCTAAAGGTTCCATCCTCTTCTTTTGGAAAACATTCGTCTCCTTCCTAAAATAAGCATATGGCAGTATAATGATTTCACTATCATTCAATCGGTGTCGTTTCTTATTAAAATCATATCTCTCCTCCTGACATTGCAATCATAGTTTCCTGCAATTATTCGGTTGAAACATTGTGACACTTTACAAGCCACACATCCATTAACGAGATCATTGAATGAAAAACAATGGAAAAGCATAACTGTTTAATACGCCTTATTTACTGGTCTTGTGTCTGAATGCGAAAAAGCTAACTGCTCCTACGAGTTAGGACCAATACCAACTTACCTTAAGCCCGAAAGGAACCTGAATAAGCAGGAGATCTAAGTATTCCAGTCCCAGGTCTCCCAGTGTTTTCTTGAGGGATTCGAGACTTTTCTCTGGTCTAAGATCTGTTCCCCAAATCTACGGAAAAATGTTAGAAAGAATGGTATATCTGTAATCCTAGTCACACTATTTACTTTATAGCTTTTTCATATCGCGTATTTATAGTATAATACCAGTCTATTACTTGATATGTAAAGATGATCTTGGTTTAACGACATATCTCATTGTCGATCTATGTCAATGACTTTTTTTTGGATATTGTTATCTCAATTGAGGTCATCCATAACGTTTCGGAAACTAAGGTGCGTTCTTCAAAACAAGCAACTTGTCATAAAGAGGGAAATATTTCATCGACTGGTGATACAAATGTGTCAAAATAAGTGCTTTAGAATTTTAGTGTAGATACACACAGATGTACCTTGGATGTAATAAAGAAGTCATCTCGATCAATTGTTCCTGTTCCAAGTGTTGTTTTCTCTTTAAGAATCTCCCCGATTTCTTTTTCATTTTTGAACAGAGCTGCACAGTCAATGTGACGGTACCCCAGATCTATGGCTTCTCTTAAGGCAGGTCCTACTTCATCCGGGTTCTGAAAGAAACAAAGGTCCAACTTTCAATCAAATATGATGATGATTGGTACATTACTGCCAGATTCATATAAACACGTTTCAAGAATAGATATATCTCATTTATCTCATCGACAATTAACGTCGAATCTAAGGGAAAATTAACGACCCGTTTTTCAGCGCGTGCGTCATCAGCTTTAAGTTTAAAAATAATCGGCTATTTTAACTTCCAGGTCTGATCATTCAGGGTGAATGTTCAACATTTTACAACTGGCTATATTTTAGCATAATATGTGTGGAAATTGCGATGAAGACAAGTCCTCAAGATAGAAAGTTATTTGATGTGAACAATGTCGTTCTGAGTGGTGTATGATGAGTAAATTGGTATACAAGTGATGTGTTTTAGTTTTAAAAGTTAAGCAACGGTGTAGATTGCATGTTTTTTTTTATAAATGACACAACATCTGAGACATGTAATAAGCTGACCCATGGAAGAGAGAGTTTCACCCATACAGTGTACATGTGAGCCCTTTTCTGACTTAACATCCTTCTGATTAATAACTGTGACCTGGCAACCACGTTCTCCCCGTCCACAGCTATGCTTTGAACTGTGTTCCTACACTTTGGTAAATTGGGATCTAATGAAATATCCCAAAGATCAAAATATACCCATCATGTTTCATCCCCTTTCCTGTGATGTCGACGTGGAACAAACGGTTCACAGAAGTGGGTGTATGGGTGATAAGGGGGTTAATGTGACGATCATTTTTCTTACAAGTATTTGAAAAAAAGATCGATTGATCAAATTGTGGCATTTACTTTGAAAACAAGGACAAGTATTTACTTCGTAATGGAATGAACGTCATTGGCTATTATTGGTAAATGTAGCCTCTGACAAGATAGTCGTTTATATTGTATTACAGACCTAGACCATCTTTTTGTTTCCATCTTGTTAACACTAATACGCTATTATATTTTTGTGAATGGCCTAAACTATGACTGAAGCTGCATTTCCTCGGAGCTATTAGAGAGTAACATCACACCATTGTAAATGGGAATGGACAAGAAACGTTTGTCTAACGTTATTCTATCAAATCATTAGTACGGCGTTAGGGTCATCTCTGCAATAACGCAATAACAAGATACTATGATTTGGTTACATTCCTATGCATATCTGGAATTGTACAACATGTATATAAAACATAGCTGTATTTTGCAGTCACTACGTCGTCGTCAGATTTGAGAAAGAACCAATGTTTTAGTAGACACTCCGGTGTCTATCAGAGGCTTTATGTGTATGGATGTATGCTGTTCGAGTTGTAACAAATATTGAGATTACGTGGTATCGATAGACGATCATAACATGTGTTTAAGATACACCGTTTATCACGATGAGAAAAATCTCCAGAATGCTCCGTATCGTTTATATATATCTATGATTTGACGGGTGGGATAATACAACTCAAGGGTATTGATAGCAAGCATGATAACTTAGTTCTGTCTGTATAGTCGAATTGTACAGAAACACACGTTAAAGCATGGTTTACTTCTCGTCATGTATACTGAATTACAAACTTAAATATTATTTACGAAACGTAGCGAATAAGATGTACACTCGTACATTCAAATAAAAAATGTTTTCGTCTTCAATAAAATGTAATATCATATAAATGCTTAAGTTGTTAAGTTCTAACTACCCTTTTAATGAATATATAAAGGAAAGATAATACCGGCTTATTATAATCCCGTTGTACATCATTTGTAAAGACGTATGTTGCTTTTAAAGATTTGTGTTTAAATGATAATGCTTTCACACTTATATTGATGTTTCACAATCAAAAATGTTCTGAAATATATAAAAATACAGTGTGTGGGATTTTTATACAACATAACAGGCATGATGCAATCTTCGTAGAAGTAAGATGACTAATCTTTTAAGAATGGCGCGATCGTCCTTTTGTATTTAAATAGCTATTTGCGGGTGAGTAGGTTCCAGTGAGGTAGTGCATAGTTATAGCTACCCGTGTTAGCACCGACAAACACACAGACTCCACAGTGTCTACGGCCATCTGACACTCGTATCCCAATAAAATACAGGAAAACTAAATTTAATATTATCACGTTCGATTCGGATATAATTATCTGTTTTTTAAAGATTTATCAGATACAAAAATAAATATGTATTATGAATACTTGTTAGGGTTCACAGACTGTTGAATATAATCGTGCAGTTCTAGTAGTATTCCGACTTCTACCATTCCAATATTAGTATATATAGTTGATGTTTTCATGTCATTATAGTGTTATTTTGACGAAACTGAATAAAGATAATAAGTTTGCCTACATTAAATTCACAATACAAACACATATTGATTTCACATAATCGCATCGATTAAAAACTTCGAGATTGTCCCTTAAAGTTACGTTTCTATACGAGTTGTTTTGAGTTAACCAACAATTATTTAAAAACCTTGATACTACAGTATTATGCCTTCTAAGTACTTGTTATGCTTAATTAGACGAGGCGTAGTACCAGGCCTTACCGCATATAGATGTCAATGTTTAAATGATCAAGTTATTCTACAATACAAGAAGACATTTACAATATATGCAACATGGTTACACTAAAACTTAATAATAACATTATACATTTAAACTCAGCTCTAAATATTTTTCTTTAAACACTAAATAAAAGGATATTGTAATCCTTATTTTTAACTGCAAGCCTATAATGTTCGAGACCTGTATAATAAAGTAGCTACAATACATGTTATATATCAATTTGTACATAATAACATTGACTTACACATGTCGTATATACCTTAATTGATTATCGAATATGAATGCATTACAAACCTGAACAGTTCCAAGTCCAACAAAGTGACAGAAGTCTTGACCATTTAGAAACCGCATTTTGGGAACTTTATGTTTGGTGGCAGCCATGTTGACCGACTACGAATTACAGCTAATAGTTATTGGCTACCTATTCCCAATGTTAAATACCAGGCGTACTGAATTGAAGGCGTACATTGATCCGGTTCTTAATTAGTCGTAACGAGGCCCGCAGCAAAACAAAACATTGGTATTATCATTGTTTTTCTCTCTCAATATAACCTAAACTTAAGTAAATTTTGTCGTTTAACAGTGTTCTCAAAATCAGAATAAAATTAAAAATGACTGATTCCGCTAAAGTTATAGACGCGGAGTTTTGGTCCCTCTGTCAATGCTCAATGATTGACTGATTTTCATCATAAAAAATGATATTGCCTCATGTTTCTTCCTCTTGTTTCGTTATATGATAGAATGGTCAACAGTTAAGAAATTTAATTGATCTTTAAAGAGATGGAAACAACACAGTCAGTTACAACGATTTACTGTTTAATTGTAGAGAAGGAGTTCGGGATGGACTTATTTCGAAAGATCTGTATATCGCCGGTTTATTCAGTTAGTCTCCAGCACATTACATCTACAGCACAACACAGATGCTGATACTTTGTACCTACCTCTAAGTTGTGTTTCAGCCTTGCTTCAGACACAGTCTTAAGTATATAGATACACCCTCGTTGCAAACGGCAGCGGAGTATCACCTTAAATAAGTAAACTTACCACATCCTATTATCACCACACACAGGTTAACATCTTGACATGTATAAGCATTAAGATGTAGCGTCAACGTTTAAATCAACATCAATAATAATTATAATAATAATTCGAGGTTCTTCTTATATACCGCTTTATCACAACCTAGTTCGTGGGTCGTCTCAAAGCGGTTCACAGATTATTATCCGTGGTTAAAGGGCCTTAGCAACCAGCCAATATCTTTCTCAACTTACTGGGGAGCACACAGCCGGAACTGCCAACCGCGTACTCATTTACAGCTAGGTAGACTGAAACAAGCGGAGTAAAGTATCTTGCTCAAAGATATAACACAGTGCCGTGCCGTGACTCGAACCCGCAACCCTTCGGTCACGAGCCCGGCGTCCTAACACTAGGCTACCGTGCCTCCTATTAACAAACAAAGACAAATTATGTTTAATTAAAAAAAAAGTCATCCACATTTATCAAAATTTGAAAGTTTATATATATAATCGATTTGCTGAAAAGGGACTGTGGCTTATTGGAATTTATCACACCTATAGTTCAATCAATTACATATGTCAAAGCAGAAACAGATGTAACATTATGCGTGTAATTTACTCTCCGTGGTCTGTCACCAGACTCCAGAGGGAAATAAAGCCGCTAAGACAATTCTATTGGATTTACAGAAATGGTACAACTTTTCACGGGAACTGTTAGGAGAGATTTCAATTTGGAAACAGAAACGAGCACGAGGTGCTAATCACAGTTTTAAATGTTGTTCTGATAGGGTAATTGTTTCCGCTATCAAATGGCGAACTTACGTTTATGGTTTCCGGTTCGGTAATCACAACAAGAATGGTCCTTTTGTTTGCAATATTTCATAAATGACATTTTTTTTTTATATAATTACCTGGTTACATGACAGAGGATGTTTCAAACCAAGATCTGAAATCTTCTGGGTCTGTTTTAAGTTGAAGTTGGATACATTTTTGGATCTACACATACCCTGCCCCTGGTCAATCAAATCCTGCATGGCTTGTCAATACAGTTATGTTGTTATTAAATGCTGAAAGAATCAAATGAACGTACACCTTCCTTAATCATTTTAGTGTTGTTGCAATATTTCCATAAATAAAGTAATATTTTATAAATTTTAAAACAACATCTGCAACATCTTCAAAGAACACAACCGATATATCTATATAAGGTTGTTTATTCTAATAGTAATTTTGACTTATTGTATCCATTGAGGACACACTTAAAAGGTAAACGGTAAATGCTTCACTGGTATCACTCAGGTATTGCACGCATCACATAGGTACTATTTACAAGGTACAAGGGAGGTAATTTAAACATAAATCACATTATGTACTGTGTACACATGTATACTGTGCAAGATAGTATAATACGCTTTGGTGCGAAACATACGTTATCTTCCACAAAATTAATCACTACCCTAAAATTCGATATCACATTGAAAAAACAATATTATCAAATGTATTCTGTCGTTTATTGATTCATTTCGGGAACGATCGGTGAATCGAGCCCCGGCCGTCTTGGTGAAACGAGGGCACAGTCGAAATGCCGATATCCTAATCTAATTGCTGTTTTAGTGACGTCTCCAAAAACATGATGATCTGACTATCAACGAAATAATGAAAAAAACATCAATGGTTTTTAATTGTACAAAAAAGTATTATTAGCCAGTTTTTTGTTGACAATCTTTGAATAACACTGATATGTTCCGAAAACAAAATCCATATTCACTTTAATTAACTGGGATTACAATAACAACTATTGTCAGCCAATTTAGTAGTGAGAAATACAGAACCGAATCGACTGTTAGTCATATACGATACACATTTTTGAGATAACACAAACTTTGAGATATCGAATAGTGAAATCGGATGTTTCAAATATTATCTTCAGTTAAACAAATAAATGATAAAATTCTGCTTCGTGACAACAATTCAAATATCGATAAGTGATATGGCCTGGTATAATCTATCTGTGGTTAAAATATCGTATGTTCACAGACCTTCTCTAAGCTAGGTGAACTTTAGCATTGCCATTGCCAGCTAAAACGACATCCTAAGTTTCAAGTGATCTGACCAAACAGACTTATTGTGCTTCCTAACAGTAATGTCTCATAGTGGATTATGACTTTATGTTGACACAGGTTAAATAATTCAATGCCCTCATAAGGTCAACGAATAACACCGTATCGGTGAGACAAAGTTCTCAAAACCCAATTATTATCACAATCATTCAGTAAGATATTTCATGGTGTAAGCAAATCGCCTACGTCAGCATAAATAATGTTGTTGTTGATATTAATGTTAGGACAATTCTACCACTCATGATAATCGATATGGCAGTTCAACAATGTGTGTTACAGTTCATGTGTTAGTAACGGCGTTGGACTTAAATAAATGCGTAGGCAATAATATTAGTGTCACATTTCTACTAAGTGTTGTTTTGGAGGTTAAATATATAGATCTTTTGACCATTAGCTTTCCATTAACCATCATTATCATCATATAACGTCTCCACTGCTTACAAATGTAAAACCTGGCAATTGTGTCGATACTCTTAAGTCTATTCCAAGTATCAATGCAGTCCAAATACACGATAAACTACTGAATAACGATGTCTATACCAGAGTAACTTCAATATGTGCTAAAGACATTAAACGTTAGCATGTCAAATTAGAACCTGCACTGATTAAAACTGCGTTCAATTTGTTTTGAATTGTTGGCGACATACATACTTCCCTAGATTTAGACTCCTAAATATGTTGCTTCTGTTGTTTGATTGAGGTTCTGGGTGCTGGAAAGAACATTATGTCTTTCTTTTCGTTTTGAATTGTTCTGAGCTCCTGTTGCCGTCTCTTGTCGTCTTTGATTCCTTATAAAATCACAACGCAGTGCATTTTCCAATTAATATTGCTATGATAAACATGTAGTAACACACTTTGATTTGATGAGTAACAGATAAATGACCAATACATCAGCACAGCTGATCGATAATACAAAAGGCTAGATAAGATGCAGCATACCTTTATTTTAAAAGAGTTAAATAGGAATTTTATGTAAAATCACATTCTTATGAATATGAATAAAAGCATAATGAAATGTGTACGGGAATCACCATCGTTCGTCGAACAAAACGTATGTTTTCCTGATTGTTGTCCATTCCTAAAATTCTTCGTGGAAAGGATAGTAGGGGCTGTGAGTGGCTCTGAAAATAATGAAACAAAATCTTGAAGTAAAATTTATGTATAGCCTGACGATAGATCGGACACTTTGTTATATAAAAGTTTACAAAATCTCTTAGTGGTTCACGAACGGTATGATTTTAGGTATGTCACACTTTGGGAGAACACTATTTCTCAATATTTTGACAATTTAGATAAACTGAAATATTTTATTGCAAGTACAGAGAAACATTACTATCCCCTGTCTCAGAGTTAATATCTACCATTTAAATATATTGAATATCTTATGTGTTCTTTAAAATGGTTTCTTGTCCCGGCATCTTATTATACAATGTATATGTATATGTAAAACAATAAAAATATAATAGCAGAGCTAATTTTAGGAATCCATTATTGTTGTAAATTTATTTTATTCTAAACATAAATAAATAAATGAATCAGAAAACAAAGCATTTTTTTTTTCGTTTCAAGAACGTCTTGAACTGTCTATTACCTGAAAAATACATGCGGAATGGTAGTAAGGTTAACGGTGACTGGACAAAATGAGATGATGGTTCAATAAAAAATAAGGTTTAAATATTCTATATATATGTTCTTCTCAAAATGCAATAGTGCTGTCCAGAATTAAAACCTTAGCATATAATGTATTACAACTATAAGAGGAAATGTTAGTAAATATACAAGAGAAATGAAAGTTAATGCATATACTGACACCATAAACAATGTAAGAAGACATTGTTAGGCGCCACATGCCTGTGCTACGTAAGGGAGTGTTATCCCGGGATGAAGCTTTTAATAAATGAATCGTACTCAGTATTATTGAAGGTGCAAACACGAAAGTTCCGGTTGGTCTCGTGTATGACTTTCATGTCGTCATCATTCAGGGTGAAGTCAAAAACCTGTAATTAAAAATCAAAAGTATGTCGACAAGTATAGCTTAATCTGTTTCGTTTTGACTGATCGGTAATTTCTATCGTGCTCGAAGATTTCTTATTTCTCATTATCATTCAAGATCAAACGCCTGTAAAAGGCATTTATAAGATGAACCGACACATTATTGTATGTGTTTTTCATATCGTCAGTATGATGCTACTCGTGACTTGACTTGATTCTACTCTTCACATTCAATAAACTTAGAATGAAATTGTAAATAGCTTGTTTGGTGACAATTTGAAAAAGTGCCTTCTACTCCTGATATTTTGTTTAGCTACAGACATCAATGGAATATAAAACAACTTAATTAACAGTATTATTGTTGATCTCATATGTTTTATGTGATTCTGTCTGTTTGATCATATGTATTTTTTTGAAATCCATTCCTTTTTTTATTCGCGTTTAGTTACAGGATACCACTGAAGCAGTTATGATCGTCTAGAAAATTCCTACTTCAGAGCTGTTTTTCTACCATATCTAGTATTATCCCTTATATGTATAAAGTTACAGGTAAATTAAACAAACTATTAGCAATGCTATACAATGTACACCTACTTCAAAGTTTTGTTTCTGTCTGGTTGCAGACACACTCTTCGGTATGATGATGTATCCTCTTTGTATACCCCATCGAAGTAGAACCTTAGTTTAAAGCAAAAAAGTGTTTAACTAAAAGTAATAAAGTAACATGACGCTTTGTTGATCTGTTAATTGCAAATGTACCACTGCATCACTTATATTGCAAAGAAAAGTTGTATTCCGTTTTCCTTCTTTTTTAGTTATCTATAGAAAATGACATTACCGATTTTTTTTCTGGCTATGGGTAATTAAAATGTCTATTTTCAAACATTCAAAGTCCAGCAACAATAATTCTGTCAAATGCATCGAGGATTGTGCTCTTTATGAAATACTTCTTTTGAAAAGGACTTAAACACATTCTTATTGGACAGTGGTAATATTATGATTTAAATTGTTTGTACCCGTTACCCTAACTGAACAGTAAATAGTTTAGTAAGACAAAAGTCATAACTTGAGAAGGGGAATTTTTAAAATCATACTTACTTGACCAGGTGACTTGTTGTATTGAGCAGCTATCTTTACTATTTTCGGCTCTTCTAGCAACTTTGGATCGTCGGGTTTGGCCCTTATCGTCGAAAGAACATATATAAAAGTGTCAAAGAAAAAGGAATGAACCAATGTCACAGTTGAAAAATAATTTGACAAAGAACATTTCGAAAACTTCATTTTGAAAGAACGAATGGATGATTATGAATTTGCCATTGTTTCATCAATCCAATTTTGCATTAAGCAACTAATTTTTAGCAACAATTTTCAACTGAAATAAAATCATATTGTATTCATTACGTATTGAACCTCAAAATAAATACTGCTAAGGATGAAATTGCCAATTCTTCAACTTACCAAGGTCGATCAGCAGATCCAAGGGGAGAATAAGCCACTACGACAATTCCTTTGGATTTACAGAACTGTAGCAACCTTTCGTTGGAATTATAGGGAGATATTTCAATCTGAAATTCAGGAAATGTTAATATCAAAAAAATGTCATAACGTAAACAGTAAATTCAAACTTATGCATTATTGGTTTACTTTCATTCGTAAAGAAGGTTGTTGTTATATACGGTGTTTGTATCATTATTTTTAATTCACTGTTTTGCAAAGAACATTTCAATATCTTACCTTAACACAGTTTATTATACGTACCTGGTTACATGACAGTGGATGTTTCAAACCAAGATCTAAAATCCTCTGGATCTGTTTAGAATTGAAGTTAGACACACCTATGGATCTACACATACCCTCGTCTACCAAATCCTGCATGGCCTGTTTGAAAGGGAGTTATGACATAAAGCAGAAAACTTAGTTTAATGGTTATTTTCTCTTGATAGTCTTTGCAGGTTATATTTTATTCTAAAAAAAAATTCTTTTCGTGTTTGTTTGAAAAAATAAGCATAACTATGCATTTAAAAAGTGTTTACCTTTTCAGCAAGTCAAAAGGAAATAACCATGATTATGCAGAGTTCTTCCAAACGCAAAGGTTTTTCGTTATTAACTGTATTTATTTCCCAGCAAAAGAAAGGTAATTACTGAAATGTGTACATTTGCCACCCCGTTTATTTGCTATGCCAACTTGTCTAACAACTTTGTTCCCCGTTGTTCCCCTTTCGTAATATTATCTTCTTTATCTACGTTTTCCAATTATTTGATAACGTTACTACTATGCAAACAGTCTGTGTTACGAGGTTGTATTATCAATTTTCACAGATGTTGTAAACTCACATTCAATAACTTGACAGTAAAATACTATGATATTAGATATTTACGTGTGACCAAACTTTGGTGGTTTCCCGACAAAACACACTTTTGTGGGTGCATGAATTCGTGGATTACGAGCACCCACTCAAACAGTTAGCTGCTTTATATCAGACTTGTTATTCCACTGTGAACCTAAGGATTCGTAAAAGAAAATGACCCACGGAATCAACGTAATTAAAAACCCTAAGAAAAATTGCCTAGGTAACATGTGTATACATGTTGTCTTAAATTAACGTGAAAATAGATTTCCAAAATATATCTACTACCATTCCTAATTCGGTATTTACATGCGAGTTTGTTTGTAGAAATGCATAATAAAACAAGGATATATACTTACCGTCCATGTTTCAATGAAGTCTATGTCGACAACATCAGCCTTGCCATCAGGACTTTTAGGAAACAATGCAACATTTTCCTGAAAGATTTTAAATGTTATGATGAAATTGGTTTATTTGTGGCTGAAATAAGACGTAAGCTCGCGTTTTCGACTGTTCAGTTTTGAAAATGTGCGTTCTGCTTGTTTATTTAAGAATTTATGGATAAATAAATACTACAAGAAACGTACACTGTGCTTATATTTAACTACGGGTTTAATCAATACAGTATATCAGCTGTTACACATAACTGTATTAAAAGATGATGCCCTTTTAAATCGATAATTACCAAGATAAAGAACAGTGTGCAACAAATGTACCGCTTCATTTGGGTAACTCGTTAAGTCTTACCCTCGTAGCAACTGGCCAGTGTATGAGGTACATATCAATGTAATCCAGACCGAGGTTTGTCAGGGACTCCTTACACCCCTCCAGTACTCGGGCCTTGCTGTGGTAGGTGTTCCAAAGCTGAAAATCGTGTTTTATTTTTTATTGTGGGGGAAAGGGGAACCCCTTATTGGAAATGTCATTATCACCGTTAACAGATTTTATAAAAACAAAGAAAGAAAAACAGAATATACTTATAGAGCTTGGACACCATCCTATTTTGTGGAGTGTTGATCAAATATAATGTTTGAAATTAAATTCATACGAAACCAGCAGAAAAATGTTACACGAAGTACAATACAGAAAAGATTTCTTGACATAACTTTGAAATGATTAAAACGAAAATGGTGATGAAATCTGAAAATGTAGTAGAGTTTAAAGTCGACATCCTGTGATATTGATCCTATTATCAATAGAGGTTAACCGGGCGGTTTTAGAGAGGATTAACATACCTTCGTAGTGATGAACAAATCCTCACGTTTGACTGTTCCGTTACCAATAGCTTCTTTAATTGCCTCTCCGATCTCCTTTTCATTTCCATAGATAAGCGCACAATCAAAATGGCGGTATCCCAGACCTATCGCGGTCGTCACAGCTGCCCCTACTTCTCCAGGCTTTGACTGAAAGTTGGGATGTTAGTTAGGATGTTCGAGATTATATGGTACAATGATTATTGACAAACATGTATTATGATATTCTATATACACAGAAAAAAAGATGATTTTATCTTGAAGGATTATTTAGAAGAAGAAACTCAAGTACGGTATTGTATAATAATAATAATATAAAACATTCGATAAAGCGCCCTATCTAGCTAACATAAGCCACTCTAAAGCGCTTTACAGTACATAGATATACAATTTATACAATTAGCAAATACATTAATCTATAAAATGTTGAGAAATCCGCAGGAGTTGCCTAGTCCTATGCCACCTGGCTAATATATCCCTTTGTGTGTATGCCTGCGTGTGTGCTAGAGTAATGTGTTCTGTTTGTAGGGGGCCGTGCTATCAACGTCATTATTTATAGTTCCACCTCACTTGAATGCTACAGCAGAGATACCGCAATTGTTTAAGTTATGTGGACAGGAGAAAAACACTTTCTCCGAATATACATGCGCACGACGACTTCGGGGATCGAAATCCGGCCGCCTGCGTAGAAGGCCGGAGTGTTCATCACTCGACCAACCCGCCCATAAAGTATTAAGTACAAGGCCTAAAAAGTTTTGTTCCTGGTAGGAATTTGTTTGATTTTAATTTCGGATGATTTAATATTCAAGCAACAGCGTTATTATCTACCAAGCCTAACACACAACTGTTATTGTATATCATATGCGAATCTCTATAGTATTACATCTGTATTAAAAAAATAATAGAGTAAAGTGGCTATAAGTTAAGCTGAATCATACAACACAACCAGAGCAAGAGGTTGGTATTGAATAATAATGATATTGCAAAGCTTGCGCGCCTTACTTACACATTGCACACTGGTATCTAGTGGTTACACGTAATATCTAGTGTGCATATTGACATAATATTGTTCCTATATACATCATATCAGCGAAAACAAAAAACATACCAAATACTTAAACAATTTAGACAGATATAAAGTTTAAGTGAGATGGCTGAGATTTAATTGATGTAATAGCAACTTGTAAAATTGATTATTTCCATGAACTACCCCTGTTAAGACCCGATGTCGAGCCGGTACATAGTCCATTCGATCAGATGTAAGCAGAAATAATAGATAAATCTCACTCTCTTAAATACATGTCAATAAAAAAAAACGTACATTAAAAATCCTTCCGTTGACAACCTACCTTCCAAGTGCCCAGACCAACGCATGGTACCTTATACCCACTGAGTAACGTCTGTTCCGGTATAGCAGCCATGACGATGGTTGTGGTAGAATATTTCACAAGATCTCGCTCCCTCTAATATGTGATCTGACTTGACCTTCGGTACGAATGATAACGAGTGTCATACCAAATTTAGACTTCCCTTAAGCATTTGGTACGTTTTAATTTTCGCTGATATGATGTATATATGAACAATATTATGTCAATATGTACGCCAGATATGACGTGGATACCGGTGTGTAATGTGTAAGTAAGGTGCGCAAGCTTTGCAATGTCATCGTTGGTGATATTCGGGTAAAGTATTTCTGCTTTTAAGTGTAATACTTTCAAGATATAGTTATAGTATAGTTAAATTGCAGTTAATATTGTTTCCTTGTGAAGATAAATGTATATACAATTATATCACAATATTTACTAAATGTAATTCATATATGAGTGAGGAGCGTTTTGTATGAATCATGCATGTCCTTTATTTATCATGTTAAAAGTTTGCAGCTTTTGACAACAACAGATAGCATAGTAGTTTTTTTTATTTATTTGTATTATATATCGTGAAAATAAACCTTTTGCAAAACTATTCTTTACGTTTATATTTAGTTTAGGATATGTCGGCAGGTGACTTTATCGTAAATAGTTTATTAGTCAGGGTACTGGTACTGTACCCCATGTCTACTCGATCCGATTAAGTATTTATACAAGGAGATAAAGGCTTACATCAATTATTTGATGATAAAGACATTGTTGACTGCTTGCTATTCTTAAATCATTATCACCATATTAAGTCTTCACAGATCATAGAGTCAAGATGATATAATTGATTTGGTACTCGAGATACAAGAAGCTTTATTTATAGTCGCATACATATCAACATGGAACATTAGCTCCTGAGAGCTATTATTGCGACAAACACAAGTATATAAAATAACAATAACATACTGTAATAGTAGTAAATATTATAACAGACAATTTTTAAATTTACAGAAGAAATACACTGTAATGTCACATGTAAGATTAGATTAATTATTGCACAATTTATTAATAATATCACTACATGACACTTATTTATGTTATGGTTATTTATATAAAATTCAAAGATTATACACATATTAATGAACAATGTGTTTCTACAATGAATGTTAAAACACTCTCTGTACATTGCTTCCCAATGCGTGAAAGCCTTCTGGGAAATTGAGGCCGCATACCGTCTACAAAAAACATGATGATCAATCCCACGGTGTCGGTATTTATTACAGTTTAGTAGTCAAATATCTTGAATTTTCCATTTGATAATAAACATATATTTAATGCAGTGAAGATAAACGAAATATTATATCTTCAAAAGTAAAAACTTCTCTTTTAGTATTGTCCAAACTGAACGGTACATTATATTCTCTGCGTAGATTTCCAGTTTCAAGTTTAGATAAAGTGACGGCAGAATAAGTGGTTGTGTTTTCTACCTTTGCAGCATACATAATTGTTTTTACATAACAACACAATTAATATCATTCTATCCGGAAATATTACCAAATAATATGAGCGAACGGCAAATTTGCAGTGAAAACCCATTCAAAATGGTGCCCTGAACTGTTGTCAAGCGTGACGTCATTACAACTTGGCGTCAAAAACTACGTTATACATTCGCGCGCTTTTCTGGTGAAGCAATATTTGCGCAGCGTGAAATGAAAAAAAAAGTAAGAAATAGAAAATGTCATGGTTTTCCCGTTCAATTCGATATATTTATTTCACTTGTATAAAACGAATATGTGATAACAACCAAAAAATCCAGCGTTGTGGCAAAACGTGTCTTTGCAGTAGTCTAGAGAAGCAATAACTATTATTCAAAGTGGCGGGGCTACGATTAACGTTTTAACCTAGAAGATGATTGATATTTATCCAAAAAAGTCAAAAAGGTATATTGACAGAAGAAATATTTGCAAAAATCGCTGCAATTTTGACAAACTGTATAAATGAAACAGATTCAAGCATGCAGGATCCGTTCCCACGTGGTTGATGGACTATCAGGAGGTCATTTTCATAAAATGGTTTGGTGTCCAGCAGCTTTTCTGCATTTTCTTGTTACATATCTCATTAACATAACTGTGCTATTAAAAAGTGTGTACCTTTTTAATAAAAACCTTTTAGAAAATTTCACAGTATGATATATGTACATGTTGTTTTCCATTAATGAGAAAATAGATTTCCAATAAAATATCTATCTATCAATCCTCATGAGGTATGGCTTTACATACCAAGTTTGTTTGTATAAAGGTATAAAACAAGGGGATATACTAACTGTCCATGTTTCAATGAAGTCTATATCGACAACATTAGCCTTGCCATCACGATGTGTAGGAAACAATGCAACATTTCCCTGAAAGTTATTGAATATTATGGTGAAATTATGGAATGTACCTCTTTTGGACTGAGATGAGATGCACTTCTGTTCTTTCGACTTTTAACCAGTGAACCGACATTTCAATTTTTGACAATGAGTTTTCTGCTTGTTTATTTATTGTGCAGTTTTATACTACACAAACGTTCCATGAGCTTATGTTTAACTATGTGTTCAATCGAAATAGTATATCAAATGTTACACATAGCTGTATTTTACATGCAACTTTAATGACTAAATCGATGAACATACGCATAGTCCTATACAAAGATAGAATATCCTACAACCAATGTATCGTTCCATGAAATCTTAACTTCAAAGCAATAGGCCAGTGTATTAGGTTAAGGTCTACGTAGTCAGGGACTCCTTACACCCCTCCAGTACTCGGGCCATTTTTTAATGTGAATTATGTTGGAACATGTGGGGGAGGGACACCCTTTATTTAACATACTATTATCATTGTTAACATATTTTACTTGAAATAAAGAAAGAGAAAATTCTTCATTATCTTGATCAGCATTTCATATAGTTTGAATTTTAATGTGAATGAAAATGACCGTCTTAATATAAGGTGATAACTCAATATTTCAAGTGATTAAACGATTTAGGAAACCCAAATGCATTAAGTAATCGCTGTTTGAAAGTTAATAGAGAAGTAATGTCAACATTTTATCCAGATCCCCGAAGTCAGAGGCGATTGTGATGGGTTGATCAAATATAATGATTGAAATGAAATAAGTACAAAAACAAAATAAATATTTCCCGAAATACAAGTCAGAAATTATATATTTACATAACCTCGAAAAAATTATAACGAAAGTGATGCAATCTGACTTAAGGCTAGGTTTTTGTAACATGGAATTGTAGTGAAGTTGACATATTATGATATTGATAAATTATATCATCAACAAAAGATTACCGAGCGGTTCTAGAGAGGATAAACATACCTTTGTAGTGATAAACAAATCCTTACGTTTGACTGTTTCGTTACCAATAACTTCTTTAATTGCCTGCCCTATCTCCTTTTCATTTTCATATGCTAGCGCACAATCAAAATGCCGGTATCCCAGACCTATCGCGGTCCTCACAGCTGCCCCTACTTCTCCAGGCTTTGACTTAAAGTTGGAGAGCATAATAAGTATACATAAAATGATCAAGATTATGTAGCACAATGTCTATTGAAATATAAAACATAATCTGAAAGTTACAGTTAGCATATATATTAAACAATCGTTTTAGTTAAGGTCATAGGAATGTATTGATAAACGGATATAGGAAGTACATCCCTAGTTGAAAATCCAATGTAGGGAGACAGTATCACAATTTACGCATATTCTAATGTTTAATATTAAAGTATTTCAAAGCAATCCAGGTATTAATTCAGTTGTTTTTATCATTGAGTCACATGTGTCCATTTTTCTATACTTCAGGAAACCGGCTACCTATTTCACTACTGTGAAGTTTTTTCAAGAAAGATAACTCTTACATGCAGTTACTATATGTATATGGTTTTATCAAAAAATGTCAATTTTTAATCGTTTGGATAATTAATTTTACACATTTTCATCATTTATTAAATTGATATACATTAATGCAATACTAATCTATGTCAGTATCATTTTTATTGACATTATTTTGCAAAAAATTGTGTCTTTCATTTTTTTCTTCAAAATTCACTCCTTTTTACATAAATTTCTATTTAAAATTCTTAAAATTCTGACAACCTATATGTTTTTGTGGCAGAAAATTGTCTTTGCTTCAAAGCAATATAACTACAAAATTTAAAGAAATTCTACTGAGAAATGCTGACACCATCCTATTACCTTAAATTGCCTATTCTTTGCCTATAGAATGTCTATTCTTTCTCAGTAAAAAAAATGTTTAATCATGAAGGATAATAAAGAAGAGGAAAGTCAAGTATGATATTGGATATCGCCTGAAGTTGATCGGGGTCATTTCACAAGATTTGTTCCAGGAAGAAATTTGTGTGATTTAAATTTTGGATGATTTATTATTCAAGCAAAACCGCTTTTATCTACATGTACCTTTCCTTACGATCATATATATATAGAATTACATATGTATTAAAAAAAAACCATAGAGGAAAGTCGATATTATTTAAGCTGAATCATACAACACAACCAGATTACGACGTTGGAATTGAATAATAATGACAGTGCAAATCTTACGCTCCTAGCCTTCATATTACACACTTGTATCAGTGTTGTCGGGTATGTAGTATTTTCACGTAATATCTAGCGGATATCTTTATATAATTTTGTTCCTATATGCATCATATCAGCGAAAAAAAACCCCATACCAATTACTTAAACAATTTAGACAGAAACATGTGTGGACATATAATGAATATATATAAAGTTTAAATCAGAGGGCTTAGATTAACCTGATGTAATAACAACTTTTGGCTGATTATTTCCATGAACTAACCCTGTTCAGACCCGAAGTCAAGCCAGTGCATAGTCCATTCGATCAGATGTAAACAGACATAATAGATAAATCTAACTCTATAAGATACACTGTCAATCCAAAGAAAGTGCATTTAAATTCCTTCCGTAGACAACCTACATTCCAAGTGCCCAGACCAACGCATGGTACATGTACCTTATACCCACTGAGTAACGTCTGTTCCGGTATAGCAGCCATGACGATGGTTGTGGTAGAATAATTCACAAGATCTCGCCCCCTCTAATACGTCGTCTCACTTGACTTTCGGTACTAACATGATTTTGAGTGTCCTTTCAAATTTAATCAGCCCCATCGTGTCGTGTATTAGATTAGTGATATTCAGGTAAAGTATTTCTGTTTTTATAGGTAAAACTTTCAAGATGAAATTAAAGAATTGTTTTCTTGTGAAGATACATATAATTGAAGTATCATAATATTTGCTAAATGTTATTTTTATGAGTAAGGAGCAATTTGTTTGGATTATGCATTTCCTTTATCACGTAAAAAACGTGCAGCTTTTGTCAACACATATAACATAGTAGTTTATTGATGTGAATTATTTATCGTGAAAGGAAACCTTTGCAAAACTATCTTTACGTGGTTATTGAGGTAAGGATGTTTTGACAGATGGCCATATCGTAAATAGTTTATAAGTCGGAGTAATAATACTGCACCCCACGTGTACTCGATCTAATTAAATATTTATACAAGAATATACTTATTTTATGTATAATACATTTCTGACCAAGAACTTCCGTTTAATTATTATAACCATATATAGTCTTCAAAGCAAATAGAGTTTAGATGAGGCAATTGATTTGGTACTACAGAGTCTGTTCTGAATATTATGATGTGATATTGAACAATACAGTTCTTAGTTACAGCGTGAATACAAGAGGCACTTCAGTAAACGTTGAAGAAAGGACACTTCAGCTGTTATTATCTCACTTCAAACTTAGAAATTCCAACGATTAAAGCGCTTTCATTAAATCATGGATTGTTTGTGACATGTATACATCCCTACATTTCGAATGAGACAACACGTGTGCTATATGTTATATTTCGTTTTGCTATTTGTAGTGGTTCTTTCATTGAGGAACTGCAGGTTGTAGATTTTGCTTTGTTTGCCTGGGTTTAGCGCCCTCGCAACTGCTATGGTTCTGTGAAGACAGGTGCCTTAAGGAACACCGTCAGAAAGAAGAGGAGGGAAGTGATAAGAGAACAACGTATAGCCCAAGTGTTACGATGGGGCCAACAGATCATTGTATGGTGTCTTGTTGTCGCCAAAGCAAAACTTCCAAAGAAAACCCCGATTAAGTAGGGGATCACACATCAGTCGCCTCTTAAAATAACATACCATGAGATACAGCAGGTCTAATATAACAGGGGTATGTGGATTGGAGGGAGCATCGTGTGTTTTCTTTCGTTTTGACGTGCGCTGAGTTCATATTTTTGTGTTTTCGTTTTGACTTCTATGCCTTTTCTAATATATATATAAATAGAGTAACACAATAGAAACATATTTATATATATATCGATTTCTGTAATTCCTGACATTTTCTTTGTATCTACAACAAACCAATAGACAAAGCTGATCAATAAATTAATCGTTAATATGTTAAATAACATTCATCAACAAACATGAATTGAAGTATATGAGAAATGTAAACAAAAATAACAACCATTCAATTCAATGTCATGATTGGTGTCCATTCTTAAAACTCCTCATGGAAAGGATAGTAAGGACTATGTGTGGCACTGAAAATAAACCAAAAGTAAAGTACAGTTCGTGAAAAGTATAAAATATATAAAACATAGTAGCAGAACTACCCTTTGGAATTCACCATTGTTGTAAATAAAATTATATTTATATTTGAAAAATCAGAAACCTGACTAATATTAACATTCCGACAACACACCAACTTTGTATTACTTAACAATACAAATGGATAGTTTGTTAAATCAAGGCTTGAAACAGAAATCAACAAGACATGGACAACATGAGATAATGGTCAGATGAAGTCTAACGTGAAAATTAAAGCAATCGGTAAGAACGTGAAAGTGCTATCCAGTACTAAAACCGTGACATATTGCAAATATCACGGTAAAGAAATGCGAGTCACCAACCTCCAGAAATAGAATAGGACATTAATCGAAAAGAACTGATTTATACATAAAGACAGTATTATCAGTGAATAATTCTATGCTATACTAGGATGTGAATATTAACTGTTACCAAATGATTTAAGTTTAAAAAAAGGGTCATACTCAGAGTTCGTACAACATCGGACATCCCGATTCATCCCGTGTATGGCTTTCATTTCATCATCCGTCAGTTCAAAGTCAAAAAGCTGTAATTAAAAATTGGCATAATGTCAATAAGTAAAGCGTACTCTCCTTCGTTGAGAAGACTAAATTGGTTTCAGTATTATAGATATTGTCGTTGTTGTCAGTATGACGATACAGGTGCGACAGTTTAGTTTAATTTTACAAGCTTTAAAGTCTTTTAAAATATCAGGTCTTACCGTAAAACATTATGTGACTTAACTACACACTTTAAACTCAAGGATCATTATAGCGCGAATTTGTAAGTCCGTGATTTGGAGCAAATTCGACAGCCTCAATATGTACCTTTTACATTTACCTGAAATATGCAGCCTAACTGGCATTGCTATTGAAGATTGGATCTCTTGGATATTGTTTGGTTATTTTCATGTATAATTTCTTCTAATTGGCGTTAGGGCTCGGGTAACAATGCAGATGTTTCCGCATATAATATTACCACTTCACAGCTGGGAGTATAATCACTTATGTACAGAAGATAAAGCCATTAAAGAAATGTTTCGTTCTAGAGTTACTACCCTTTGCAAGGCAGTCATAATTAACTTTGATAGCAGCACTGGTTAAGAGTAAGATTAGACGTGTATTGGTTCAGAGTTTGATAATGCTGTTTCTGTGTGTGTAGCAACCTCATGAAATGGTGAATTATTATTAACTCATCCGCAAAAACAAAATAGTAAACACATAATTAGGGATTTCCATTTCGGATGGAAAAACCTTTTGATATTGTTCTGTTTCTTTAAGTTTCTTATTCTTATTTCCAGATATCTTGTGGACACTCTATCTCATGAACGAATAAAGATATAAGGTTCATATTGCAGTATGTATTAGAGAACAACGAACACATGATATGCGAACAAATTCATGATCATAATGTCAAAGGTCAAGGTCACAGGTCTATAAATAGAGTTTTTTAAAACGTTTTTTGAACGACCATAACTTCGAAAGCTTTCGGTGTACTGCTTGACCGCTTCATACTTCTGGTAGATCTTGGTCGGGGCTTACTTTTTTCCATGACATGTTATCCGAGAATATGTCAAATTCAAATCCCGCTGACCTCCAAGCACCAGTCACTATGTCCCCTGAACTACTCCCTATCTTCAGTCGCTATAACCGCTGGCCTCTAAGCACCAGTCACTATGACCCCTGAACTACTTCCTATCATCAGTCGCTATAACCCCTGACATCCTATCAAACTAAGAAGCGCGGCTACCTCTTACACCTTAGCCCTCTCTTGTTACAATTATATCTGAAAAGAGATTAATAAAATATTTTACTTGTAACTGAGCGAAATCGGGTTGTCGCAGTCGAGGGCTAAGACTCTGTAACATAATCCCAACCGAGACGCAAGCCGAGGTTGGAATGTTACATATTCTTAGCCTGGGACTGCGATAACCCTATCTTGCTCAGTTACAGGTATCTTTTTTTCGCGCACCTTTTAGTTAGAAAAAAATCTATTAAATTATGCTTGGTCGGGGCTAACTTTTTACCGTGACATGTTATCAGAGAATATGTCAAGTTCAAGGCCTCGATATGGGGTCATATATAGGTCAAAAATGAAAATCTCAAAAATAGTATTTTTTTTCATAACTAAAAGAGTACGATCTAAGGATGGTATGTTGAACGTTTCAAAGTCATAGCATAAAAAATAACGAAGATATGCGACTTTGAAAAATGTTCATTTTCCCGCCAAAATTCATATTAAAAAAAACCCCACTTAAATCTCTTCTCCGTATTCTTAAGGCCTAGAGAGTTGATATTTGGCACATACATAGCATGTATCATTGACTACAATATTTTTCGGATATCGTTGACCTTGACCATCATTCAAGGTCACAGGGGTCAAATTATCAAAAACTTAAATTTTCAAATTTTTTCATTTTTTTTTTACACCATATTTTTAAGAGTGCATTCTTATGAGGATATTTTTAAAGTTTCAATGTCAAAGCATCATAGTGCACATAAATAGATAAAAGGACAGATTATTTCTTAAAGAATGGTCGAAATACTTTCGTCAAACTGTACAAAGGGAAATAACTCAACCTCTTTTACCAAATTGTCTACAATATTATGAGACATTGTCCGTCCTGGACTTAGGTGTTGCTCGGTCCAATTAACAGAGCTGTCAATCACCATTGTCTGTGTACCTATCATCATACCTACTGTTGTTTGGTGTCCAAATAACAGAGCTGTCATTCACCATTGCCCCAGGACTATCACTGTGTGTACTGGGATTTGGTGTCGCTGGGTCCAAATAACAGAGCTGTCATTCACAGCTACCTCAAGTAAATAACTTCCCCACAAAGGTAATAAGGTTCCCACAAAGGTAAGGGGGACGGACGAAAGAAACACTAAACAGCTTTCTATCAATGCTGACTGTTCAGAAATAACTTGACCCTATGGTAAGTTTTGTCAAAGAAGGGAAGCGAAGGGAAGCGATCGTCAGTCCGAGAACATATCTTTGATCATTTTCCTGTTGGAAATCCCGTGTTTTGATCTTAATCAATTCTTGTTATTTACATTTTCGGTCTGAGTTTTGTGCTAAAATTCGATTAAATGAATGAGTTAATGAAATATTAAATATACTATTGCCTCTAGATTCGTGTCTGAATAAATAACGAAATATTGAACCTACATGTATAACATGTACGTAATATATAGTACTTTCGATAATACTAAAAGTTAATAAGATAATGCTACTGAAAACATTTATAAGTAAGATGTATGATCAATGTTTATGAAGATATTGTTTATATACGAAGCTTATATTTTGTCGATTAATGTAAAATTTACATTATACCCGATATTGAAATACATGTATACCTACTTCAATGTTTTGTGTCATTCTTGCTGCAGACACGCTCTTCGGTATGACCATATATCCTCTTTGAACACCCCATCGAAGTACAACCTTAACATCAGAAAAACTTGTTAACTTTAAAATAAAGATTCAAAAGGAAGTCGACATGAAATGAAAAACTATGTCGAAATGTTATGTTTCACAGTTAATTTTACCTCCTTTATACATTATTTTAAGTGATTGCACCTTACATTTTTTGTACAAGATACAGTATGCAAAAAATAAATAAAATGCTACTGCATCATACAGCTGTTTCGTATGGTATATGTAGGGGCCAAAAGGTTGGAGAAGTAGAGGGGCAGGTGCGTGAAACCCTTTAATTATCAATTAACATGTTTAGAGAAGGACTGGTATTTTCAAATGAAATTATCTGTAAAGTCTATATTATGAACCATGCCACTGTTCAAAAGAGATAACAGTGGCGGTCAATGTCGCATAAAACTTCATTTGAGAGTACTGAACATTTGCCACTGTTTGAAACTTCAACCATTGACCTATAACAGCGATATACAGCACAACAATAAAGAGTCAATACCAAAACAATTTTCTACCCGTTTATGTCTCTTCTTAAAAACAGCTTAATGTTAAGTGTACATATTTTTCCGTGTTAATTGTTTTTTGTTACCTCCGTGTGAGGACGGTTTGTACGAGAGTGTAACAAGGTGAGATAAAAAAGAAGAAATTACAGTATGAGAGTGTGAAAAAGTGAAAGCGAAAGAAATGAACAAGTGTTGTTTTGTGAAGAAAGAAAAAAGAGAGTGTTTCATGTATTGTGGGTTGTAGCTGGGGCAGCCCATCCCCAGACAACCCACGAATGATGTATGCATGCCTGGGTTATTAAATGTATATATATATATAAAAAAAGTGTACATATTTTAGTCCGTATGAGGAAATTCGTTACTGTCTAAATACATGTAAAGCCATCATCTTATACATACCTGAGCAGGTGACTTGTTGTATTGAGCTGCTGTCTTTACTATCTCTGGTTCTTCTAGTAACTTAGGATCGTCGGGTTTCGCCCTAATCGTTAAACAAGAAACTATGTTTATCATTGTCTAAGAGGAACAGTACAACAATGTCTCGGATATACATATATTTAAACAAATAACGTTTCGTGAACTTTATTCTGAAAGTACGAATGAAATATAAATTTATCATTTATATATCAATACCAGGATTATGACAAGAAGTATTTCATATATAATAATTATGAGCTATTACTGATTTTATAAAAGCATATTGTACACGTTATATACACATCAATTACGTATTGCTTAAAAATAAATTGCCAACCTTGAAACTTACCATGGCCGCTGAGGAGACCCCAAAGGAGAATACGCCACTACGACAATTCCTTTGGATTGACAGAACTGTATCAACCTTTCGTTGGAATAATATGGAGATATTTCGATCTGAAATTGAAGTCGTAATAGTCGCTGAATCATTATATAGAAATATTAGTCATGCAGGCTAATACAATTGTATATTTGTCGTATTTATAACCACTGTTTATAAAGCCGGAGAAAACTTATTTAAATTTATTATTTCAATAAACATGTTTTCATACATACCTGGTTACAAGTCAGTGGATGTTTAAAACCAATATCTATAATCCTCTGGATTTGCTTAGAATTGAAATTGGATACACCTATAGATCTACACATACCCTGGTCAACCAAAGTCTGCATGGCCTGTTACGAAAGGAGAGCATTGACAATATAGAGCAAACACTATTTTGATTTAGGCTACATATTTCTTCCAAATGATGTCAGATTCACATTTAAAAGTTTTTCAAATTTTTAGTTTGCTTATTGAAAATAATATTAAATCTCAGCATTAAGTAAGGATTTTGATCAATTAAAATTAAATCATAAAAGCTGCCAAGTAATGTCAATGCAAATGGCACGAACTTGTCGTATCGTGTAAGTTTGTATATATGACATATAACATTTAGATGTTCTTACTGTCCACGTTTCTATGAAGTCTATATCGACAACATCAATCTTGCCATCAGGTGTTTTTGGGTATAATCCATCAATATCCTGAAAATAATTGAATAATATAGTGAAATTCTAAAATGAGCTTCTGTTGGACTGAGAGCGATGCAAGGTTGTTTTTCCGAATTGTAACTAGCGAGCAGACAACATGTTAGGTTTGAAAATGCTTTACTACCAACATTTTAGAACTGAACAATTGCTAAACGACTTTTAATAGTGTTAATAATAATTCTAGGAATAGTTCAAACAATATGGCACAACTGTATAAAAGCTTTGTATATCATTCTTATGTGAATGAAACAAACAGCATGGACAGTGATAAGCGTACACTATTGCAAAAGGGTGCAATGCAATTGATCATTATATCGAATGATATATTCAGTAGAAAGTCAAAAGTATCAAGTAATCGCCAGCATTGATTTAAGATGACACAGAAATAATATCAACATGTAAAGTTAGACCACTGCAAGTACGGGGCGATAGTGAATGAGTTTATCAAACGTAACGATGAAGAAAAAATAAATGTTAACGATGTTTTGTATTTGCCTTGAGAGAAACACTTTCGTTTGACGTTAGTGTATTTATTGCATTAACGAAATATTTTTCTATTACAAAATCGCATAACAGCATTTTACTTTTACGCACCGGTCAAGAAATCTTACCTATTCTTAGTTTACCAGAAATCAAATAATTCTAAACAAATTAGTTATATTAGACATGCATGAATGGTTAGCTATATTAGACATGCATGAATGGTTAGCTATATTAGACATGCATGAATGGCTTTAATGGACCTGAATAAAATTCAGCGTATATTGATGTACATTGATTACGTAATGCATGCACCTTTTTGTGGAACCAATATATTACTTCGTAAGTCTTACCCTCGTAGCAATTGGCCAGTGCATGAGGTACAGATCAATGTAGTCAAGGCCGAGGTTTGCCAGGGACTCCTTACACCCCTCCAGCACTCGGGCCTTGCTGTGGTGGGTGTTCCACAGCTGAAAATTATGTTTGTAAAAAACAATGTTTTTCTTAAACAATTTCGTAATTTTTAGGTGCATTTCTTGGTACATTTCTACAGTGAAATAAATGACTCTTCTTAATTTTTCTCAACCGACCAATCAAACAAACAAAAATCATGGGTTGATTATTTTCACGTTTTTCACTTTTGAAAAATATGAAAATATCCATCCCGCTCCTGAATTCTAACTATGCATTTGTCAAGAATCCTTGAAAATCCTCTATTTAACAAAATAATCAAACTGATATGTACGTAAATTTTACAATATTTAATGATTTTACAAACTGTTAAGCGTTGTCATTACTTTTCCAGTTTAAAAACGTTATGATTTTTCCATGAATGCCTACAATGAAAAATGATCAGGATGATTTAAAATGTGTTCAGCGAATTCGTAGTCGTCTTAAGCTAGCACTGAAGTCGAACGAGTATCGTCCGTAGCATTATGTTTGCAGCATACTGGTGAATGCTATTCTACTGTAGGTAGAAAGCAAGCATCCTGTATCTATGCAAAGCAGCTGCAAGGTCCTGGTACGACTTATATTTACAACCCACTGAAACATGAATGAAGACGTAGTGATATTGTCTTCTTTAGCATTCACCAGATCCCATTTAAAACAACAACTAGGTGATTTAACACTTAATTTAAAACAAAAACAAAAATAGTTAAAGGTTCTGGATGGATACAACAGTCTGGAGAGAACTGCTTGTTTTTAATTGAACTTGTGTTCATGTTCTGTTCAAATATTACATATAAACCAATAACTGCATGGTATTGGGGAGGCTAGAATGCAAAAACTCACCACGATATTGCTTTAGAATTCGGAAAATAAGAGAGGTCTGTTCCGATTTATATTGTTGTTTACAGATTTATTTAAGGGACTGGTTAGAATCCTGTTTTGGATACCTTCTATATTTCAGGGAGTTAACACTATGAAGTCGGCATCGGATCCGCGCTTAAGTAAGGAGGTAAATACACAAAATAACGCATCCAGCATACATACACACATGGACACATGCATTGCACAAACGGAGGCACGTCCTACAATGACTTTAGATGTAAATAGGATATAATTATTTTATTTGTAATTAATATTATTTTGATACACAACTACACAAAATAAATGGAAGGTTATGGCCAAATGTAACTTTAGGCATTGTTTCTGTTATTTGAGATGTAAACGAGATTAACTGTCGGCATCCTAATTGACCGATATAAGGTTTCTTATAATACCTTTGTTGTGATGAACAAGTCCTCACGTTTGACAATTCCTTCATCAATTATTTCTGTAATTGCCTGTCCGATGTCCTTTTCATTTCTATAGATGAGCGCACAATCAAAATGCCGGTATCCAAGTCCTATCGCGGTCTTCACAGCTGCCCCTGCTTCTCCAGGCTTTGACTGAAAGTTGGGAAGGTTAATTAATATACATAAATGTTCGATATTATATTGTTTAATGTATATTGACATACATGTATTATAATATTTAAGGGACAGTTAGCCAATATATCAAACAATCAATTCAGTTAATTTGCCTATCTTTGTCCTTTTATAGTACAAAGATGATTTGATTGTGAAGGATTTTTAGACAAAGAAAGTTAAGGACGGTACTGTATAACGTAAGTGTACGGGGTCGAAATTCGCAAATAATTTTGTTCGTGGAGGAAATTGGTTATTCCTTCTAAAATTACATCTGAGCTAATAATAGTAATAATAATGATAAAGTGTCTGAGTAAAAGCTGAATCAAAAATCTCAACCAGATAAATACGTTGGTATTGAATATGTACACATCTGGCGCACGTACTTATATATATATATTACACACGTGTATCAGTGTTGTTGGGTATCTGGTGGTTACACAAACGTAGTATCTGGCGTATATCTTGACTTTCTATTTCTATATGCATCATACCATAATTAATTACTTAAACAATTTAAGCTTTCTTTGACAACTTACCTTCCAAGTGCCCAGACCAACACATGGTACCCTATACCCACTGAGTAACGTCTGTTCCGGTATAGCTGCCATGACGGTTGTTGATGTAGATCAATAAACAAGATGTCGCCCCTAAGAATACGTGGTCTGATTGATCTTCTGTACAAATAATTGTAAGTGTCATATCGAATTTAATCGGCATCTTCCTGTCGTGTATAAGATTGGTGACATCTCAGGTAAACTATTTCTGTTTGTAAAGGTTATATTATTAATAATATAAAACTATATAATTGTAAAATGCAGTTTACGTTCCTTTATGGTGAAGAAATATACATATAATTGAAGCATCACAATATTTACTTAACGTAATTGTTGTATAAGTTGGTATATGAATCACGCATGTCCTCTTCACATTACAAGTTTGCATTTTTGTCAGCAACGGATAACATTTAAGTTGTATTGTTTATCATGAAAGGAAACAGTTGCGAAACTATTCTTTACTTAGTTATCTATTTTATTATGTTTGAACTGATGGCTGTATCGTAAATAGTTTAAAAGTCAGGGTTATAATACTGCACCCCACGTCTACTAGATCTGAGTTAGCATTTACACAAGGAAGGAGAGAAAGGCTGACGACATCAATTATTTGATAATAAAGACATTGTGACCGTTAGATATCCTTTAATCACTCTCACCATATTTAGTCTTTACAGTTCATAGAGTCTAGATGAGAAAATTGATTTGGTACTCCGTACTTTGTTAATAATGGACTACTGAGTGACAGTACTTATACAGGAGCCTTCGATGCACGTTTACAAAACGCTTTCATGGTTTCTCGGATTGCTTGTGATATATACACATCCCTATATTTAGAATGAGACAACACGATGGGTGCTATGTTATATTTTACTGATAGACAACAAAGGGTATTAGTAGATGGCTACAAGTCAAATTTACAAACATTAAAAGCTGGTGTACCCCAAGGCTCGGTTCTCGGGCTTTATTTATTTTTAATATTTATTAATGACCTAGAAGGTGAACTCCAATCCCATGTCAAACTCTTTGCTGATGACACTTCTCTTTACGTTTTGATAGATGGTGATGGCCGACATGCTGCAGATATTCTTAATGAGGATTTAAGGAGAATGTCTCTCTGGGCTGATAAATGGGGAATATCATTTAATCCAAGTAAAACTGAATCATTACTAATGTCTAATAAAAATAATTCTGAGACATCTCATCCAGATTTGGTATTCTCAAATAGTGTCGTTATAAATGTCAAAAATCATAAACATCTTGGTTTGCTTTTTAATAGTCGTGGATCATGGTCTGATCAAGTTTATTATATATATGGAAAAAGCTGTACAAAAATACAAATAATGCGAATGCTCAAACACAAGCTAGATAGAAAATCTCTTGAAATAATTTATACATCTTTTATAAGACCAACACTTGAATATGCTTGTGCTGTGTGGAATAATTGCACCCAGGGTGAAAGTGACTTATCGGAATCAGTCCAATTAGAATGTCTCAGAATTATATCAGGTTTGAAAAGAGGTACAAGTCATAACTTAATATATAAGGAAGTTGGTGTAGATAAACTAAAAATAAGACGTGATAATTACCAATGTATATTATTTTTCAAGATACTGCAGCATGACTGTCCTGTCCATCTTTATGATTGTATCTTACCATATTTTAATAATGATATTAATCCTCGCCTTAGACATCATAGAAACTTTATTGTTCCCTTGTTCAGAACCAACTTGTATAAAATTAGCTTTTTTCCTAGAATAATGTCTCTATGGAATAGGCCAGACTGTATTATTCCAAAACTCACTTCATTGAGCCAGTTAAAACTGGAATTACTTAAGGAAAGCACATATGTTTTGCAACCATCTAACTGTACGGATATATTTAAATACGGTGGCTCCAGGAAGTTGAATATAACATTATGTCAACTACGGAATAAAGTCAGCCAATTAAAATCAGATTTATATAATGATCATCTTACAGATAACCCTAAGTGTGACTGTGGTTTTATTATTGAAGATGCAAATCACTTCTTCCTCAATTGCCCACAATATATAGATGAAATACAAGTTTTATTCAATGCGTTTTCTAATTACAACGAAATTGACAACATCATCTTAAATACTGTTACTTTCACTAAGGGTGATATGAACCTTAGCAGTGAATCAAATAAATTTATTCTCTCATGTGTTCTGGAGTTTATTGACAAATCTGGAAGATTTTAGCTTAAACTATACTAAAAATTATATTACAATGTGTTATATGAATATATGAAATGTGTGTATTTTCTCTGGAAAGGGCTTTTATAGGCAATGCCTGTGCCTAATCCAATTGTGGTTTTTTTAATACAATAAAATTGATTTGAAATGAAATGTTATATTTCGTTTTGTTATTTTTAGTTCATGTTCCAAAATTGGGGTACTTGCAGGTTGAAGATTTTAGTTTGTTTGCATGGGTTTAGCGTCCTCGCAACTGATAAGGTCCTGCGAAGACAGCTGCCTTATGAGACACCGTTTAAAAAAGGGGGATGGACGTGAAAACAGATTTTTTTATATGTATATGTATCCAAAGTGTTGCGATGAGGACCACATATCATTGTGGTGTCTTCGTGTCGACAAGGCTAACTCCTAGAGAAAACCCCGATTATGTAGGGGATCACACATCAGTCGCACCTGGTGGAATACGGCAGGTCTATTTTAACAGGGGTATTTTGTTTGAAGAGAGTATTATTTGTTTTTCTTTTGTTTTGACTTGCCCTGAGTTCTTATTTCTGTAGTTTCGTATAAAATTCGATACCTTTTCTAATACGTAAAATAGAGTAACACAATTCATGTCATTTCTGATATTTTATTTGTGTCTGCAACAATCTAATCAACAAAGCTATTCGGCAACACTAGGAAATAATGGTTTTAAACACATCAAACTTCTTTTGATAGAGTTGAAAGCAAATGTCAAATAACATTCATCAGTATAATGAATTGAATTATAAAATAAATGTATACAAAAATAAACACAATTCGTTGACCAATGGGTATGTATTTCATGATTGGTGTCTTTTCCTAAAACTCCTCATGGAAAGGATAGTAGGGGCTGTGTGTGGAACTGAAAAGAAACAAGAAATTAAGTAAATGTACGTATAGTGTGACAGTAGCTAAGTCACTTTCTAATGTAAAAGATAACATCTTTTTAAGAACTCCTATTCTCAGTGATTCACGTATATTTTGAGATTAAGTAAGGTATTCAGTTTTGCAATGTTTCAACAAGTTAACGAATTTTATTTTCAGCTTGATTAAAATGACACATTACTTACTTTTGAATAAGAGTAACCTTTGAATTATCTTGAATTCTAGACATCCTTCTTTAAAAGTCGTAAAATAATAGTGTGTGCTGAATTATTCATTTATAACGATTCGTATGAGATATCCAATTTTTCATTTGTCAAAAAAAATGACAAACATTTGATTGCATTTTTACCAGTGAACTATTGATAATCATTCATTCTATAAAGGTGATATTTTTCACTTTTGTCATTCAGCCAATCACAACACTAACTACAAACTACAAAAAATGTTAATTACACAACAAACCCGTGCGGTATTAGAATGTAAGTGTTTATTACACAACAAACCCGTGCTGTATTAGGATGTAGATGTTAATTACTCAACAAACCCGTGCTGTATTAGTATGTAGGTGTTTATTACACTACAAAACCCGTGCTGTATTATGATGTAGGTGTTTATTACACTACAAACCCGTGTGATATTAGGATGTAGATGTTAATTACACAATAAACCCGTTCTGTATTAGTATGTAGGTGTTTATTACACAACACACCCGTGTGATATTAGGATGTAGATGTTTATTACACAACAAACCCGTGCTGTATTAGGATGTTGGTGTTTATTACACAACAAACCCGTCCTGTATTAGGATGTAGATGTTTATTACACAACAAACCCGTTCTGTATTAGGATGTAGGTGTTTATTACACAACAAACCCGTGCTAGATTAGGATGTAGATGTTAATTACACAACACACCCGTGCTGTATTTGGTTGTAGGTGTTTATTACATAACAAACCCGTGCTGTATTAGGATGTAGGTGTTTTTTACACAACATACCCGTGCTATATTAGGATGTAGATGTTAATTACACAACAAACCCATGCTGTTTTAGGATATAGGTGTTAATTACATAACAAACCCATGCTGTATTAGGATGTAGGTGTTTATTACATAACAAACCCGTGCTGTATTAGGATGTAGGTGTTTATTACACAACACACCCTTACTGTATTAGTGTGTAGATGTTAATTACACAACTAACCCGTACTGTATTAGGATGTAGATGTTAATTACACAACAAACCCGTGCTGTATTTGAATGTAAGTGTTTATTACACAACAAACCCGTGCTGTATTAGGATGTAGGTGTTTATTACACAACACACCCGTACTGTATTAGTATGTAGATGTTAATTACACAACAAGCCCGTGCTGTATTAGGATGTAGGTGTTTATTACACAACACACCCGTACTGTAGTAAGTAGATGTTAATTACATAACAAACCCGTGCTGTATTAGGATGTAGGTGTTTATTACACAACACACGCGTACTGTATTAGGATGCGAATATTAATTGTTACCGAATGATTAAAGTTTACTAAAAAAGGGATCGTACCTCTGGTTGGTCCAGGTGCGACATCGAGCATTCCGATTCATCCCGTGTATGACTTTCATTTCATCATCGTTCAGTTCAAAGTCAAAAAGCTGTAGTTGAAAGTTGACATTATGTCAATTAGTAAAGCTTACTCTGTTTCGTTAAATACACCGATAAGTTTATTTCTATCGTTGGACTAAATTTATGATACTTCATCATCACTCAAGGTGAAACGGAATCACTGGCAACGGTAGTATTAGCAAACATCGACCCAACAGTTTATGTTTGTTTTCTCTGTCGTCAGTACGACGATACGTGTGCGATAGTTTGATTTGGTTTTACTAGGGTTAAAGTCCTTTTATGCTACTTCAACTCAAAGATAACACAACAGCAAATTGAAGTTGAAAATGGCCACCGAAGGTGACATTTAATGACAAATTATTGCATAAATTACATGAATTGATCTCAAATTAACTTACATAACCTAGATTACATCAATACTCAATGTTTTGCTAATTATATAATTATAACCTTTAGCCATAGTGGAGTTAAAATATTATTATAATCCCAAATTGTAAATACGTGATCTAGACCGAATGGAATATAATCAGCATAATTGACATTGTTATTGTAGATTTAACACTTCGTTGCTTTTTTATGTTCTTATTTAATATTTAATTTCTTGTATATTCGCGTATATAAACTTATACAGTTTTACCACGAAGAAAAATCCACTCTTCATAGCTGTTTTGTTGACTTGGGAATATTATCCGTTATGGAAAGAAGGTAAAGCCACTTAAAGAAATTGTTAAGCCTTTGAGTTACTTCCCTGCGGAAGGCAATCATAATTCATTTTCATAGAAACCTTAGTTCAGAATAATATTGGCAGTGCATAGACTTAAAGTTTGACTTCATATTTTGAATTCTAGGCAAAAATTGTGAACATTTACCAATCCGATTAAAATAATTCTTTCGCAAAATAGATGTTTACAGATTTATTTTCAACACTTTCGGTCTGAGTTTTGCGTTAACGTCCGAATTCACATCATGTATGAGTGAACGAAATAATATAATATGATTACCTATAGATTCGTTTATGAATAAATGTAACAACATTTAACCTTCAATACAATGTTTTCATTGATAAAAAACATTAAGAATAGCGTTTGACTGAAAACTGTCTTGAGTGAGGTGGAAGTATTATTTTTATTTACGACGTTCATTAACCAATGTTTATTAAGGAATTGCCATGTTGTCATTTAATACAAATTTTGCATTATACCCGACGTTAAAATACAATTTATACCTACTTGAAAGTTCTGATTCATTCTTGCTGCTGACACACTCTTTGGTATGACGGTAAATCCTCTTTGTACACCCCATCGAAGTAAAATCTAAACATAGGACAACCATAAGTAATTTAACTTAATGATTTTAAAAAAGCAAATGCAAATGCAAAACCGTGTCGAAATACAATGCGTCATTTTTTTAGACTTTTTTACTCAATATACTTTACTTTAAACAGCTTAATGTTAAGTGTACATATTTTAGTCCGTTAGACATAATTCGTTACTGTCTAAATACATGTAAAGCCATCAATTTATACATACCTGGGCAGGTGACTTGTTGTATTGAGCTGCTATCTTTACTATCTCTGGTTCTTCAAGTAATACTGGATCTTCGGGTTTTACGCTACCAGTCAATCAAAAAGGCATGCATATCAGTGTTAAAGAGGAGCAATGCACCAAAGTTAGAGATTTAAATTTCTTCATACAAATAACGTTTCGAGAACTTTATTTTGAAAGTACGAATGACTTCGGAACGTTTTATTGATTTATCAATACCATGAATATGAAAAGGAATACTTCATATATGATAGTACAAAAACTATTATGATCAGATACTGTAAAAGAGTCATATTGAAGACGTTATGTACCTATGAAACAAGTATTGTTAAGAAATATATTGTCAATCATTAAACTTACAATGGTCGATCACCAGACCCAAGTGGAGAATACGCGACCACAACAATTCCTTTGGATTTACAGAACTGTAGCAACCTTTCGTTGGAATGATAAGGAGATATTTCGATCTGAAATTTAAGTAATAACAGTCGTCAGAGTATAGCAATATTGGTTAAGAATGATTATACAATCAAAATTTGAACATTATTGGTTTACTTTCATTAAAGTAGGATGACACATTTGTACATTTGATGTTTTTATAATCACTGTTTGCAAAGCCGAACATCACTTCAAAGTGTGTACCTTTGATGAACGTATTTACCTGATTACATGATAGTGGATGTTTTAAACCAAGATCTAAAATCCTTTGGATCTGTTTAGAATTGAAGTTGGATACACCTATGGATCTACACATAGCCTGGTCAACCAAATCCTGCATGGCCTGTTGGAAAGAGAGCACTGGTTTAATATAAAATAAATTTACTCAATGGTTATTTCCCTATGATAAACCTTACCAGGTTATAATGGATCCTTACAGAAAAATACTAAAGGTGATGATATCATATTCTGAAAGTCCTTTTTACGTATCTTGTTTTAATATATGTGTTTGTTAGTCAATACAAATCATAACCGCGTATTTAAAAAGTGGTTACCTTGATTAGTTAAATAGCAAGTACTAACAAAGATTTTGTGGATTTGTGCAAAGCAATTTTTCTACATAAAACCTGCATTTCTCCACAAAAACTATCAGTTATTCGTTAAGTTGGTACGATTACCATTTATTTGTTTTGCAAACTTGTCTAAAAAAAATGTTTTAAATGTTCATTATTTGTAATAATATCTCCTTTATAAATCTCCAGTGATAAGTTTTCAAATCTTTTCATAGCGTCATTGTTCTGCACTGATCTGGAAGATGTCAATGTAACGAGGCTCTATATATAATTTTCACAAAATACTACAAAGTCACATTCAATGGTTGGAATTGTGGGCAAGACAAATTTATCAATGATGATTTCCATTGAATTGAAAATAAATTTCCAACAAAATATCTACCTACCATTCCTCGTGAGGTATGGCTTTACATGTCAAGTATATTTGTTTATAGGAATGAAACAAGGATACATACGTACTGTCCATGTTTCAATGAAGTCTATATCGACAACATCAGCCTTGCCGTCTGGAGTTTTCGGAAATAATGCAACATTTTCCTGAAAATTATGTAATATTATGATGAGATTACAATATGTACTACTTTTGAACTGAGATGCAACGCAAGCCTGCTGTTTTGACATTAAATAGTGAACAGACAACACATACATTTTGAAAATGCGTTTTCTGCTTGTTTATTAAAAGCTTGTGGGTATAACATACTACAAAAACGTCAATGTGCTGATGTTAAACTACAGGTTCAATCAATGTAGTATACATGTATAAGCTGCTACACATAACTGTATTAAACATGTAACTTTAATGACTTTGTAAATCGATGATCATACGTATAGTCCTATAGCAAGATGAAAATATCGTGCAATCTATGTAATGCTTCACTGGGAAAACTCAGTAAGTCTTACCCTCAGAGCAATAGGCCAGTGAATGATGTACAGATCAATGTAGTCCAGACCGAGGTTTGTCAGGGACTCCTTACACCCCTCCAGTACTCGGGCCTTGCTGTGGTAGGTGTTCCACAGCTGAAAATCGTATATTTTGGAATATTTTAAACAAATCCTTATTTATAATGTCACTTTCAGATTAAAAAAAAGCAGCATTATTTTGCGAAGTGCATTTGCTCAAAATTTCAATAATATCAGCATTTTAATGTAGATCCCCGAAGATAGGGGCGATTGTGGTGGGTTGATTAAATGTAATGATTGAAATGAAATACGTACAAAATCAGAAGAAAAACATCTCAACTCTTGAGATTTCCGCAAGTCTAAGATTTCCCATTGGCAATACATTGCTTGAGATTTTGCTTAACTTTAAGATGTTTTATACAAGTGGGCCCTGTATCAGTAAATTGAAGTGGTGTTTAAAGTCGACATCCTGCCGTGTTGATAAAGTATACCGGCACAGGCGTTAACCGAGCAATTTAGGAGAGACTTATCATACCTTTGTTGTGATGAACAAGTCCTCACGTTTGACTGTTCCATTACCAGTAACCTCTTTAATTGCCTCTCCTATCTCTTTTTCATTTCCATAGGCGAGTGCACAGTCGAAATGCCGGTATCCCAGCCCTATCGCAGTCTTCACAGCCGCTCCAACTTCTCCAGGTTTTGACTGAAATTTGGAGGGTAAAGTAATATGCCTTTTTCTATTCTTTCATAGTAAAAACATGATTTGATCATGAAGGAGTTTTTTGCAATTCCTGCACTGTAACGCTTGAAGGTATCGGGGCCCAATTTCAAGGTTTTTTCCAGGAAGACATTTGCATCATTTAAATTCCGCGTGGTCCAATAATCAAGCAACAACGTTATTACTCAACAATCCTTACTAATATATATTGTTATTGTACACAAAATTTCAATTCCTAAAAACTTACATCTGCACGCCGCTAGTATTGTATAACCTGACAGTGCACAGCTAGAGCACCATACTTATATATATTACACACTGTACAGTGTTGTCGGGTATCTAGTTGTTGCCATAGCGTTTATCTTGTCCTAATTTCTATTCATATATGGATCATATCAGCACAAACAAATACCAAAATACCTCAACAAGTCAAAATGTGTTTTATGTATATCAAAATAACGAATTGATGTACTAGCAACTAGTAATTGATTGGTACCTTCAACAGCAATTATTCAGACCTAAACTTAAGCCGGTTCATAGTATATTGAATGGGATAAAAGCGGGAAATAACTAGATACATCTTACTTTCCTAAATATACTGTAAATCCATACAAAGTGCAATATTGTTTCTTTGTTCGACAACTTACCTTCGCAGTTCCCAGACCAACGCATGGTATCTTGTACCCACTGAGTAACGTCTGTTCCGGTATAGCTGACATGACGATGGTATATAATCCACAAGATGTCGCCCCCTATAATACGTGGTGTGATTGCGCTTCTGTACGAATGCTTATGAGTGTCATATCAAAGTTAATCTACCCTATCGTGTTGTATATTAGATCGGTGATAGTCACTTAAACTATTTCTGTTTTAAACGTAATACTTGAGATAAAAAGTATGGATATTTGAAATGTAAAACGCACTTTATATTGCTTTCAAATGGAAATGCTTTTCATATTACTGTGGTGCTTTTTATGTGAATAATATATTTCCATTATCGCGTTACAAATTTGCAGTCTTTGTTAACAACAGATAACATTGTTGTTTTAGTTTAGAAGTATACATATCGTGAAACAAATCTTATGCGAAATTATTCTGTACGTGGTTATTTAGGTCAGGATGTTATGACAGGTGGCTATATCGTAATTATATATAAGTCAGGGTAATATTACTGGTTTATACAGGGAGTTAAAAGAAGTAAGAGAAAGACTAACACCAGATATTTCGTGTTAAAGACAAACTTGACCGTAAGCGCCCCTTTAATTATTATCACCATATTAAGCTTAGTCTTCACAGTTCATAGAGTTTACGGACTCGGGCGTCTGTTCCTAATCTCCATGATATTTTTAAACAATATTCACCATCGTAAAGCATTGTTACTATATAACCCTTCCACAATTCAGTTGGCAATGGTATAGGATATGAATGCCGAGGACCGATTGCTGACGTCATCATTATTATGACGTCATACTTGTTACTTTGGATACCACTGACCCTCCCCGGGCGATGGCTGTTTTATTATGGAACAGGCATACACGGTACATACATTATTTGAACTTAATGGTGAATAATAGTAAGTCTAATTTATTTTTTAATAAGATGAACAGATTCCAAAAATGGTAAATACGAGTATTGAACTGCTATCAGATGACATTCGTAGGCAATATAAATGCCAACTGGACAATGACAAATTGAATGGAGCGCGAGCGCTTCATGTTATATTTGCCTTGGTCTGGTTGGAGTTCATATTGCCTATGAAAGCTATCTGAAAGCAGTTCAATGCCTCGTAAGCTACGGAGTGACAGTGTGTATACAGTACAGAAGACACCTTAATACAGTTCAACAGAATGTTTTCATTATTCCCTGGATTGTTTGCGAGATATACACATCCCTACATGAGAGAACACGACAGGTGCTATATGTTAAATTTCGTTTTGTTATATGTAGTTGTTTTTTCATTGGGGAACTGCAGATTGAATATTTTAGTTTCTTTGCCTGGGTTTAGCATCCTTTCAACTGCTAAGGGCATGTGAAGACACGTGTCTTGGGAGACGCTGCCGAAAAGAAGAGGAGGGAAGTGAAAACAGAAAACATAATACGTATAAAAAAATAGAAATCAAAAAATAAAAATATATTTTTAAAGTTACATCGTATGATTGCAGTGGCGCAGAGCGACCTGTCTTCGCTGGTAGGGCTCTCCCCAACCCTAAGGTAGCGCACTTTGAGTCACTGCAACCTACATGTTAATAATAATAAGAAGGGTAGTCTCACAATAATCTAATGTCGATATTGATCCCTATTACAAGTGGGTTTTTTTTATGTTAAACAAACTATTTTAAGTTCTAGGAAACAGCCAACTGCAAGTATTTTATATGTACCAATGGTATTGATTTATATTTTGTACAAGTATTTTATATGTATTAATGAACATAAATGTAATTGCGATATGTGACACTTAAATAAACAAATTGAACTTGAACTTGAACGTATATACATCCCAAGTGTCACCATGGGGCAACATATAATTTTGTTTGTTTTTGTGTCTCATAAGCAAAACATCCCAAACAAAGCTCCTTTTCTGCAGCGTTCATCAGAAACGATATCCACTTTGATGCATTTTCTAGTGTATGTGAAAAAGTCGACACCAAAAAAAACACAAGATTGTTTTATGTCATTCCTGACATTTTATATGTGTCTGCAACAAATTAATCAACAAAGTTAATTGACAAGTGTATTGGCATCAGATAATACCGTATTTAATTGCATCAAAGGTGTTTTTGATAGAGTTGAGAAACATGTTCAATTACATCCACCACTTTACAGTATATGAATTAAAGTATACAAGAAATTTATACAAAAATACACACCATCGTTGACCAATGGGTATTTGTCATGATAGGTGTCCATTCCTCAAACTCCGCCAAAACAAGAAATGAGTAAAGAAACAAACATTATCCCAAGCGTTGCGATTTGGCGGCGGATAATTTCCCCTTCTGCGATGTCTTCTAAGCAAAAGACCCAATGAAAATCCCCGTCTCCGATTCATCAGCATATATGAATTAAAGTATACGAGAAATGTAAACAAAAATATCCACTATTCGTTGAACAAATAGTATGTATTTCATGTTTGGTGTCCAAACCTAAACCTCCTCTTTGAAAGGATAGTAGGGACTGTGTGAGGCACTGAAAAACAATAGATAGTATAGTTTATATTTAAGTAAGTAAAGCGTGAAGCATATAAAATATAGTAGGGTAGATTCCCTTTGGAAATCACCATTGCTGTGAATACAATTATGTATATATATACATATATAAATACAAATATCGGTAACCTGACTTATTTTTACATTCCGACAATGTTTCACCATTCTATTTTTGAAATATACAAAATGAGATGAGGGTCAAATTATATATATAAGATTGAAATATTCAAGATACTTTAAAGAACTTGGTAGTAAAAAGAACTAAAAAAATAGCATATACACATCATGGTACAGAAATTTGAATTAAAAACCACGAGAAATGGAAATAAATGCTTCAAGGAACACAAAAAACTAACTGATTCAGTCCTTTTTATGTTAGATATTTTATGATGTGAATATTAATTGTTGCAAAGTGATTTAAGTTTACAAAAAGGGTCGTACTCTGCCCAGAGACAGCATCGAGCGTTCCTATTCATCCCGTGTATGAATTTCATTTCATCATCGTTCAGTTCAAAGTCAAAAAGCTGTAATTAAATATTGACATCAAATCTATAAGTATAGCTTACAATGTTTCATGGTAAAGAGTTTTTATTTTTTTATTTCTATCATGAGACTCCGTTTCATCATCACTCAGGTGAAAGGAAATCACTGAAGGGGGTAGTCTAAGCAAGCACCGACTCAGTAGTGTATGTGTTATAGTTGTGTATCGTTGCTACATGTGTGCTATCTTGGTTTGGTTTTACCGGGTTTAAAGTTCTTTTAAAATCGAAGGGCGCACAATAAAACATTATGTTAGTTATTTTCACCCTAGACGATCAAATTAATACACCACGAATTTATTTGTCCTTTTCGAGCAAATCGACAGCCTCACCATTAACATTTGTTCTAGTTACATACCGAGCTGAATAAAAGAGGTCTAACTGACATTGTTATGGTAGATTGTATCTCGTCTATTCTTTTCTCGTTTACTATACACTTTCTTGTATATTCGCGTTAGGGCTAAATGCATCAATGCAGCAGTTGTTCCGCAGTTTGGAATATAATCCTTTATGTGAAGAAAACAAAGCCATTACAAATTTGTAAGCCTTATCTGAAGTTATTTGAAGTTGTATACAGCATTATCACCTTCGATCAGAGTTTAACGCTAACATCTGAAAAACCTCCTGAATAAATTAATAAAATATTAAATTCATGATTGCCGATAAATTATTATCTGAACTCATAATAAACGTTGAATCTGCAATATGTGTTTATGTATAATATATTTCGGTAATCAAAACAGTTCAGATTTTTTTTACAGAATACATTTAGGAGTGGGGTTGATTTATCATTTTCACTTAAAATGTTAATTAATCTATGTTCATTAATGTATCTTTAATATGTTAAGCTTCATTAATTTAATTATGTCCATATTTAATTTACAACTTGAAATTGTTACACGTCTTTTAAAATCTCAAATCTTTAATTTGATTACAGTATGTTTACAAAACCTTCAGTAAAACACGGATTTAGTATATTTAAGGGCTTGCAATTTTTGTCGTTTAGTATAAAAATTGCATGACACCCGACAATACAATGTATACCTACTTCAATGTTTTGTGTCATTCTTGCTGCAGACACGCTTTTCGGTATGACGATATATCCTCTTTGTACACCCCATCGAAGTACAACCTTAACATCAGGCAAAACTTGATTACTTTAACGTTATAATTAAAAAAAAAGAAGTCGACATAAAATAAAATGAATATGTTTCACTGTTAATTTTACCTCTAGAAATTCTCCTTCACATAATATTTGTATAGCTGTTCCTAAACATTGGCCTCTAATTCTGTACAAATAAATAAACAAAAGAAAATGAGTTTCCGTACACACATTGACGATATATCAAGGGCATCTCTATGTCCCATCAATATTCTTAGAAATAGGAATGTAACTCACAAACATGTAATCGCATCTTTATTTTATTATTTTACCGTTATTTAATTTCTAAAACACAGACATTACCAAAGTACTACTATTCTACCCGTTCGTGTCCCTTTTAAAAACAGCTTACTGTTAAGAGTACACATTTTAGTCCGTTAGACGAAATTCGTTACCGTCTAAGTACATGTATATGTAAAGTCATCACATCATACAGACCTGGCCAGGTGACTTGCTGTATCGAGTTGCTATTTTTGCTATCTCCGGTTCTTCTAGTAATTTAGGGTCGTCAGGTTTCGCCCTAAATGTCAAACAAAAAGTATATCAGTGTCAAATTGGAACAATGCTAGAATGTAACATATGTTCATATATTTAGACCAATAACATTTCGAGAATTCAGCTTTACAAGTACGATTCAACTTATCATTGATTTAGCAATACGATGATTTTTCATAAAGAATATGTCATACAGATTTAAAATAATTATGACCTATAATTGGTCTCAAAAATAACGTTATATTGTACATGTTACAAATGAATTGCCACTCTTCAAGCTTACCATGGTCGCTCAGCAGAACCCAGAGGGCAATACGCCACTACGACAATGCCTTTGGATTGACAGAACTGTAGCAAGTTTCCATTGGAATTATAGGGAGATATTTCGATCTGGAATTGAAGTAATAATAGTCACCGTGTCATTATAAAGCAATATTTGTCAAGCAGACTAATACATTTTTATATTTGATGCATTTATAACCACTGTTTGCAAAGCCGAACAAAAATTCAAAATCTTTCCTGGAACAAACTATTTTGTACGTACCTGGTTACATGACAATGGATGTTTCAAACCAAGATCTAAAATCCTCTGAATCTGTTTAGAATTGAAGTTAGACACACCTATGGATCTACACATACCCTCGTCTACCAAATCCTGCATGGCCTGTTCGATAGAGAGCAGTAATGTAATGCAACAAATAATTTGAGTAAGGTAATTTCATAATAGTGAAATTTTGCAGCTCATAATGATTTATCAAAAATTATTTCTTCACATAAAGGATACTATTCCAAACTGCGGAACAACTGCTGCATTGATGCATTTAGTCCTAACGCGAATATACAAGAAATTGTATAGTAAACGAGAAAAGAATAGACAAGATACAATCTACCATAACAACGTCAGTCAGACCTTTTACAAATGTAAATGGTGAGGATGTCGATTTGCTCGAAAAGGACAAATAAATTCGTGGTATATTAATTTGATCGTCTAGGTGAAAATAATTAACACAATGTTTTATTGTACGACCTTGGATTCTAAAAGAACTTTAAACCCGGTAAAACCAAACCAAGATAGCGCACATGTATCAACGATACACAACTATAATCAGGTCATATACCGGAACTATATATATATTGGTGTTTTTTTTACTGATAATGTATTTTATAAAAAAAAAAGAAAAGGCATTCAAAATAAATGTTTAGTCAATAAACGCATTGAAAATAAATGTGCATTTTAACAGTGTGTTATATTATTTATCATCAAAGTTAACTGATTTTGAAAGGCCGACTACGAGTTTGTAACTAATAACATTCCTAAAACTCTTTCGCAATGAATGATCAAATGTTTATGTAACGGCACAATCCTGCTGGAAACACAAGTCAATGTTCGACTTTTTTTTTCTTTCTTATAAAATATTGTAAATTTACGTTTAACAACTGCAAACAATGATACGACAAATATAAAACATTCTGTTTTCCGTAAAATTGAAAAAAATATTCTATTTACACCAAATAGTTATCTTATTTACTAGTTATGGCGGAACAGAGTAAGTAATACAAACTTGTCATACCTTATCAGGTTTTTTATAGGATATATAACATTTAGATGTACTTACTGTCCATGTTTCTATGAAGTCTATATCGACAACATCAGTCTTGCCATCAGGTGTTAATGGGTACAACCCATCATTTTCCTGAAAATCATTGATTATCATAGTGAAATCCGGGAATGAACTTAATTATAATTTATAGCTGAAAACGACTTCTAATAGTGTTAACAGCGAGTTCTAACAATATCGTTAATCAAAATTCTAGAAAAAGTTCAAACAATATAGTAGAGATGTAAATTAGCGTTAACTTACTTTGTAAATCGATAATCATAACTCTAAGATTAGTTTGAATTATAATGTGAATGAAACTGACAGCCAAGGGCGTGATAAGAGTGCGATATCGCAAAAGAGTGCATGCATTTGACCATTTCATCAAATGATATAATCACAAAAAAGCCAAAGGTATCAAGTAATCGCCGGCTATAAGAGTATACAAAAATAGTATCAACTTCCTACGTAACCACTCCAATCAAATACGAACGTGAATGAGATGATCAAATATAACAATTGAAGTGGAATATAGGGACGACAAAGGCTATTCATGTTGTAGTATCAAGGTAACAAATATATGTTTATGATGTTTTGTATTCATCTTAACAGCTACGCTTTCGTTTAACAATGTGAGCGTTCCTTGATTAACAAACTTATTCATCTATCACACAATTGCGAAACAGCATTTTACATTCGCAAACCGATACAGAAATATACCCGTTTCTGCTGTTTACAAAAAAAACACCAATTAACTTTAGACAAATGAGCTGTATGATATATGTATCAATGGTTTAAATGGACCTGAATGAACTCGATACATTCTATATATTGATCACGTGATACGTTATTGTGAAACCAATATATTACTTCACTGGGACACCTGACGTCTTACCCTCGTAGCAAAAGGCCAGTGAATGATGTACAGATCAATGTAGTCCAGACCGAAGTTTGTCAGTGACTCCTTACACCCCTCCAGTACTCGGGCCTTACTGTGGTAGGTGTTCCAAAGCTGAAAATTATGCATTTTTATAATTTTCAGTGATAAATTTCTTGACCTACATCTGAAACCTTAGTTTCACAATTTCACACTAAGGCGACTTATCAGACAGCAGGGTTTAGTATGAAAAAGAGCAAAGTCATGTGTTGAAATGTTTTCATATTTTTCGCTCATGAAACATATCTAAATATCGTGAAATAGGTGTCCTATATCATTCACAGGTTGTAACGTTGTATAATGTTACCGGTAGAATACTAGGCTGTGTGTTTGTCACACGATATTTAAGTGAGGTTGCACAATAAGGTCGGCATCAGATCCGCACTATTAAAAGGAGCCAAGCACATTGCACAAACCGGCTCCAGCACACATGTACACAAGCACGCACATAGTACCCACATGGAGGAAAGTCCTTAAATAACCTAAGCTGTTAGGAAATTAAACCAAATATATCATGATTATATTTATACACAATAAAATATAATAAAATGAAGGTTATGATAAAATGTGACGTCAGGCTTTGAATCTCTGTTACATATTGTACATGATATTTAAACGATATTGACGATATAAGAGAGGCTAATTGTACCTTTGTTGTGATGAACAATTCCTCACGTTTGACTGTTCCTTCATCAGTTATTTCCTTAAATGCCTCTCCGATCTCCTTTTCATTTCCATAGGCGAGTGCACAGTCGAAATGCCGGTATCCCAGCCCTATCGCAGTCTTCACAGCCGCCCTAAAGTCTCCAGGTTTTGACTGAAATAAATAAGTACACTTAGGGGTCTTCGGAGTACCTTAAATGTTATAGAAACTTAAATTAGTTGTTTCACTTATCCCAATCCAAGGAGGAAATAGGCAGCCAATATCTTGTAAATAAATCCTGGAAATTGTAAATCTGCCTGTTTCTATCTTATCATTAAAAATAATAAACATACCAATGTCCAGCTGGCGCACCATACTTTTCTATTGCACGATCGTGTCACTACAGTCGGGTAGGAAGTGGCTTAACGTTATCTCTAACGTACAATATACCTACTGTTTATTCTCTATGCGTCATATCAGTACAATAGGTATTTAGATACCTGAATATGATAATTGAACGAAATGTATAAAAACATGAGTGTACACAGTTAAACTGAAAAAGTTCGGTCATTATCAATACAATGATTTAACGGGTTTAACTCTTGTTGAGACCCGAACACAAGTCGGTACAAAGTACAATTTATCAGAGGTAAGCAAATACAATACACAGATAAATCCAGGTCAGTTAAATGAAGTGTGCATTTATATTCCTTTCAGCAAGGTCCTACCTCCCAAGTTCCGAGACCAACGCATGGTATCTTGTATCCACTGAGTAACGTTTGTTCCGGAATTACTGCCATGGCGATTATTGAGGTAGATCGATTCACAAGGTTAAAACCGGAATTGGTGGTCTGACTTTTCTTTCTGTACGGATGAACATGAGTGTCGTACAAAAATTTAAAATGCCCCATCGCGTGGTGTATCTTGTTTATGATGTTCAAGTATTTTAGATGGATGTTTGAGTGGTTTGTGGGATTAAGACAATTAGATAAGGCAAATCAGAAAGAGAATGTAGAGATATAGGGAAAAGAGAAATTCGCAAGCGTTGCAATGGGGGCAGCAGTTCAATAACATGTCACTTAAGTTTCTTCTTAGCAGAAAACACAGACTGAAACATAAGAACCTGCAGGCGACCCATCATTAGGCGCAGTTAAAGATTTTATTTTTTAAAAAGACTTTCAGATGAAAATGACAAAACATCAAAATACTTTTTCTATGACTTTGCAACAGTTTGATAAATTATTAATTTTAGTATGCCAGATATGGCCCCTCTCCACATCGATCTGGTCAGTTTCAATTTTGTACATCCCTGCAGGTCGGGGATCAAGAAAAGACCACACCAACTGTTACCCTGGGTTCACCCGTTGTCAATATAATGTTTCTGGGCGGAAGGCTGTGCTGGGTGCCTTCGACATTGTATTTCTATAAAGGCGGCATCAGATCGCGCTATCACAATGAGGCAAGTACACTAAAATACCCTGTTTCCGGCACACATACACACATGCATGCATCCGCAAGATACACGGAGGCAGGTCCTTAAAAGACCTTAGCTGTTAATAGGACGTTAAACAAAATAAAACAAACCAAACTAATCAATTTTGTATATGACATCAAACTGTGGTGGATCGGAGGAACAAATACTAAAATAAAATATTCAGGCACACTACCTGTTTTCAGAAGTTGTTTGTTCTCATTTTTTTAATATGAAAATACAATATTTGTCATAAAAGATTATTGATTTATAGGTGTGGATCAACATGTCTTGATCTTTGAAAGTAGTCAGGTTCAACGAAAACCTACCCCTTTTAATACAATTGCGGTCTAATATAATTATGAATATCACCCTTCTGTTGATACTGTCAGGATACTTTCTGCGATACAAATAATCTCCAGCTCGACAGAAAACATCCAAATCTATACGTATGAACATGAATGCTCTAATTTAGAAGTAGATATGTGATTATTGTTCTTTGTTTGGTTAATAACACAATGTGTGTGCGATCGCCGACAATTTTTTTTTTTTTGATGACTCTAAGCTATATAAATCAATTGACCATCACTGGGTAAATCATCGTTATAGATTCTTTTGATACTCATGATAGGTCTACTCCCAAACTTCAGCATCTTCCTTTGTGCTCCTGCTTCCCCGATTCTTTTAAATATGTATCTCTTGCCGATTGCCACTTACCCTCGCAGTGTATTATTAAATTATGATATCGCTAATTTCGTGCTAAAACAGGTCAGCAATGCGATTCAGTCTTTTGTGTATAGCTGCCTGCAACTCATTCTAGCTGAGCAGACTATTGGTTTATATATCAGTTTTGTTATTTTGTATTTATAAGGTTTAATATTTGATGATATAATTTAACATCAATCATCACCTTGTACATATTTTCTTGACCAAGTTTCAACATCCTTTTATTTTTCGATATCGTATTTTTACAAAACTAGCTTTTTCCCGGAACTGATGTCGAAATGGAGCGACCTTCCTGTCTGTTTCTCAACATATCATCTCTTGGAGCTCTATAAAAAGGAATGCTTTCGTTTATCTGTTATTGGTGCCCAACACCTACGTAATACCTTTTTCAAATACCATGGCGATAGAAAATTTATCATAGTACTATGTCAAATGAGAAAGTCTGCCTGTAACTTGAATTCAAATTTGTTTAATTCCCATCTAAAAGATAGCCCTACATGTTTATGTGGTTCCCCGGTTGACGCCTGATATTTTTTTCCCTTCTCTTTATTTGACCAAAGACAGCTTGTCCTGAACTCCCTCCGCGCTATAAGTGACAATATTGCCCTTAATACTCAAAATTTTATCCGTGGTTTCCTCATAGGAGATGACAATATGAATATAAATATTGTAGAATTGGTTCAGAGGTACATTGGAGACAAGAGACATTTCTATTAGATTCTTCTGTTCTGATTCTCAACAGGATGTTGAATTGTTGCATGACTCGATTATATGTTACAAACAAAATTTGTTATATATATACGACAAACATGATATGTGTGTACTATTAAATATTGTATGGAGAGGGCTTGTATAGGCTATGCCTGTTGCCCAATTCCGACTGTACTTAAGATCTGTGAATAATATATACTGAAATGAAATGAAATCCTTTTATTTTGCTCATGACAAGCAACAACTTTTATAAGCAGATGGATAAACATTTGTATTAAATATTTCATATAGAATAACATTAAAGAATTTAAAAGAAAAATAAATTTTAAGAGAAATATTAAGAAACGAATGATTGATTTAAAAAATATATAATTTACTTTATAGCAAATGGTAGTTTCTGATGATAATCAAGAAAGGATGACAAATAGTACGATACTTGCATTTGAGAGGAAAAGTTAAATTACTGCTACAGAATGGTTTAATTGATAAAAATGGTTAGGAATATTTACGTATTAATTATGGTCCTATATATACTTGATATATATCTAAATCAAGTATCGCACCCTGAAGGAAAAACTCACTTCAGCACAGATTTACGTCACTTTAATATAAGCTTTTGTCTCTGGACTTATTAATTGACTCTAATATTTTCATCATTAAAAAAATAAATCAAAACTAATTAAAGTGACACTTTAGTTAATGTTTAAGAGACACAAGTTTTGTTAAATTTAAAAAAAAAAGTTTTCTTATAAAATATTTCAAACTTATATGATATTCTTTTTTAAAACATCAATACAAAGTTAGATAATTGTCGACTTTAAGTCTACATAATTATGGTCATGCTGTACTAAACTACCCCTACACTCTCCCTTCCTGTTCCAATTTACCTTAACCTTTTCACCCGTAGATAACTTTAGTAGACTCTACGTATACCATGCATTTATTGGGATGAGTCCATTATGGTCTAAAGTGATGAAAGGGTTAAATAAGTTTATACAACAGAACAGAAAGTCGTGTTTACTTACTTTATCATGGCGCTATACAGAAACTGTATCAATATACCATTTTGACGGTTACATCCCCGTACTACCGTCAAAAACTGTAAACATACTCTTAATTTTTAAATTTATTTCCTTTTCCTGAAAATAAATACATTCTACAAGGAGATACTTTTCGTAGAACTTTTGTCTAAATAAATGTGAAAAGGAAACTAGATATTGCAGATTTCCCTCTTTCCTGAAACAAGTAATATATCAATAACAATGTTTTTTTTGTGCAACAAGACAGTTTCCTAGACTTCCAAAATCGAGACAGTCGCCTAGCCAACTGTCATCTTGGCAACACTAGTCAATTGGCTCTGTCAAACAACAGTTGATCGAAAATACAAATAAGGGGAGATCAGTCAAGATTAGACACAATGCAACGGGGTTACGTAGTATTGCCATAGGGAGTCATAATTGAATCTACTATAAATACTGAAATAAAAAACACATAAATAAATATGTATAAAGAAAACCAGAAATGTAAACGACAGTAACCTTTATTTTTCGGTAAATTATTTTCATGACTGCTGCCGCTGAGCCTCTGTTACTAAAACTCCTCATGGAAAGGATAGTATGGGCTGTGAGATGCACTGAAAAGAAACACAAAAACGAGTTAAGTTTAATGTTTCGTGTATGAAAAGTATAATTAATATATTATGTATTTAGTCTTTTTATTTGTTATCATTATCAGAAACCGGATGTTTAAAGCCGGATTGACCCGTGGACAGCAAATACTGATAATTATAAATAATTAATTGTTTGTTTCTTGTCCTCAGATGCGTGTATCAAATTTTGACGCATGTACTTTTCTTTACTATTATTTTTTGCTTATAAAAGCATATGTCAACAAGGTTACATGTATCAGGCCTCGACTAATTTTGCCCTGCGTGTTATATTCAAGCGTACACAAGTAGAAGTAGATATGAATCTCATTATGAGTTTTGGAGTTTTGAATCGTACAGATTAGTATATTAGGAGGCAAATTGATTTGATTTGGTTGTTTTTAATAGCACAGTGTAAAACATTTACCAAATAAAAACCTTTAACGGTTTGGTCTTTCCATAATCCATACATTGTATACAGAGAGATCATGAAATATATTTTTCTAAACTTAACTACAGATAAATGGACAAAAATTCAAGATGTTGTTGAAATTAAATGTTAAGTAAATAATGTACATAACATATCAAACATAAAATACTTTTGTTAAAATATAGTTTGATCAGATGTTATTTAAGGATGTAATAGCTTCCCAGTTTAGAATACTAAAGAATAAGGCGTCATACTCAGGAACTGCTCCGGTCCAGGTACACAAACGGAAATTCCGATTAATCTCATATATAATTTTCATTTCGTCCTCCTTAAGTTCAAAGTCAAAAATCTGTAAAAGAAAAATAAATCATTGTATTTTAACTGATATAATTAAATATGATTTTTATAAGACTAATTCGGTAGTTTCTATCATGATCCGAGCTTTTTAATATTTCATTATAACTAAAAAATCAAATTATGATTTAAAAAGGCAATGTTTGGAAGCACCGTGTTTGTCAGTATGATGATACTTGTATGATAGACAGATTATACTATGTAGCATCTTGTGACTTCTTTTCACCTTTCAGACTCAGTAATCATAGGACGATAATACAAAAGGTTTTTTAACCAGAAGCCACGCCTTATTTTTTATTGTTATAATTAACATTGATCACAAACGAGGGAATTAACTTCTTTAAACTGTTAGAAGGTGCATTTATAGAATAGTCAACCTAACCTAAATGTGCGTCGTTTTCCCGCGGAATATGTTGATATCTACTTTAAAAATTTTGAATAGAAAACTAAATTACACAATTAGAACGCTCTGAATGTACATGCTATGTTTACTTTCATATCTTTTCGCTGTTTCGATATTTATTTCTGTTATATTTCTTGATACATATATTTACTCTTGGCTTCATTATGAGTTCATCGCTAAATGTAATAACACTACCGCAATAGTATTAGCTGTATTGCGTAATGTTGTTACATTTCAAATAGAGTTGTTTTCATTAACGCATTGTATTCAAATTAAAAAGAATGAATAAATCAATATGTATTTGATTCCATAATTGTAACCAGGCTTATTGTAATTCGTTTTATCAACAAATATGTATTTAATATATTCATTCTTCAACCTTACAAACCTGGTATAATGCATGTTTACTTGGACATTTTGTAAGTGAGATATCGTTTTCAGATAAGGTTTTGATATTATTTTTGTAATTTTGTATTTGTATATACATTAAAAAAACTGACATTTTAGGCGACATTGAAATAAAAGTTATACATACTTCAAAGTTTTGTTTCTGTCTGGCTGCAGAGACGCTTTTCGGTATGATGATATATCCTCTTTGTATTCCCCATCGAAGTAGAACCTTAGTTTAAACAATACAAATAAACGTAATATTTGAAAAATTAGTTTATATTTTATATTCTAAAAGGCTACTATTTCATCTACACCGTGTAACGCAGTTCAATTTCAATCTATTTTGTTGTGTTATCAAAAGTATTTAAACAATAGATGGGTGAAAAATAGTTAATGAAATAGCATCTGTTAATATCAACAAGCATGTCTAAATACATTACTAGTTCAAGGGAGATAACTTGGGGTTTATTTCACAATAAGTTTCTGACTGTACATATAAACAGATAACATTGCGTGTTATCTTCCTTAAAATAATGTTTTTTTTTATTATTTGGTTAAGTGTGTGATGAGTAATTATGGATAAGTAAATATGAAATATTACAATTATTAGTTAGCCGAATTTGTCCGTGAGACATTTCTTTCTAAGTTGTTGTTTAAACGGATATTTGTGCCTCTGCTACAATGTGACAATTTTGTGTATGCCCATATATAGCTACTTAATCAATACTAACCTGTCCAGGTGATTTATTGTATTGGTTTGCTATCCTCACTATCTCCGACTCTTCTAGTAATTTTGGATCGTCGGGTTTTCGCCTTAATAGTCAAAAAGAAATATACTAGGATCAATCATAAACTATGTTAATTTATTGCTGTACATCCATTTAAATATACAACATTTTGAGCGTTTGAAATTTTCATCAAAAACTATATAATAATTTCATGGCATTATGATATATGCTAAAACACGTAAGTAAGCCTTTGTTTATCTGAAGTCGTCATTGGGTACACACTATCCATTTCTCGTATTTATTGAGAGAAACTTACCATGGGCAGTCACCTGAACCCAGCGGGGAATACGCCACTACCGAAATTCCTTTGGATTTACAGAACTGCAGCAACTTTTCATTCGAATTATAGGGAGATATTTCGATCTGGAATTGAAGTAATTTTAGTATATCAAAAACGTGTTACAGTATAAAACACCAAAACGCAGATGTGGAATTATTAAAGAGTTAAGGAAATATTCGTTTAATTACTATGTACATTGACATATTTCTTCGTTTGATGCCAAAAAGAGGTGTTTTTTTTTTTATCAAAGCTGAAGAACGTACAGTTTCTAAATGTATTTACCTGGTTACAAGTCAATGGATGTTTCAAACCAAGATCTAAAATCCTCTGGATCTGTTTAGAATTGAAGTTGGATACACCTATGGATCGACACATGCCCTGGTCAACCAAATCCTGCATGGCCTGTCACAAAAGGAACATCAATGTAATGAAGCTAACCATTAAAAGCATTTCTACCTTTGTATGCCATTTTGCTTTTTAGATTTGTTTATTAATGCCATTCCTTCCCCCTTTTTTATTTACATTTTCTTTAATTTACAACTTTATCCCCTTAACTTTTTAAAAAAACAGGTTAGCCCGGCTGTAATCCATTGCATGTTTATCGTATGAAATGGACATTGAAAAGACCAAGATTTTTAGGTCGCCCCCCGCCTCCAATTGAAACATTAGGGATAGTTTTTCCCTGTTCTTACTAACTACTCACCCTTTTCATGACCCTGGCTATAACGCGAACGTTAATCCCCAGTGAAAACCAACTTAACCAACCTCTTAATAATGTCACATTTTTTCTGAGCAAAAAATGTCAGTATGAAGAGATACCGACAACTCACATGGTATTGCTGTAAACGTGTTACGACACATGTATGTCATACTGTTTTGTCATTAGATAACAAATAGATTCCCATAAATCATAAACTATTTTATCATATCAATCCAACAATACGCATAGTCTAAACCTGGACAATATAAGAACCACAAACTGTTTATGACCAATATATACGATGTTTGACTGCGTTACCAATCCAAATGAAATTGATGAAACTAGTCTAAAATTGTTCATTTAAGCTAGCACTTGCAAGCAAAAATTCAAAATTCTTCAATTGGTTTCATTTATCTTATTTGAACTCTAAAAAAATAACGATTACTTATTGCATGATCCAAATATTTTACATTAGAATACAATGAAAATCAAGCTTTCCATGTCATTTTTGAAATTTAAAGATCCGACATCTTTTCTCTTTGTCTGTTGTTTCCCTCGTGACGTCATACTACACTATTTCAATACCATTTGATGCTGTCACAATATGTCATATTACATGTATTCATATGAACACAATTTGACACGAGTGTATCAACTGAATGATAGTAACCAGGTGATTAATGTCTATATTTAGAAATATTTTTTTAAGATGTACTCACTGTCCATGTTTCAGTAAAGTCTATATCGATGATATCAGCCCTGCCATCAGGAGCTGCTGGGATCAACTCGACATTTTCCTGAAATAATTTCACATTTTTTTTGTGATTGTAATGAATATGGTGTAACAAAACCTTATTACTTGTATAACACATGAACCGTTATGTTTCTCAGGCATTAACTAGAACATCTCGTTTAAAAATGAGTGAAATGATCATAGATAGTAACATGCACAGAATGTGTTACAATAGAGAGTTATGCAAACGTAACGATTTAAAGAAAAGCAAATCCAAAGCAATAAACTCAACTACTGCTAAGTGCTTTAAATTCGCGGGGTCAATATTTCGCGGTTTCGTATTCAGTACATATTCGCGGTGGTCAATTTCGCTATGCACCCGAATCCCATTTGTCGTGCAAAGTATTTTAGTGTCTTCATTTAAGGGTTAAACCTCGAATTACAGGTAAACCGTTTGCCAACACTGATCCAGAGCGTCGCCATCCACCAGGGACTTCACTCGACGTAACTTTGTAGGAGTAAACTGTAATCAAGTAATCACCTACCGTGTACACAAAAATATTTTGTGGCCGCTTATATGTAAGTGTTGTTTTTACAAGGACTGCCCTGTTGTCCGGTAATAATCTGATTTGAGTTCATTTACGCTTGCATAACAGCGTTGGGTTATAAGTAATTTTAACATGTTGTGATAAGGTCCGTAAAAGTGGTAAACATTTTTGATAATTTCGCTGGTGTTTAGAATTCGCGGATATTAGCCAAACCGCTAATATAGCGAAATTAAAACCCCGCGAAATACAACCGCTATACAGTAATACAGCTACTATGAGACCGGCAAACAAAGGTAATGATAAAGTTGAAAAGGGGGACAACAAAAGTAAATAGATATGTATATGCAAATACTGTTCATTATAACTGATAATTAATATTATCTGTTGGGAAATTGTATTCATATCGAAGGTTTGGACAAAACCAATTATTTAATATCAGTATATTAAGAGGCTTTATAGATAACAGCTCATCGATCATAAATGAGCACCACAGCGTTTTCATTCCAAAACAGAAAATTATGCGATGGATTATTGTGTAAGCAATACGTTCCTTCACTTAGATATTTGTTGAGACCTACCCTCATAGACATTGGCCAGTGTATGAGGTACAGATCCACGTAGTCCAGACCGAGGTTTGTCAGGGACTCCTTACACCCCTCCAGTACTCGGGCCTTGCTGTGATAGGTGTTCCATAGCTGAAATGACGTTGAAGTTTCTTTTGAAATGTGAAACCATTTTCATTATTTCTTAATAAAAATAATTTGTGAATGAGTGGGGTTTTTTGTACCGTAGAATTTTTTTTCCGAAAATTGTAAAAATGTTTAGCAATATGCAGCGAGTGAATTATGATTAAAAAAAATCCCCCCACCCCCCACCCATCCCATCTAAAAGTAAAGCAATTAAAAGCAGGTAGGTAGGTCTAGTGGAATTTATGTTTCCTGCCTCACTGTGTATGTGATCAGTTCATTTTCAATTTGCCGAACTATTAATTTAATTTACAGTACAAGCAAAAGCAGATCTAAAAACATTTTCCTTATAGTAATAAAATAATCACATGGAAATGTTATGTTCCATTAGGACAGGAATCGCAAACATAGAACAGTGTTCCATACATCTGTACAGTTTTTATGTATGGTCATATCAGATTCATAATAATAAGACCTGTATGATGGTAATGCTAACTAATACCAAACATTAGCCGAAAACAATGTCTAAAATATTATTATCGTAACTAAGAGAATTAATAGTAGAATACACGGATATCGTTGTATGAGTGAAAAATGAAAACAACATCTGGTTAAGTGTTAGTAAAATCAAATCATCGTTTTGGTAAAATCCACATATTACAAATAACAATTTTGACGATTAATTAATTTACAAAGAATAAAACATACTTTTGTTGTGATGAACAAGTCCTCACGTTTGACGGTTCCGGTACCAATAACGTCTTTAATTGCCTCTCCTATCTCCTTTTCATTTCCATAGATAAGCGCACAATCGAAATGCCGGTATCCCAGCCCTATTGCGGTCTTCACAGCTGCCGCTACTTCTCCAGGCTTTGACTGAAAGTAGGAAGGTAAGTTAATGGGGAATCAATGTCCATGAAATGTTGAAAAGGTTATGATACACTGAGTCTAGAATTAAAAATCTAGTGATAAATGTACTTATTTCTATCTTACGTGACAGAGTGGAATGATATGCAGGGAATTCCAACCACCGGCATGGTTTTTCAGTGAGATAGCTCCTTAACGTCCGTATCAGATCACTGATATCGCAAGCAAGGAGTTAAACACACCAACAAATCGCCTCTAGCACACATGATATGCAGGGAACCACCGGCATGTTTTTCAATGAGGTAGCTCCTTAAAGTCTGTAATCGCAAGCAAGGAGGTACATACACCAACAAATCGCCTCTTTCTAGCATACATACACACATGTATGATTGCATTTCACATATGGAGGCAGGTCCTCTTATCATCAATTTTACTACCTACACTAAGGAAGTCATTGAATTACCGCAGATTTTTAATAGGACATTAAATCCTATAAATCAAATAAAAAAATGATATCAATGGCCAAATAGTTTTTGAAATTATTTATAATTATAGCTCAGGTATCATTGGACATTGCATCCGACTTAAACATATAATTTTTTAGATGAACATCGAGTTATGTTTGCCCCATGCTCATCAAACTTTAACATTAATTGTTTGATGAACACAGAAGTTGTACCTGTCCCATTATCTAGGCATGAAATTTCAACAGAACATATTTGATCTCAACAATATGACTAGTGTAACAAAAAGCGGATGGCACTTAAATAAGGAGGCTACATTGTTAAAGGAAATGAGTTTTGTGAACACAGATGACATAGCAAAGAACAATGGAGCATGCGATACTTAAAACCACTGTATATTCAGGGGTAATTACATCCCAGGCGGATACTTCCCATCGCAATTCAAACTGGGATATGTTGGACAAATAAATAATTAAAGGATGTTGTAATCCTGGTAATAAGTGTCAAAGAAACAGTACGGAGGATATCTCCCCTTACAGTAACCTTGAGATGCTGCATCTCCTTAACCTGTGCAGGTTCGGAGAATAAATAAGCATAACGGTGGTTTTCATTCGTGTCTTCCACAAATAGGACATGGAAGAGATTTAATTTGATATAGTAATCCCATTGCAACACAATAGTTTTTGTAACTGTCTTTCCTGTCTACTTTCTCTCCCATTTACTTTTTCATTCTCGTGGTGATTCCCTAGACGCCCGTCCTCATATGACCCTGGCTGTTAAGAGGGCTTGAATCCCCAAACAAACAGCAAAACAGTCAGTGTGTTATATGCTAGATACGGCACTCATCTCTCTCAAAGCTCCTCAAGTGTGTGTGTGTTTCGTTAAATCAAATAGTGCAACAGTTTGACGTCAACGAACTACGCCCTTGTGCAGAAATCTCAATGAAGATCCAGAAATTCCCCCGAAGTGTTAATAACCAAGGTAAACATGGATTTCAACAAAGAGGTTCATCTTTTCTTTAGCACTAAGAACTATGGCAGATATAAGTAAATGTGGTAATTTTATCAGCTATTTGCTCCTGAATCAAAGATGCAAATTAACTAAAATGAACTTAAAGACGGACAAAATCAATATAAAATTCTAAATAATTATTAATCTCTCGGTCAATGGTTCCAATCTTATCAGTAATATGATGTTCAAACTAATGAATGACCTTTGTAGATATGGATTCAACATAAACATATCAAGTGAGACTCCTTATGGAAAATAACGATCGGATCTGGCTGAAATAGATTCATAAAATGATTAAATCTAAGATAATCATCGGAATTTCTACCTGTCTGACCAACGTTTTGTTCAGGGATTTCCCTCTACTAGCGCATGCGCATTGCACATAATTTCTTTGTAAACAAAATGACTGGCCGTGTGAAGTAAGCGAAAGAAAAGTGTTGTACCGTTTCAGCTACGAAGCGAAAAGTTGCCAAATGGGCAAAAGATAGCGCAAGGGGTACGTTACGGAATCATTATTGCCAGTGGGAAGTATTCAAAGCAGAAAATAACTGCCCTAGCAGTTAGTACGGTGCATGTATTCTTCCGGATTACCGGTTAAGCTGAAATGAAATCGACAGAAATGCTAGCGCTGTTTATGTTATGAATACATATCTAAAACTATTAACCACGCTAGTAGTAGTATCATTGAGTGAGTTTGAACACAGATGAACTTAGTTTAATATGTTAATGGGCATGTATCGAAGAGAGTTTACTTTGTGTTTCTATAATTATACAGTGGTTTATGCGAAAGGCAGGGATAAGTGACTGGTTAGTTTGATTTTGCCATGAGGCCCTCCAAGGGATAACTGTTGTGATGGCCACGACGTATTCTGTTCTGCCCTCTGTCGGTACTCGGGGTCAAATGAGATACGTGCGCTATTAGATTTACATAATTTATAATATTACCGGGATCAGTAAAATGGAATGGTTTAATTATATATTGCTGAATTAAACGTTTTTTGTGCTTTTTTTAACATGCAAGATTTAAATTAGTACTAATATGAATACCCGGCCTCCTCTGGCGCGACGTCACAATATATATAAAAAAATCGCTCTTCGTCAGAAAGCTACGTTATCGCAGCTAGATTTAAAATGTCAAAATGACGGACCAGGATGAATAACTGAGGAAGGAGAACCTACTTCTAGTAAATAGGATCGCATAATATTTTTTTTTAAATCGTAATTTTTCAACAGTTCATGTTTTCATATGAGATTGACTTAGAATGCATGATCATGTAACAACCTTTTCTCTAAAAAGAATTAATTTTCGACTTCGGGTAGAATCGGAATACGTATTGAAAAAAGGGGAAAACATATTTTATTACGTTGTAAAAATGGCGCGTGCTGCCGACAACTACGGCTTCTGTTTCGCACAAAAGCAACTGATTAAAGAAAAGTTGTCTCAACATAAAAAAGGTCCATTTACATGTATGCTTTAATCTCTGTAAAGAATTGAAAAAATATAATTATCAACATCTCAACACTTCCATATCTGACACATATTGTACATGTACACGTAGTGGTTTTGCCATACAGTTTATTGTGTGTGATGGCTAATATGACTTACTAAGTGTTAGCGTATGGAGACAGTGAAAGTGGGAAAGAGAGTATACATGCATGTATATGCATGGTCTAGAAAAAAATATTGGCCAATGACATTGAGTTGTACAATGTTATACATAAATTCACAAACGTTTCTCTTTTTTATACGCGTGCAGTTTGTCATTGCATATATGCACTTTATTGTAAACATTTGAAAAGGGATATTCGTCTCGTCAATATTCCTTTTTACAGAAAGATTTGTCCCATGGTTGAGGGAAGGTGTTTAGCCCCGTACGATCTGTACCGGTCACATTCCAGAACTAAATTCAATATATATTTATATGTATATACTTTTTGTTTAGTCCTATTATCACTGTTGACACTTAATTGTAAATGTATGACGGGAGAAGGCTGTGATAAATTGTAAAATCTTGTGCCCCATCCCTTGTTCAATTTAATTGGCAACAAATATATGTTTAAAGCTAAATAAACTTAAATTCCAAGTATTGGCAAGTGTGCAATTAACTTCTGATGATGAAAAATTATTGTTCAATAAGTTTGAATACGGACTTAGATATCATATTACTCATAGTGCGGTAAGAAGTTGCAGTTGCCTAACGGCCCCTCTCTGGGGGCCCCTTTGGAAACCGTTTCATGTCGCTCACACCACTTGTGTTTTCTGCCTAGTCAGGTGACGTTATCGGCGCTATTTTTAGCAGGGTTTTCCCGAACAATTCAAGTGGTCAAACTGGACATTTGGAACGGACTATGAATATTGGGATAGCGAGGTAACGTAAGTGGAAGTGGATACAATAATACATTCATTAAAAAAATGGCTCTTTACGTGATGTCCCTTTAAATAATTCCTGATTTTGATAGTGTAAGCAATCTGTCTGATCTAAGGTCAATGGTCTTAATGCTCACCTTCCTCTTATCTTAGCAAGACATAAACTGTACTAAAGTAACGTGACAGGAAGAGGTATTTATTTACCGAACATACATTAAACGACTTGATTAATAACATGATACATTTTGTGCAAATTTAAAATTTAAAGTGGAAATTGTAAATAACCAGATCGAGTATGTACCATTTACTACCAAACTTTGATGACGTGACAATGTTTCCATTTTATAAAACAGTCCAATATTACTGGGTTATGTAATTTGTTTATAAAACTAATGAAATTGATAACGATGCAGTGGATATAACATGAAAAAAGGATCATCAGACCGCTCGAGATATTATCATTTACGTATAGAAATGCCTTTTACGTGGAAGAAGTTGAATGTGTTAGGTTTCAAATTAACCAATAATCCTTTGGTTGAAATACTGCAACTTTGAATAAAGTCAATCTAATGCGAAGGCCTCATTGAATAAGATGTTTAACGAATTTGTTGAACAAGTGTTGTAAAAGGTTGGAGATATTGTCCTATAAGGAGATTATAAATTAGGTCTTTGGCATTGAAATTTGCGTGAAATATGTAATGATTACTTACCTAAATACAAATCATAAATAAAACGGTAAGAATTACTCAATACTCTACCGTGGATATTGGCCAAATTAACTGCATCAGCCGTGGCCCCAGTTTTTCGTATGTTCTTTTCCTTAGGGAAATATCTTAATTTTTGTTCTTTTGGAAAACATATTTGGGATAAAGGAAAAGTCTCAGGTAAAAATATATATATCTCCATCGATACTATCCCCATGGAAGTTTTCAAGATGTTTTTAAGTAAACGACCCTTCGAGTCTTGCCAGGTACAGCATCGGTAGCATCTGTGCAGTATCAAGCTATCAGTTTTTAGCATTTGTAGTTCAAACAAACAGCCTTCAAAACAATAAACAAGAATTATTATTCAGAAGAGACAGAGTAGGCATGGGGGGTTCCACTACTCCATGCTTCATTACAATGAGAAATAGCAAAACACACAAACAAACACCTTATTGCTGAAAAGCAATGTTTTTCCACATAAAATATAACCCCAATGGCGAACCTCCAATTTTACCCATTTAACATAAGACAATCTAGCTACGAGGTTAAGTTACACTAGGTCTCTGACAGCGTGGTCGGGATGTATCGGCAGAGGTCGTTATCGTTTACCAGCAATATTTATTATGATGCGTCAAAGCGTAACACATGACCTATATCTGTTACATTTGTTAGTTAAATCAACGAATAAAAAACATACGTAAAACATACGTGCATATATATAGTTAGTCATGTTGAAAGGAGTGAAAATAGGACTATATAGATATATGATGGACATACCCATGTCTGTTAAATGAACTGTTAATACCAAAAATCACTAATACTCCATTTCACCAACATCCTACCTTCCAGGTACCAAGACCAACACAAGGTACCTGGTACCCACTGAGTAACGTCTGTTCCGGTATAGCTGCCATGATGATTAGTGTGGTATGGCGTCGTCCTCAGCAAGTATGGTTGGTTGGTGGAAGAGTTTACATCTACACTCACTGACGAGGTCGGTGTTCGTTTGACGTATCAGTACTTATGTATGGAAGACTATGGGTGCCATGCAACTTTAAAATGTCCATAAAATACATTTTCTCAGTCCAGCTGTGCATTTGTTGTAACAAAATGTTTGCGGTTTTCGCACACTATATCCATTTCGTTGGACTCACGAATGCTATAATACTGTCGGGTATGTTATCTTCATGTCCTACTGTGTTAATCAATAACGCTTACAATTCCTCCGATAAAAAGTTTACGTCAAAAGGGAATTTTCAACCTGCATTGTATCTATAGTTTTAAGTAAACGACCCTTCGAGAAACTTGCCAGGTACAGTATCGATAGCATCTGTGCAGTATCAAGCTATCAGTTTTTAGCATTTGTAGTTCAAACAAACAGCCTTCAAAACAATAAACAAGAATTATTATTCAGAAGAGACAGAGTAGGCATGGGGGGTTCCACTAATCCATGCTTCATTACAATGAGAAATACCAAAACACACAAACAAACACCTTATTGCTGAAAAGCAATGTTTTTCCACATAAAATATAACCCCAATGGCGAACCTCCAATTTTACCCATTTAACATAAGACAATCTAGCTACGAGGTTAAGTTACACTAGGTCTCTGACAGCGTGGTCGGGATGTATCGGCAGAGGTCGTTATCGTTTACCAGCAATATTTATTATGATGCGTCAAAGCGTAACACATGACCTATATCTGTTACATTTGTTAGTTAAATCAACGAATAAAAAACATACGTAAAACATACGTGCATATATATAGTTAGTCATGTTGAAAGGAGTGAAAATAGGACTATATAGATATATGATGGACATACCCATGTCTGTTAAATGAACTGTTAATACCAAAAATCACTAATACTCCATTTCACCAACATCCTACCTTCCAGGTACCAAGACCAACACAAGGTACCTGGTACCCACTGAGTAACGTCTGTTCCGGTATAGCTGCCATGATGATTAGTGTGGTATGGCGTCGTCCTCAGCAAGTATGGTTGGTTGGTGGAAGAGTTTACATCTACACTCACTGACGAGGTCGGTGTTCGTTTGACGTATCAGTACTTATGTATGGAAGACTATGGGTGCCATGCAACTTTAAAATGTCCATAAAATACATTTTCTCAGTCCAGCTGTGCATTTGTTGTAACAAAATGTTTGCGGTTTTCGCACACTATATCCATTTCGTTGGACTCACGAATGCTATAATACTGTCGGGTATGTTATCTTCATGTCCTACTGTGTTAATCAATAACGCTTACAATTCCTCCGATAAAAAGTTTACGTCAAAAGGGAATTTTCAACCTGCATTGTATCTATAGTTTTAAGTAAACGACCCTTCGAGAAACTTGCCAGGTACAGTATCGATAGCATCTGTGCAGTATCAAGCTATCAGTTTTTAGCATTTGTAGTTCAAACAAACAGCCTTCAAAACAATAAACAAGAATTATTATTCAGAAGAGACAGAGTAGGCATGGGGGGTTCCACTAATCCATGCTTCATTACAATGAGAAATACCAAAACACACAAACAAACACCTTATTGCTGAAAAGCAATGTTTTTCCACATAAAATATAACCCCAATGGCGAACCTCCAATTTTACCCATTTAACATAAGACAATCTAGCTACGAGGTTAAGTTACACTAGGTCTCTGACAGCGTGGTCGGGATGTATCGGCAGAGGTCGTTATCGTTTACCAGCAATATTTATTATGATGCGTCAAAGCGTAACACATGACCTATATCTGTTACATTTGTTAGTTAAATCAACGAATAAAAAACATACGTAAAACATACGTGCATATATATAGTTAGTCATGTTGAAAGGAGTGAAAATAGGACTATATAGATATATGATGGACATACCCATGTCTGTTAAATGAACTGTTAATACCAAAAATCACTAATACTCCATTTCACCAACATCCTACCTTCCAGGTACCAAGACCAACACAAGGTACCTGGTACCCACTGAGTAACGTCTGTTCCGGTATAGCTGCCATGATGATTAGTGTGGTATGGCGTCGTCCTCAGCAAGTATGGTTGGTTGGTGGAAGAGTTTACATCTACACTCACTGACGAGGTCGGTGTTCGTTTGACGTATCAGTACTTATGTATGGAAGACTATGGGTGCCATGCAACTTTAAAATGTCCATAAAATACATTTTCTCAGTCCAGCTGTGCATTTGTTGTAACAAAATGTTTGCGGTTTTCGCACACTATATCCATTTCGTTGGACTCACGAATGCTATAATACTGTCGGGTATGTTATCTTCATGTCCTACTGTGTTAATCAATAACGCTTACAATTCCTCCGATAAAAAGTTTACGTCAAAAGGGAATTTTCAACCTGCATTGTATCTATAGTTTTAAGTAAACGACCCTTCGAGAAACTTGCCAGGTACAGTATCGATAGCATCTGTGCAGTATCAAGCTATCAGTTTTTAGCATTTGTAGTTCAAACAAACAGCCTTCAAAACAAAACAAGAATTATTATTTAGAAGAGGCAGGGTAGGGGTGAGGGGTTCCAATATTCTACGTTTCGTTACATTGACACATCATGAAGGGTTCAAAAAGTAAACGTACACCAGCAAAGTGAGAATAATGCTCCAGTCAAAACTTGATATGTCACACAAAACTGGTTGATGTTCAACGAACGTTCTACAATGCTGTGTTTTTGAATTAACAGTTATATGGAATAATTGAACAGTGCTATTCATTTTTGGCATGCGCGCATACATTACAAACATCTTATCATTTGCAGTTTAAACATACAGCCTTCAAAACAATAAACAAGAATAATTATTTAGAAGAGACAGGGTAGGGATGTGGGGTTCCAATATTCCACGCTTCATTACAATGAGAAATAATACCATAACACACAAACACCTTACTGCAGGAAAAAGCTATCAGTTTTTACTTTCCGATCATTGCGCTATAAAGCAGTAAACAAATACTAACCCGTCAGGAAGGGCTCAAGAAGTAAACGTACACCAGCACAGTAAGCATAATGCCCCAGTCAAAACGAACGAACAGCTGTATGGCACAATGGAACAGTGTGATTCATATATCTATCACCGAATTGTAAAGGTGTAGTCACATGTGTGTGTGTTATGGTCACATTTAAAGCGAATTTCCATGATCTATTATATGCTTCATGCACGCATTCATTTCACACCACTTAGCATATGCAGTTTAAACAAACAGCCTTCAAAACAAAACAAGACTTATTTTTTAGAAGAGGCGGGATTGATGATGGTGGGTGGTGGTGGTGGTGGTGGTGGTGGTGGTGGTGGGGGGCGGTTCTACTATTCCATGCTTCATTACAATGAGAAATACCAAAACACACAAACAAACACCTTATTGCAGAAAAGCAATGTTTTTCCACATAAAATATAACCCCAATGGCGAACCTCCAATTTTACCCATTTAACATAAGACAATCTAGCTACGAGGTTAAGTTACACTAGGTCTCTTACAGCGGGGTCGGGTAGCACTGGCAGAGGTCGTTATCATTTACCAGCAATATTTATTATGATGCGTCAAAGCGTAACACATGACCTACATCTGTTACATTTGTTAGTTAAATCAACGAATTAAAAATATCAACATAGCTAGACAGGTAAAACATACGTGCATATATATAGTTAGTCATGTTGAAAGGAGTTAAAATCAGACTAAGTAGATATATGATGGGCATACCCATGTCTGTTAAATGAACTGTAAATACCAAAAATCACTAATTCTCAATTTCACCAACATCCTACCTTCCAGGTACCAAGACCAACACAAGGTACCTGGTACCCACTGAGTAACGTCTGTTCCGGTATAGCTGCCATGATGATTAGTGTGGTATGGCGTCGTCCTCAGCAAGTATGGTTGGTTGGTGGAAGAGTTTACATCTACACTCACTGACGAGGTCGGTGTTCGTTTGACGTATCTATCGATTGGAGTAGTACTTATGTATGGAAGACTATGGGTGCCATACCACTTAAAAATGTCCATAAAAATAAATTCACTCAGTCCAGCTGTGCATTTGTTGCAACAAAATGTTTGCGGTTTTCGCACACTATATACATTTCATTGGACTCACGAATGCTATAAAACTGTCGGGTATGTTATCTTCATGTCCTACTGTGTTAATCAATAACGCTTAATAATTCTTCCGATAAAAAGTTTACGTAAAAAGGGAATTTTCAACCTGCATTGTATCTATAGTTCAATTTTTATCTTTTTTTTAATCACTGAAAATAACTTAAGATTTAGTTTTTATTTAAAACCAAGATAAAAATATTACACGAGAATACCGAAGTATTGACAAAGTTCGTTAATGGCTTTAAATCGATGAAACTAAGGCACAATATGAACTAGGGAATATGTACACATCACCCTTGAAAAACGTACATGGAAGGGTAAAGACATTTTCGCTTGGAAATAGTCGTTTGTGCTTTTTAACGCCTCAACATACTGGACATCATTGGCAACTGAATGCAGATGAATCGTGTCTTCAACTATATCGCACAAATACATTGAGACATGAACATGTTTCCAAAAATCAAAATCTCCTTAACGCATGGGTAAAACCTTAATTGTGTTATCATATAATTATCCTATCTCACGGATGATGATAGTGATACTTTATAGGTCGCTTATCGCCAGCTGGCGGTACTGTTTTCTTAATTGCTTCTCTTGCGTGTAGTTTGTAGTTAAATTATATCTGGTTCAGTTTAAATATGATTACGGAGGAATTTGTTTTAACTATGATGTCTTTCTTTTAAAGAAAACATACCACTGGTCATACTCAATGTGTACAAGTACACTGTGTTATATTACAGTGATATTTATGTTCTAAATCATGGTCATTCGAATGAAGTAATTGATGTATTGTATTCACGTTAAGCTACTACAATTTACTATGCAATGGAATGTCAACAAAAGAAATATAGCAATTTTTTTCTGATCAATACTATCAAAAGCAAACAAAAGATTAAATGATTATTCAACATTTTGTTAAACGATCAATCAATGAAATCAATTAATTGATGCATTTTTAAAAAGTAATTGTTAGAATAAAAACTTAAAAGATTCTGTTTCTGATAACGATCATTGCCTTAACAATGGCTGAACAAATTAGATGTAACATAACCATATAAAAAACTTCTGTTTTCTTATTGAAAAAGAATATTATGCATAACTATATCTGTATAAATGTTGCAATAATATGCCTATGAGCCGAAAGGCTTAAAGCTAATAAACAATACAATACAATTCAATCATCGGGTGCTGCATGCAACGTAGCGTGAATGTCTTGCTTTTTTAACTGAATGGTTTTAACCTAAAACATTGAAAGCATTAACCACGTCTGTACTATACGGAGGTCAATGACCCGACAGCTGTGCCACGTGATCATGAGCGTGTACAACAATGTACAGAGATGTAGTATATATTTTCGCTGTCATTGTAACGGCATATGTGTGTGGAGTCGAGCGTCAAATACGATGGCCGAAAGCGGCCAACAATAAAAAAGAAAATATACAATGGCGTCAGTAAATACGAGCATAACATTAAACAAATCATATACTAGTAGACCTGGCGACCAATTAGGAGCATATTAACCTATAAAGGAGAAGTTAAAAATAATTATTTACAAGTTCCAGTGTCAAAAAACAAGGACAAAAATCGAACTATCGCTGATATGGAAATAAAACATCAGGAAGAAGACATTAAAAACAAAGGAGAACATCATCACCTCCTACCGACACAGCGGGTAATACCACGTGATGGGGATGGTAAGCGCCCCCTGTTGTTTATTGGAGCTTGCCGTCATGTCCTTTAGGAAAGTATGTAGGTTTCAAACCAATTTAGATATATTTGGTCAGTCTGTAATCATTATTTACTCATAAGATGTAAACCTGGTTTGTAAGCAAATACAATTATTGTCATCCCCTACTTGGCAAAGACAATTCATTTTCATACCAATTCCAAAATCAGATCAGATCCACACTTAAGCTTTTTCCTCTTCAGACCGATACACATATTTTATCAGACCAGTGTAGTTGTTTGACAGTCAGATATTTCGATCAGGAGTTATTTCCCATTGTACAGGGCCAATATGTATGTATTTCAATTACGTTTCTCCATTATCATCATCATCGTCGTCGTAGTCACCGTCGCCGTATCATCAATGTAGAAATAATCAGTAACTAACAAGTTCATTCGCTTTAAAAATCGATGTTGGGATACTGATCTTAAACTATTGATAGCGTATTAGTTCGTCTGGTTTGTAAAAGAATTTTGAAAAGTTGAGATTGTAATATCAAAACGTGTTTCATTTAGTTTGATGAAATAAACTTATTCATTTTTTGTTATTGTAGAATAAGCGGTCGTGTGATGACATTATTACTCTCCAAATCAATTTCCGTTATAAGGAATGGTTACCTGTGTTCATAACTACATTTTGTATAATCATGATGACTACCTGGTTGGGACTGGCCAAAATAGCTTACACATCATTCATGTGACATTATGTTCCGTTTACATAGCCCTTACGCAATTAATATTTAAGTAAGGATGTCAGAAAATGAAATACAATACATGGAGGTAGTGTCCAATACTAGACCTCATTGATTGATATTTTGTTTGTTTTCCATATTTGTATTAGAGTGAATGACACGACCGAACATGACGTGTTTAGGGACCATACCCAGGTGGTTCATCTTTGGGGAGAGTAAGATGACAATATTTTTTTTTTATATATATGGTTATTGCCAATAGTATTAAAAAAACGTAATATCTCCCTATATATATGAGCATAAGGATACCATATGGTAACCCTATACTAGATACACAAGTCAAACAAATACAAATATCCATAATACACAAATCCGTGCTTCAACGTCATACTTACATTTGTTTCAAATAATGAGAAAGGGGATATTTACTTAAGGAAGAAATGTTTGTTTAAATTTATATATATGGTTTTAAGTTACTACTATGCAGTTTAAGTCAAATTGAAGGTTTAATGATGAAAACATATTACGATATTTACACGTAAAGGAAGGATCTTATATTAACTGAGATTTGTTTTAAGTACATGGAAATGCGATATTACGTTGTATATATAACATTAAATCAATATTAAGGTGCGGACTGCTAATGACGTAGTGTAGAGTGTACATTTAAACAAAAGAAAATGATTTCAAAAACAGAATAAAAATCAAACATGATTATACTCGGGTAAAATATCAAGCATGTTAAATTCAACTCTAATAAGAAAGAGAAAAAAACATACAGCAAAAACGGAAAAATATCCAGCAACCTATTTTATGAACAGACAATTGTTTGTCAAAGCCTAGTTAGCTTAACATGTTGCGACGAAAGAAAAACAAAATATAGAATAATATCCGATTATTAGAAAATGGTATGTACCTTTCCTGTCTGGATATTCTCTTTCTATTTTACCGTTTATTGATAGGAGTGAATTTTAATATCATTTAACTTGCATGCTCGAGTATAGCTTTCAACGCTGCAGCGTTTTTAATTTCAATGGCATTTAACACACATGTGTGTGCGAGATTGATGTTTTCGTTAAGCCAATCAGGCAGTGAATAACTAATGCCATGTGTATGTGTATCAGCTGTTTGTGTGATTTAACTGCGTCTTTTGTGGAATAATACAACAGAAAACTATTGATGTATACAATACACCCGTCTGTGCCTCGTTACTATTAAAGTCACACAGATGGCGCTGTCAACACTGTGTATAAATTCAGTGAACAACTCGTTATCTACCTTTTCTTGCATTAGCTTGTGCTCAACACACACGCATTGAGCTACAAGCAGATTATAAAGTTTGAAGGAATTTGGCTGTATCGTTCTGTTTTAGCGTTAACTGACAGATATTTATGTTCGTAAGAGCATATATCATAATATGTCAGTGATATATTTCAGAAACAAAATGAATTGATTATTGATTCAATTATTTTGGAAATATTTGTCATGCAATTAAGAAAGAAATATCAAATTTTCTATTCAAAATCTTACATCAAATTTGGTATCTAAATTAAAATGAAGGTCAACTCGAATTTAAAAGTTAGTCATTTAATTGAACGGCGATTGGGCATTTGGTCATTGAGGTAGGTATACATGATATATATAACGTTTGATATCCTCAATAATTATTTCCTGTATTGGCAAAAATGTCAGTGTTACTTGAAATAACGACAGTATATCGCCAATTCAGATATGTAAGCTTTTAGTGAAAAAAACATCCTAAGTGCTTGAAGAAATAACAAAAACCATTCATATGGTTCGTGGATAAAAATAATGCTATATTTCAAAAATATGATTTTATATCGACGAAATTTAATTTTTGCTACATATTTCATACTTATTTTACACAAAATTTTCTTCAATAATTAATTCAAATGTTGCACATACAAAATGATTATTAGAGGATTTGAAAAGCAAGAGTGGATTGTATGTAAATTCCTTCAATATATATGAAAATCAAAGTAAGTATGCTTCAATTTATGTAACCACAAGGAGAAGCCAGGTGTTTCAAACCCATAACATGGTATAATCTCTTTCCAGTATCTTTAGAGTGCTATTGGGTTTTTTCATTTTTATGTAAAGGCGATTGATTTCAATATATTGTTAATTTTCAAAATTCAATATTTCTGAAATCCTTTCCCAGCATCCCAATTCACGGCTGAAACATCTGGGTTTTCATTGCTAAATATTAAAGTATAACACAGAATGTTTCTTTTGAAGGTTCTGAAACTAATAATGTGGATAATTTATCATCAGTGTTGCTTGCAACGTCTTTTGATCCCTTTATAGAAAAAATATCAAGCAAGTATCATCCCAATTAATTGGTTATTTTATATAAATATATCAAATCGGATGACAGGTTAGCATTATGCAGGTAAAAACATCGAATACCTGCTAAGTCAGACGACAGTGAATTGTCGTGTTAGTTCCGATTGCTTCATGGATATTCTATAGGGAGCATATATATGGGTAATGCAGTTGCACCAATTTTAAAATGTATTAAGATATAACATATTTATTACCAAATTTATTGGACCGTTTGGCTTGCAGAATCAGAGACAATATGTCCAAGCACGTGAGATTTATTGCAACCGACCGATATGAATATTCTACGTTAAGGTCACCGCTATGAGTGATGTTGCGGTCTGATTATAACAAGAAGAAAAAGCATGTATTTGTACATGTATGTATACTATATAGGTGGAATTAGGAGTATGCAATAACTCTACTATATCAGGCAAAACAGAAATATCCCGGATAGCAGTGGAGCCAAGCTATTAAATCTGCTTAAAATAGCAGCGTTTGACATAAAAACTAGAACACCTCAACCTGTGCATGCAATTCTCTCATGCACAGTGTTGTTTAAACGATATTTAAGCAGAATTTTTGAAAGTATTAGTAACCTACTATTTCCTGCAAAAGTGACAATAATGACAATAATGTCAAACACAAACCTTCGTTTGGACTCGGAATTATATTAAACGTATAATGTTAAAGTGTTTACCCTGTCTTACTATACCTATAAATCACTTATTGTTTATCAAGCATTCATGCAATTGAAGTAAGTATCGTAAAAGTCAAGATGCCTATGCAGGTAATTTAAATGTGGTAATTGTAATAATTATGGGTAAACTTTATGTTATGGTAATTTAAATGTGGTAATTATCATTAGCATAGGTACACATTTATGTTATGGTAGTTTAAATGTGATAATTATAATTATTATGGGTAAAATTTATGTTTATACGGACAATTTATAAAACAATCTGATTAAAATCAGATATTTAATTCCATTCCGATACTCTCCCGTCAAAAACGTAGAGAACTGGAGAGGAAAACAATATCTGGTTTTAATCAGATTGTTTTTAATGTTTTAAATAAGGTATTGACTTGATTTATGCATTGTAAGGAGCAGACTCATTATTCCTTATTTAGTAATGGATATCTATATAATGTTGACGAATTAATATATATAATATGAATTGAAATTGCTATCAATTGTAAGACGCAAATATATATTTTAAATAACCAAACCTTTTTGGGGGAAATTTGTGATATAGAAAGTTCAACATTTGAATCAGATAAACTGCTGACCAATCACATTGTCTTTATCAGTACAATCCAAGAGCAATAGATCGCTGATAGTATGCGTATACGGTCAAACGTTATCATTGCCCTTTGAGACAGAAGTTCTATGTTTAGACAACTCGGCCAGTCACATTATTTTACACGCGACCTCGCCGCTAGGTGGCGTTGGTGAGCTCAGGTATATAAGCTCTGCTGACGCACAGCTCTGTCTCTATCAGATTAAAAACGGTTGAGTATGGAGCTAATAAAATGTGTTCCCTTTATTTTCAACCTATCAATGCTTTGTATGGCTGTTGATTTATATGACTTATATACCATTTAGATAATCAATCTGCATGGCATATCAGTTCAACTCCGAATCTATGTGTCTTGTTATATTGATAAGGTGTTTATAAACACCATGCATGCTATACAATATGTTCCTTGCAATGCAAGATCGATCACATGTAAATAAACACAGAGTTATATAAACGATTTCGCAGTTTATACTTAAATTATTCATGGGTAATGCCGTTTAATGCAGATTGACTATAACACTAGACTTGACCTTTCAAAACTTTACAGATGAGTAAACTTTATATGCTTAGGGTGTTGACAGCTGGCACCACCAACTGCAATATATCCGATAATGTGTTAGTGTAAGCAGTATGATGCAATGTTGTCCCCGATTATTTTCAATGTCCCTACTTAACCACGACACAATGGCGATGGTGTGGTTTGTTTGTTACATATTTTACATAAAGAATGCGGTCAAAAATATTTGGTGACAGACTTGCATGTGGAGAGTTCATTTTGGGCTTATGCAAGCCGTTACTTTATAGTATAGCGTATCTGTGTCAAGGTTACATGGTTGTTTTTGTTTTTGTGTTCTGTCATACCTGAATATGTTTATGTTAGCTGATTCTTACTGGTCTTATAACTTGTAAACAGACATATTAATCTGCATGAACAACATTGAGTTGCAAGCATAGTGCCAAAGTCAGACAATTAAAACAATGAAAGTTATTATGGAGGGATGAATGTTAATTTGGGATTCAATCCATGACCAGCTGTATATCTTTTTTTATAATTACCTGTTTATTTTGCCCAAAACATTTTCAATAAAACAGTATTGATCAAGAGACATGGTCATAGGGTGATAAACTATTTACTAATAAACTTATAAATGTATGTATGCAATCGCCCTATTTGAAATCTGCCGTCTTATAAAAAAAAAGACATGGCTGTGAATTAATTCCCATTTCTGCTGATAACATAGACTTGTATAGACTTAAGAAAGCATAACTATTCTTTTCAGTAACAATCAAAAATAGAAATTTTATTTTGAATATAATAGCCAGAGTGCAGTTGGCTATGTCTATGTCCGTGTTTCGTTCAGTCATTTGGTCTATGCATAATATACAAATATTTCAAATGTCAAAAGTCTTACTGCTAAGACTGAATAATAATTATTCAAAAACAAAATATTTCGATTCGATGGTGATATTTTATAGTATCTATATCAGTACCAATAATAAAAACACATTTCTGAACTAATACCTGTAGACTGGTAAAGACTTCTGTTAGAATTATAAATAAAATTATTAAAGCTGTAAAGGTAGTTTTTCATTTCAAGAATATTGCGGTTAATGGAAGTATTTATTCATTATTCATAACACGACACGAATTCGTGGACAAATAGATCACTAACGATAGCGCGGTGCATTTGACCTTATAGCCATGATCAGGATAGCGATAACTTGTCCCATCTCAGGGTTCGTCTCAAAATATAATAAAAACAGAATTCATTTATTTACGTTATTGAAAATTATACAGAAAAGAAATTTGTTAACAAATAATAGTATAATTTAAATTACTTTTAGTTTGATATAGGAATGATATAGTAAAATGTTAAAAGGGCTTCCTGTTGACCCTTGTCATTTAGTAAATTCAGAAGCCATAAAGATTCTTTTTCTTAATCTTGAAGAGTCAAAACGTTTGTGAAATAAAACTGTCCTTTAAAATCCAAGAGTCAAAGATCATTTTGATGAGTCAAAAGCATACTCTCAATAGTCTTCTGAAACATCTATAAACAGTCGAATTCATTACAGAAATAACGGTCAATAATAACGAAACATTCTATAACGTGATGAAAAATTGTTCTAAAACAGTAATCCTAAAATTATAATTAATAAAGTGTATAAAATAACATAAAAGTCAAATTATAAATTTGAAAACGTTGGTGGAGAGTATACTAGAAATAATCTGTGTTGGCGAGTATGTCTCCGCTATGTCCTGATAAGGTCTATAATACAGGTATATAACGCTATCAACAAAGCGTATCATAGATCATACTGTATATGAAATACGATGTAGACAATTTCAATTTCCGAAATTTGATACTTCATAAATATTCATATTTCATTTGTTACTTTCCTCTAAAAAAATGCATTTTACGCAAACATTATTTTATTGATGTATTTACCATACGTGGGTCGAGTTACACGTTTCTGTGGTAAATGAAATATGCAAAAAAGTTAAATATATGTATATTTGTATCATATGGGTCAAAGAGGTAATATAGACGGTAAAATCCCATATAACACTGGATCCTAATGGAGGTATGTCCGTAGGATACGAATTACTTAAAATATTATATGGGGCAAAGAAGTAATTCCAACAGTGTGGACAAGTTTAGGTTGTATCATAGGTATACATACATGTACCTATTAAATGTTATGCGGGTAAGCCTACCAATTAAATATTATGTGGGTAAACATACCTATAAAATATTGTATGGGTAAGCATGCCTATTAAATATTGATATGGGTAAGCATGCCTATTAAATATTGAATGGGTAAGCGTACCTATCAAATAGTGTATGGGAGAACATACCTATTAAATATTGTATGGGTAAGCATACCTATTAAATATTGTATGGGTAAGCATACCCATAAAATATTGTATGGATAAGCTTGCCTATTAAATATTGAATGGGTAAACATACCTATTAAATATTTTCCACGTGTAAAGCTTCTGTTCAAATGAATAATGGATGTTTACTGGTAATAAAGAATGGCTTAAATATATTAATTGCATTCCAATTTTCATTTCAGTATACAACTGAGAGAAGAGGAGGTGAACTCAGAGATGATCAATATGGATTTTAGCAGAGTGAATTGTTCGCTTGTCAAGGAAACTTTATACATAGTTCACCAGAACATCCTGCCGCTTATCATGTATCCAATGGATATTAAAGACAGACAGAGATGCAGGTGAATATAAAAGTATTTAAGGTCACAGTACACACCATGACAGGTCCCTATATTTCAATTATATTCAGTTAATTCTAATAATGTCGATTTAAATAATTTTAAGGTAGGTAACTCTAACAAAAAGTATGGTTACAATGTGTAGGGTAAGATTTATCCTTATGGAAGACAACTCTAAGAACTACCCACGGGTACTACATAAGTAAGTATCCTCAGGGAAATGACTCTAATATAAATCACATGCATCATGGTTATAACCTTAATGGTGACGACTACTCAAATTATATCCAGCCCTATTTAATGGCAAAATTATTGTTGATAATCCTTATATAGACACCATTTTACTTTCACTTTGTTTTAAATATTCAAACCAGTGACAGTAGTCACTAAAGGCGGAATATCCTTAATGATTTGTAAATAATACTAAACGAAAAGTAAAGAGTATGATTTATTTAAACGGTTGCTGCAAAGGTAGCAGAATACAGTAGAAATGGCCCGACTCTGATAAACAAGGCACATGTCGAGGAAATATAAACACAGCGGATTTACCCTACACAACACATGTATACATGTATATATATTTGTAAACTGCATTACATTTACAATAAATATAAAGCACTGAGAAGTGTATTAACCTCTTTTTTCTATGTATGTCACTTGTGTGAAAACCATGGTTACCACATCAAAAATTACCAAAAAATGCCAAAAAATGCTATTTTTAACCCAAAACTTGACCCCCGCAAGTAGTAATTTTTTTCCTAAGCTCTGTCTGAAATTAAAGATTACCTACCTGGTTGCAGAATTATCTGGGTCGCAGTAAAATTGTAGAACTTGATTTTTTGCAATTTTGCGTCGTGTGCTGTTGTCAAAATTTTACCTCCTGTAAAGCTAGCTTTTCATGTGTACGCACCCTTTCGTATTATGGCCAAAATTTTATTCTCGAACCAAAGAAATCTTCTTTCTTTTTTACAAATGTGAAGCTCACATAGCCCACTTCATCATGCTTATACCAATTTTAGTACAGTTTTATTTTTATATTTTTTTTACATATCATTATACAGGGGTTAGCCATTTAACAAAAATATCACCCATGGCCACAACCCTCTACTGTACTCTGCTACCAAAGAGAGACCCATAGACAGTATGTAGAAAAGAGACCTAAAGACAGTATATATAAGAGAGACCCATAGACAGTATGAAGAAGAGTGACCCATAGACAGTATGTAGAAGAGAGACACATAGACAGTATGTAGAAGAGAGACCCATAGACAGTATGTAGAAGAGAGACCCATAGACAGTATGTAGAAGAGAGACCCATAGACAGTATGAAGAACAGAGACCCAAAGACAGTATGTAGAAGAGAGACCCATAGACAGTATGTAGAAGAGAGACCCATAGACAGTATGTAGAAGAGAGACATATAGAAAGTATGTAGAAGAGAGACCCAATGACAATATGTAGAAGAGAGACCCAAAGACAGTATGTAAATTAGAAACCCAAGGACAATACGTAGAAAAGAGACCCGAAGACAATATATAGGAAAATGACCCAAAGACAGTATGAAGAAAGTGGTGTAATGACAATATGTAGAAAAGAGACCTAATGATAGTATGAAGAAAAGGGACCCAAAGACAGTATGTAGAAATGGGCGCAATGACAATATGTAGAAAAGAGACCTAAAGACAGTATGAAGAAAAGAGACAAACAGACAATATGTAGGAAAATGACCCACAGACAGTAGGTAGAAAATGACCCACGAACAGTGTATAGAAAAGAGACAAAAAGAAAGTATGTAGAAAGGAGACCCAAAGACAGTATGAAGAAAAGAGACCTAAGGATAGTACATAGAAAAGAGACAAAAAAAAACAGTATGTAGAAAAGAGACCCAAAGATAGTATCAAGAAAGGAGACCCAAAGACAGAATGAAGAAAAAAGCCCTAAGGATAGTACATAGAAAAGAGACAAAAAAAAACAGTATGCAGAAAAGAGACCCAAAGAAAGTATCAAGAAAGGAGACCCAAAGACAGAATGAAGAAAAGAGACCTAAGGATAGTACATAGAAAAGAGACAACAAAAAAAAACAGTATGTAGAAAAGAAACCCAATAACAGTATGTAGAAGAGACCCAAACACTCTTATGTAAAAGAATGACCGAAACACAGTACGTAAAAGAGTGACCGAAACACAGTTCGTAAAAGAGTGACCGAAACACATTACGTAAAAGAGTGACCCAAAGACAGTACGTAAAAGAGTGACCCAAAAACAGTATGTAAAAGATTGACCCTAACACAGTATGTAAAAACGGTGGAAGATACAAATGAAAAACTTCGTTTCTCATTAATTTTAAAATTGAAAGTTTAAACTAAAAACGTAACAAAACGTTTAACAAGCAGAACAAATCACTGAAAATATAGCCTTGTAAATGCAATTTCTTAATACTCTTTAAATGTATATATGTCAGATTTCTCCAATAGCGTTCACAGATGAAAATTATTACTATGATTAAGATATCTCAGTAAAATATCTTAAAACCAACCACTTATTATACACTGTATAATTAAATTGAGTTATATAAATATAAGCAATCAACGTAAAAACGTTCATTTGCTATGTTTTCAAGTCTGTACGGTAAGTGCTCTACAGAAACTGCGTTATTTAATCCATTTTCGCATCTAGTACTTTACAAATTAAATTGAGCTTATAGTTTTATGATAAAACAAATAATGGGCTAACACCCTTTTTATGTGCAGAAGAAATATTTTCTTTATTCTATACTTTTTGTTTTAACAATCATCCGTTTTCATGTTTTGATGTAAAACACTAATATGCACGATATACTCTCATGTGCGTTTTGACTTTCATTAATGGTGCACCAACAAAACGACAAAACGTAATCTGGTGTAAATATGTGCGCAGAAACCCCTATTTAAACTCTTTGTGAAAAATTGCTCTCGAAATTAAAACATCAAACTGTTTTTTTTAAATCCCTTTGTAAACATAATCTTGAAGTGAATCAAAATGTCACCGTGTAAACAAATACCTCGCTGAAGAGCTGATGCACTTAAGTGTAGGTGCAGTAGTCATTGTAAGTGTGACTTGCAAAATTGCAGAAAAAAACATTGGGGAATACCTCTGCTGTCTAGGATAGGAGAATCTGTTTCACTTAACAGGATAAATGCATGAGGTGTGTTGAAACGTTTAGGGTCCGTCATAGATTCTCAACTCGATCGAGTTATTATTGATGAAGGATCCGTCATAGATTCTCAACTCGATCAAGTTAGTTTTGATGAAGGATCCGTCATAGATTCTCAACTCGATCGAGTTAGTATTGATCAAGTGTGTTTACACTAAATCAATGTCTGCACAGGTTTGAGTGAAAGTGAATATAGATGAGAAGAAATAGGTCGACTGTCAAATAAATTATGATATATTCAGAAATGCTCTTATTTCTTTACATTTGGCTCACATTTTCTGTAAACCTGCTACACAAATCCTGTTTTATTCATTCAAACATATTTTATTGATTGATAGATATTCAAAGTGATTAGGAACAAGGTCTGACAACTTACAAGGCCCTCTCCCAACAAATCTTAAATAAAAATATGCTGTTGTAATTGCATATCCCCATTAGTAATTATTTACTATAATTAGCCTTCGGTTACAAGCTAACCGAGGGGATATGCAATTACATTTTTTTATAAATAATTTCTGTTTGTATATTTTTGTTTTATTGTATTATTGGTTCATGGTGACTGATTATCTATGGTATATGTTGTGTAAAGTGTGGATCGCCCTAAGAAATTTGACAAATTTCTTTGTCTGCAATGCTGTAATTATTTTATTGCCCATTTATAAAGATATATATATATTGTATGTGTATATATTCAAAAAACATTCTTTACAGAGCTATGATCCTGTCTTTCAATAGGACTGCAGAAATTAATCATTGTATACGTTATTTGATGATATCATATTATATGGTAGTTTTATGGAAAGTTTTTACATATACGTCGGAAAGTTTTTGTGATTTCATCATTCGAGTGCATTCCTAAGTTTGCCTCGTTCACAAAAAATAGCCTACAACACATGTGGTGTTATTAAGGTAGAAATGTGGGTTTGGACTTTTTGAGCAATCTGACTGGCTAATACTGGTAACAGATGTGTATAAAGCATATGCATATATATTGCAGGTATTTTTCAAGACGACTGCCATTACTTGTTATAAATTGTGTTGATTTGATTTAGGAGTAAACACGTAGCCTCAAGTAGGTAGGTATCTTTGTTAATTCACATTTTACATACATCTCTTCGCTGGGTAAATGATTAACATGAAACAAAATACCAAGTTGTTTCAAGGAGGCTATTATTTGTTAACATGTTAAACGTGTATCAAATAATCCTGCACGTTGAGACATTTTTCGTCATTTATTAGGTAGATATCTTGTTACGTACAATCAGTCAATTTTTCGTATTTCAATGAACAGAACTCGATCAATAAGCTAATACTTCAGAAAATAAGACTTACGTCACCAGATGTCGTCACATGTGTCTTGCTAACAAACAAACACGAGGGAAACAAGCGCTATGTAGAAGGGCGGATAGGACAGGTGTATATTATCGCCTAATATACTGAGTGGGGTATTTCATATTGTACATACAGTGGAATTCCATTGTGTACCAATTATGAATGACAATGCTCGCACGAGTGTTTTCTCTCTCGTATCGGCGCACACAGTGTGCTGTTCCATTTACTCCCCTTATCTGTTACGTTACAAGTATTAGTGCGGGTCAACGAAATAATACGTTGATAATATATATTTCTTTTTCCTTAATTACCATTCAAATAATGTTTTCCTGTTTTAGCATAGTATGTGTCAGGCCAAATGAGAAATTATTTAAAACAAATATATTTTATCACATAGTTGAAAAAGTAGAGCTATATTTCCGTTAACTTGTTTTTTTTTTCTAGTACGAAATAGCTAAAGAAAATCGACTTTGTTTCAAATGTCATTTTTGTTTTAATTTTAATTATATAATTTCGAAGTTCAATTTAAGTTTTATAATGCAGACACATAAAAATGATTTTGAAACCGTCCTTTTAAAGAATTTGGGTCGAAATAGATAAAAGTTTGAAACCGGTTGAAACCGGATGAAGGTGAGGCTATAAAAGGCCGATAGGCCTGGTCACTTTTCACAAGACCCAGCAGACACCGAGCAGAAAACTACTCTCCGGCGACTTTTGCACGAATTCACTCCACGAACGAAGTCATCTGTCGGCTAATTTTTCACCAGTCAAACACAACTTCGTAGCTTCAGGTATTCGATCATTCACGAAAACTAACTGCCAGTTTATTGTAGATGTCTTTCTGATTCGGAGTTAGGATTTTCTCTTTTATATTTTGCTTTATCAAAAAACCGATAATATTAAGAATCGGTTTTTACTGTTTGTCGTTTATCATTGTGAATTACATTCAAGCATTACTGTTGGTAGCCGGTTATTTGTAAGAAAATAATTCTTTCTGGCAAGTTTTTGTGGTTGTTATGCTAGATATTCACTAAACCAAACCTTTGTAGACCAAAGTTAACTTTATATCCTGTGGATTATATATTATTTACAGTGTTTAATGTTAAGATATTTATTCCATTGCCCGTGAGAAATACATTTGCCTCATTTTAAAACATTGTTTCGTTTCTATTATTTAACATTTGTTCTAGTAGACAACGTATCATTTATGCCAAACATTATTTACTTGGTGTAATCAGCAACAATTAAACAACATTAGTGAATAATGTACATGTAATATACAGCTTAAGATTTGAGATTCAATCAATGTTGACATGGCGATACCATCTGCTACAGATGTCAGGGTTAGGTCACTCTTACCTTTAGACAGTCACAATTTTGATCCTTCAATGAGTTAAGATGTTGTAATCGGTTATACTAAAAATGATGGTATAGATTGTCGCCCAGTCCATTTCAAAATTAAATTAAAATGTAAAAAAAACCCTATCCTGAATAAATGTTTAACATTTTCAAGTAAAACAAAAACATAACAGTGTGTTCCTGATTTGTATTCGGTTAAACATAACTTTTAATGAAGCTTTTTATGTACAATATAAATCATTTTTGAATTTTATTTACAGAAACTTTCCTGTTCCGTTATCTACATCCAACACCTTAGGACAAGATGGAGACTTTAAATGTCGATGATCACGTTGCCTACCACGTGAACGACAAGGTTTTCAATGGCAAAATGGAGAAACACGAAATTAAAGAATACTACACCAAATGGGCGCTCCAATACGAAAAAGTAAGATATTTCTGTCAAGTTTTACCTGTTTGTATATATATAATTTGTCGTTTTGTCATGAAAAAAGAAAATGTTGACAATAAATCTAGATTATGTTTTCTTTATGTTCGTAATCATAAACTGCATTCCACGTGAAATGATAATTGTGTTCATATCCTTTAAACCTCTCTTTAATTAGCATGCGTTGTATCACTTGAAATTTTAATTTTTCACTTTTCGATTAACTAATGTTTCTTTCGACAAAACTTATCTGTAAAATATGATATACGTAAATATGATTCAAATAACTTTTATCGTATCGTTAACTGGATATCTTTACATTATTTTGTACAAATGCATTTCGATATTATACATTCCACAATGAGATTATTTTGATATTGCAATGTAAATGAATTTTCTGTGTATTAGTGCGTTACGAAAGGCACGAACTAATAGTTTACGCGTTCGATTATAACGTATATCTGCATACAAAGGTGTGCTTCCTAAACCAATACTTTGGTACCCAGAACTGTTCCTTTAAGGTTTGCAAGAAATATTTGATCATAATTACTTATATACTTATCATATTTGAGGTAAATAATGTGAACATAACTGCTTTTCCTTTTTTAAAATATTATAATTGTCATTCACTTTTACCGACATTTATTCGATATTTCCTGTTTACCATAGGATCTCGCTCCTGGGAGATATGACGGACCTATGATGGCCGCAGAGACCTGCGCGCAATGCTTCAACGAAAACGACAGAGAAAACGTACGAGTACTAGACGTGGCAGCAGGGACCGGGGCGGTTGGTGAACAGGTACGTTATCGATTGTTTATGTATCAATGCAAATATGATAATAGTTGCATTTCTCCTATTAAACAAAGATGGGCTATTGTTTTTTAGGGATTTGGTTATTACTACTTACCTTGATTGTTTTCTAATACACTATTGAAGATAAAGATAACATATGTTTATACATTGTTGTAGCTGGTAAAAAGAGGTTTCAGCGATATCCACGCCCTGGACCCTTCAGAAGGAATGTTAGAAGTAGCGAAGGGCAAAAATGTTTATACAAAGTTACTGAATGAATACCTAACAGAAGACAAACTTCCAGTACCTGAAGGTATGTATCATAACGTCTCTCTGATTGTCAAGACAACTAACGTTACTTCAACAAACTCATTTACAGTATTTCAGTTTGTGAAAAGATTGACATATTAAGTGAAAAATAAACGGTCTAAACGTTTAAACGTGTTACTGATATTTTGACCTTTTTCTATTTATTCAGGTTACTACAACTGTGTGACGTCATCAGGTGGAATGGGAGACGGTCATATCCCATGTGAGGCGCTCTATGAAATCATCCGGATCGTGAAATCAGGTATAACTTCGAAGAGCTTACACGTTTTAAGTCTACAATGATTCGTAAACGTGTATCAAACTGAACCCTTTCTGTTACTAGTAAATGGCGATTTTTGTGATTTGTTTGCATATCAGTGTTTTTACATAATGTAAAATAGTCAGTGGAGTGACATGAATGCACATTGCAGTCCTGATTTATTGCACTAAATATAATTTATATTATAATAAGCAAAATTGTTTCACAAGCGATATAACGTTTATTATTTTCTTTCTGTTAACTCGTTGTAAATGATAAAAAAACTCCATTTTAGCCTAATTTAACAGAGATGTCATAAGACGTTGTCTTTATCTCTGACAGGTGGCTACGTGGTGATTGTGATGCGGGAAGAATACCTTTACAACGTACCAGAATACAAAGACCGGCTCGAACCACTCATGGCTAAATTAGAGGCCGAAGGAAAGTGGACCAGGATCGAGAGGCGTGTTGTCCCTAACTACGCCTTCAAAAAAGACGGACTCATCTTTATATATAAAGTGCAATGAACATGGTGTTTCGGGGGGAAAAATCAGAAAAATCACTAGTTTTTAAAACTGATTGGATAAACAAACGCTTATCGCTTCCTACAGCTGTATGAGATTACCTCGAGCTGGCTGTTAGATCTCGGCAACTAATTTAACATTGATCATCTAGCGTATCTGCAGCTAGTTCCAATGGGTTCCATACACATGCTTCGGTGATATAGACAGGCATTTCCAGTGAAAACGGCTCGATGAACACGATGTCACATCATGTCACTTCGTTTTGAAGATTCTTTAGGGAATCGTTTGACAGAGTGCAAACACTATGTATATTGATGTATTTATAACACATGTTTTGGTTGGTAGATCATGTTTCTATAATATGTAAATTATTGTAAATATTTGTAAATATGTACATACTTTTGTGTCATTGATGTATAAATGTAAATATTATTTGTTTGTTGAATAAATACATCTAAGATTTACTTCCGTTGTTATTTTCCTATATTAAAAACAAAATATAGTTTATCATAACCACATTTTACTAATACCGTACCCGTTTAGCTGAATTTACTAGAAATTCTCCTTTTCATCGGTGAATAACCATGAAATATTTGGCTACAGACCAGTAACAATATGCATCTGAAACCACCGTCAGTGTTAGAATCGTCGCCTTCTTTGCTTAAACAAAACAAGCATTTCAAGCATTTCTTTACATCTGACATGGATGAAAGATGTAATCAACATAAGATTTTATGTCTGCATATTAGTGTGGAATATGTAGCTCTGAATTCGAAATTGTTTGTAAATTTTAAAACATCTTTTACCCTCATTAGATAAATAATATACAAGCGCATATGGTCAGTAAAAAGAACTTTCAGCTGATATCTTAGAGTTACCGCATGGACGTTACTCTACCCTGAAATTTATAGTGCTTTTTGACGTTATATTACATTCGTTTTCCAAACAGGAGTAGGTATAAAATATTCACTTTTTAAAGCATATATAACATTTAAACATTAGAATGTATTTAAGGATGAGAATTTAACGGTATAACAATTAAACTAAGTTACTTCCAATGTCATTGTTGTAACATATTCTTGAAGACTTTTTAAAAGAAATATTTCATAAAAATCACATATTGCCATGCAATTGACAGAACTGAAGTTGCTTTAAATTTGAATGTTTAAAAAGAAAAAGAAAACAGAAAAACTGCAGGGGTCGCTATGTGGACCATTACATTACAAAGCATACACTTTACCAGTGTTTCCATACAGGAAGAATGCAAGCACAGCAACAAAATCAGATCATACAAAGCATAGGAAAACATTTGATAGAGGAAATTACTCTAAGCCAGAAAAACTCATTAATGTTGCTTCATTTTCTATATATCAGTCGAAATAAAAGTCTAAAAATCGCAATTAAAACTGATGCAATGGATGATTTTAACTTAATTGATGAAGTCTTAGTGCTGACATATACATTTTCATTAAAACAATTTGAAACGGTTGTTTATCAAATTATTATATTCACAAATTAAATATTCATGGAATGAATGCCATCAAGACATTGTTGACACTAACACGTGTAGTTTTGACATGTTAGGCATACATACCAGCAAGTTCTTGTATAGAGCGATGAACGCTTACGCTGACATGTAATAGAAATGTAAATAAAATGTTCTAAAATATTTATGTTTTAAAATAGTAATGTTCATCAAGCGATACTCTAATTGTACTACATGATTGATGACCATTAAATGTTGACACATTATAACCTTTTAGCGGATACTCGATGTAGGATACCATGTACGTATAGAACATAATATACAGAACTGCAATTAGCGCAACCATATTTCAGCGCAGTACTTAAGCACGAAAAGTGTTCAAATATGTAAAATGACTGTACCTTAACTCCCCTTGGCATGCTGTAGACGTTCCGATAGAGTGTCCCAATACATGTGTCACTGCCACGAACCATACAAAGTACATCTATGCGTTCTCCTGAGTAAATAGGAAACGTTTGTACTCTGTACGTAAGACACACACTTGGTTATACGTATAAAATTTGGTAATAGATACAGTTTCCAAAGAATAAGACCATTACTTTTTTTTGAATTAAAGGATTACTGATAAACAAAATAACAATAAGAGAGGGGTGTATAAAATGAACCATTAAACTGCTAAAAAGTGATCTTGTGGTCATGAAAATAACGGCAAACATCGGGGGAAACGAAATTCACCAACAGAATATTCCACCTTGTATAGAGATGAGCATAGGACACACACAGGGAATTACACCTTTAACATTTGGTAATAAGTACACTGCATCAAACAGCTGTTACGGGGCCAAAAAAAGTGGAAATCCAATTCAGTATAAACAGCTGTTGAAACAGACGGAGACGTGAAAAACAACTTAATCACCTGAATTTAAAAAAAATAGAGGAGTAATTGTTAATATCAAATTAAAAATGTGTAAACTGTGTGTATCATGTGTAAACTGTGTGTATAATGTATAAACTGCGTGTATAATGTGTAAACTGTGTGTATCATGTGTAAACTGTGTGTCATGTGTAAACTGTGTGTATCGTGTGTAGACTGTGTGTCATGTGTAAACTGTGTGTATCATGTGTAATCTATGTGTATCATGTGGAAACTGTGTGTACCATGTGTAAACTGTGTGTCGTGTGTAAACTGTGTGTCATGTGTAAACTGTGTATATCATGTGTGTATCATGTTTGTAATGTGTGTATCATGTGTAAACTGTGTGTCATGTGTAAACTGTGTGTATCGTGTGTAGACTGTGTGTCATGTGTAAACTGTGTGTATCATGTATAATCTATGTGTATCATGTGTAAACTGTGTGTACCATGTGTAAACGTTGTGCATCATGTGTAAACTGTGTGTCATGTGTAAATTAAGTGTATCATGTGTAAACTGTGTGTCATGTGTAAACTGTGTGTAATGTGTAAACTGTGTGTATCATATGTAAACTGTGTGTATCATGTGTAAACTGTGTGCATCATGTGTAAACGTTGTGTATCATGTGTAAACTGTGTGTATCATGTGTAAACTGTGTGTATCATGTGTGTATCGTGTGTGTATCATGTGTAAACTGTGTGTATTATGTGTAAATTAAGTGTATCATGTGTAAACTGTGTGTCATATGTGTATCATGTGTGTAATGTGTGTATCATATGTAAACTGTGAGTATCATGTGTAAACTGTGGGTACCATGTGTAGACTGTGTATCAAGTGTGTATCGAGCGTGTTAATTGTGAGTATCATGTGTAAACTGTGGGTATCATGTGTAAACTGTGTGCAACATGTGTTAAATGTGGGTATCATGTGTAAACTGGGTGTATCATGTGTAAAATGTGTCTCCCATGTGTAAACTGTGTGTATCACGTGTGTATCGTGTGTGTATCACGTGTAAACTGTGTGTACCATGGGTAAACTGTGTGTATCGTGTGTGTATCGTGTGTGTATCGTGTGTGTATCGTGTGTGTATCATGTGTAACCTGTGTGTATCATGTCTAAACTGTGTGTATTATGTGTGTATCGTGTGTGTATCGTGTGTGTATCATGTCTAAACTGTGTGCATCATGTGTAAACGTTGTGCATCATGTGTAAACTGTGTGTCCCATGTGTAAACTGTGTGTATCGTGTGTGTATCACGTGTAAACTGTGTGTACCATGTTTAAACTGTGTGTATCGTGTGTGTATCACGTGTAAACTGTGTGTACCATGTGTAAACTGTGTGTATCACGTGTGTATCGTGTGTGTATCACGTGTAAACTGTGTGTATTATGTGTGTATCGTGTGTGTATCACGTGTAAACTGTGTGTACCATGGGTAAACTGTGTGTATCGTGTGTGTATCGTGTGTGTATCGTGTGTGTATCATGTGTAACCTGTGTGTATCATGTCTAAACTGTGTGTATTATGTGTAAATTTAGTGTATCATGTGTAAACTGTGGGTATCATGTGTAAACTGGGTGTATCATGTGTGTATCGTGTGCGTATCATGTGTAAACTGTGTGTGATGTGTAAACTGTGTGGAATGTGTAAACTGTGTGTATCACGTGTGTATCGTGTGTGTATCATGTGTAAACTTTGTGTATCATGTGTGTATCGTGAGTGTATCATGTGTAAACTGTGAGTATCATGTGTAAACTGTGTGCATCATGTGTAAATGTTGTGCATCATGTGTAAACTGTGTGTCACGCATGTAAACTGTGTGTATCATGAGTAAACTGTGTGTCACGTATGTAAACTGGGTGTATCATGTGTAAAATGTGTGTATCATGCGTAAACTGTGTGTATCATGTGTAAACTGTGTGTATCATGTGTAAACTGTGTGTCACGTATGTAAACTGTGTGTATCATGTGTAAAATGTGTGTCATTTGTAAACTGTGCGTATCATGTGTAAACTGTGTGTACCATGTGTAAACTGTGCGTACCATGTGTAAACTTTGTGTTTCATGAACCGTGGAACTACTTTACTTGAGAAATGTTGCAAACAACGAGGTCAAAGAAATCCGCCAGTAGAATCTACCACTTGGTATCTTGAAGGATGAATATAAGACGCACACGATTTCACCTATAAAATTTCGTAGTTTAAACCGTATGCTAAAAATTAATTACAATGTACTATACAGCTGTTTCGTCCTTGTTGGTGATGCTAGGAGCCAAAAAGTTGCATTACCTTAACTGTACTGTAGAAACAGAAGGGTAGGTGCATAAACCCCTTGAATATACATATAAATGTCAAAAGCTAGAGGAGTACTGGTTGATTTTAAATTAATAATGAGTAAGGAGTGTACATTATGAACAGTGCCACTATTAATAAAAAAAAAAAAGAGAAATGTTGCGATCAAGGTTACGGTAAACCACGGGGACTAACAAATCTATCGGCAGAGTCTACCAATGTGTGTCTAGAAAAATTAATATAAAACACACATGCAATCGCACCTTTAGAATTGGGTAACTGATACAAAAGGCCAAAAATGAATAATCTTGATTCCTTTCCGTGACCTTAACTTCGTCGCTATAGACATAAATATGTTATGCAACATTCCGTCGCATTATGTATTTCTATGAAATTTTATAAGAATATGTGAAAACTAAAGGAAGGTTTAGTCCTTAAATTCCTTACAAATACTAACATTTGACCCCTCGCCATGACTTGAACCATTAAATTATTTCTGGTACACAACAATTCCCTTCTGTTCGTGATGCACGCATGTATGAAGTTTCATAAGAAAATGTGATAGTTATCAAAAGTCTGGAAAAGACGCACCGTCTGTTTAAGATAAATATACATGGGACGTGTCGTGAGAAAATGCTGATTCATTTAGAAGATATGGTCCAAACATGTTTCATAAAGATATGATTATTGATCACTTGTCCTGACCTTAACATTTAAGGAACAGGCCTGAGTGTCGTGCGACACGCTGTATGGTGATGATAATCGGATATATGAA